AGGTCCAAGCGCTTCTAAGATTCTTTTTGTCCCTGTGGCAACATCTCCATAATAGGGCCATTTGAATCGCGTGCAAAGGTGCATTCACCTTTCGCTCCCAAGTACGACACGATGGAGTGGTTCGTATCTACTATTCCTAGTATACATGGAGCCCGACACTGTGTCGACTATGTAACGACGAGACTGGCCGTTCCGGCAACAACACATACCGCATCATCACTGAACATGGCAGTGCGTTGCACCTCGCTATTCAATACGTTGAGCACTTTTTCTTTGGTCTCGTCGCTTCTCATTTTAATAACCTGGATAGACGTATACCCGGCCTCCAGGCTTTTCTTTTTTATGCGTCCTATCCTGAGCTTAGGCGAGGCGAAAGAATATTAATTCATGGGGATTGTGTATATTCACAAGAAATTGTAGGGGGGTGAAATCAATTATTCGACAGTTCAAGTGTCTCTTGATCTGGTCACATTTGAGCAAGTCGGTCTGGATGGAAAAGTCGGAGTAGAAAGCGCACTCTTACATGCTAGGCGAGCGTCCGCCATCCCGAGAAATTGCAATCCCCACAGAAGTCACGGGCCCGTGTTCGATTCTTCGTAGTCCGTCATTTTATAATCCTCGTACACGCGTGGAAGTATGAATAAGCTGAGAAATAGATGCATCGAGGACAAGGCCGGCAGTATCAGCGGCGTGTCGTGGTAGATAGAATAGCGGCAGAGGTATGAATAAGCTGAGAAATAGATGCATCGAGGACAAGGCCGGCAGTATCAGCGGCGTGTCGTGGTAGATAGAATAGCGGCAGAGGTAAAATTATGCGAACGATTCAAGCGGATTAAATAGCAGGAAACAATATATGTATACCTAATCTTTTCGTACTTGCCATGACGATAATATGGTCCTCGAACCGCCGACAGCACCGGTTTCCTCAGCTAAGAGCTTCAACAATGGAGATCTCGTCGACAACAACGGGAAACGGACTTGCCTGAACAATAGACGAGGATACGATGAGATTACATTGCAGCAACGAAACTCGTCCCTCATTTTATGTACTGTACTGTCCACCCTTAATAGTGCGGAGGCTTTGTTTCGGAGAAGAGCAACGGATCAGGCAATTACCGGCGCCTGTTGCATCTGGTGGCTATGCTACTGCTAAATTTTCGGCAACTTCAACGACGATCTCCCTCAAGCGTGCCGTCGAACGCTGAAATGGCTGCAGAACCACAGATCCAGTACAAATCAGACTTAATCAAGCATGCTATGGAAGCGGATGCTCTGAAGTTCGGGTCGTTCACGCTGAAATCGGGACGGTCAGTTTGCAGGGTTTTCTCAGCGTATCTCTGATAACGAACACAATTCGAAACCAGGATCTCTCCTTATTTCTTCAATGCAGGCCTGCTGTGTACAGGCCCAATATTGGCGACGCTATCAACAGCATATGCAGCCACCATCTTCCAAGCTCTCGAATCGTCAGCGTTCCCTGAATTCGATGTGTTCTTTGGACCAGCATACAAGGGGATTCCATTTGCGTCAGTCACTGCCCTCGCCCTATATAACCAACACAAGCTCTCTGTTGGCTTCGCATACGATCGCAAAGAGGCTAAGGACCACGGCGAAGGAGGAAAAATGGTGGGCGCTCCTGTCAAAGGCAAGCGCGTCGTGATTTTGGACGACGTGATGACTTCCGGGAAAGCCGTCCGTGGCGCCATCGAGACAGTTATACAAAACGAAGGAGAGGTCGTCGGTGTCGTACAAGCTCTTGATCGAGAAGAAGTCGGCCAGGACGGCGTCAGCAGTACCGTCGCCGAAATTGAGGGGCTGATTGGGGAGGGAAGGGTGCTCTCGATCTTGAAGATGAGGGATCTCATGGTGTGGCTCGAAACTCACGATCTGAAGCACGATTTAGCAAACATGCAGGCGTACAGGGATAAGTACGGCCTAAAGTAAATTACAGGTGAGTCCACTGCATTTCAACGCGAGGTGGAATATATCATTTTGCAATAACTAGTAAACTCCGTCACAATCCTGCTGATCTTATGGGTACACAACCATGGCAGCTTTCTCTTTTACCCTATCGTCAAGCGTGGGCAGTACCCAGTCAAAAGAAATTGTATCTGAACCTCAAGTCCATCCATCAAAGCGGAGAATATAGAGCAAGAATAAGCCACTTACTCATACTTATTCGCCTCGATTCCCTCTTAACATGACTCCAAAGAGAACAGCGGTGACACCTCCAAGAACAAAGGAAATAAAAGCCGTAGTAACACGAGCTACTGGGTATTTCTGCACTTGTAGTGCACTCTGCACGGACAGATACCTATACAGCCCTACACCAAGCTCCGCAATCACCACAAGAACAATACGCGTAAGGAAGAAGAGTGCTCACCTATCACCACGACCGAAAATCCCAAAGCAATCAAGGCCAGTCCCAATGGCCTAGCGAAGCGTTCGATCTCTCTGGCCGTGAAGGCGGGCGGCATATCCTGGTCCAGAAGTATGGCGTTTGAAACAGCGAACAGTTGGACAAAGATGACGCCAGCAGAGACTATGGCAAGGCCGGTTCGCATGTACGCGAGGAACGTCCTTTCCGACGCCATGTGTTCTCGGCCAACATTATCTGGGTTGTCGAAAAGCATAGAACGCTCGATGGCTGGGATACCAGCTGGTATGAACTTTCGCTTCATCGAAATGGCGGGCGCTGGAATTGACGGCGCTGGCCTGTACGTGGAAGTGCGTTCCCGTTGCTCGTCGGATGCTTCTTGATGTCCATTGTGTTGCTTAACCGAAGACGACCGGGCATCTCGAGGTGTAGAGATGATATCTTCTTCAGGCTCCATGGAACGGCGCGATGTGGGATATCTAGCCACCTCTTGAGGAGAAACGGCTGGATACCCAGCTGCAGGGTTGGCGCGGTGGTGTTCGACGCCGGATCCCATCGTCGTTGCAACGCCAAAACTAACATCTGGGGACCTCACATTTTTGACGGAGAGGTTCGGCTCTAGGTCATGGACCAAGTGCTAGTACTTGCTGACTGAGGCCTGTCGTGACTTGCTGAGTACCTTCAAGAAGCAAGTGATCAGTAACGTATTTGGCAACTGTTTGGTGTTAGTGGACTAAGAGCATCTCTTTGCCTCCGTCCCACTAAGCATGACCACAGGATCACATAGGAACGCCAGCGCAAAGGGCATAGGGACGTTTACTTGCGTAAGAATTACCCGCTCAACACCCTCTACGGTCTTTCCTATCAAGGTGTACAGATGTACAAACGTTGGTGCCGACCCATTCCAAGTCTACATTGTTGGGGTGCTTCTCTGTCTCGAACATGACGTTCAGCCTGGACCCCATTCCTACGGAGGATGCCTGAATTTAGAACAGGATAACGTCCTCAGGCTTGACAGCTAGCATTCACTTGGTTTTCCCATTCAATTGGATTCTCATGTGGCCACTGCTCCTTCAGGTTTGTCGTTCTATCTAACCATCCTCAGTCTTATGGGATGCGCGGAGATTGGTGAATCACTTGCGGCATACCAGAGTTGAAGAGCAATTACGCTCAAGAGCGGGCGCCCGACCCCCACAGGCGGTTAGATACAACGCTGAGAGCTGAAATTGGAGAAAGTTGATCGACAATAATAGCGTTGCGAAGCGAGGTAATGGACCCCTATCATCCTCATCGTATGCCGATCGGTGGATTCAATTCGCAACGGATGCAAACGGAGTTATGATTCAAACCAACTGCCACCTGTTCCTTATGTACCACCGGAAGTTTGTGAGACACCCTCCTCGTCAATGCTCCTCGACGTCGTTGCCACGGCGTAGGCTTCTTCCCTCCTTCATACCCCCCACTGCAGCTTCAAGATGGGATTCGTCAATCCTATCAGTCTGAAGGGACCTGCTGAGATAACGTGAGTCTTTTCTACCGTGTCTTAGTCCCGAATAATGAGCTGAGCCTGTTCGACTTATAGCCATGGGTGGATGCTCATAGGCCTTGCCCTAAACATCCTTTTAATGGGGGTTATGATCGCCCAAGTATACATGTACTATACACAGTATCGGGAGTAAATTCACCATCCCATCAATACTAGCGCGTAGGTTACTGACCTCATTGCTTTTCGTAGCGACACCTGGTGGCTAAAGGCAATGGTCGGTGGAAAGAAGGTTTTCTTATCGTGCAAGATCGACTCAACGACTCGGACAGGTGGCCGCGGTATTCCTGCTCGACATTATTAATACGGCATTCCTTTTCGCCTACATATACCGGTCTCTCATCACATTTTTCGGTAATGGAGTTGCTCCATCTGTTACCTCGTTCGGCATTGCTGACTTGACATCCACCTTAAGGAGACGTGCAATTCCTCGCCCAAGTTGACTGGAGTACGCCGCGAACTGTTTTTCTGATTCAACATCTGACAGCTTCGATTTAGTGCTTGCTACTGGTGAGCCTCCTTGAAGCCATTTGTGAACATAGCCATTCAGAATATTCGTTGGACCCCAGGCGCATGGACAACAGTAGGTTTCTTGTTTTGGATCGCTCAGCGTAGTCCTACGTCGGATTCTTTCCTAGGGCGTGATCGCAGCCATCGTCCAACTCTTCTTCGCCTGGCGTATCTTCGTGCTCACAAGGAATTGGGCGTACGTGATCGTTATCGGAAGCCTGGCGCTTGCTGGATGCGGTGAGTTCCCTCGAGGCTTTTTCGCTGCTCGACTGCCGTCCTGATATGCGCACACCCTACAGCCGCCTCCATCGTTGTCCCTGTGAAGACTGGGCTTTCTTTCCCAGTCAGCCGAATTCATGAAGTCAAACCGGTCGTAACGGTTTGGCTTGCTTCAGATGTGGCCGCTGACATTATCATCACGACCGTGCTTGTGTGGTACCTGTGAGTGTCGCCCTGATTCTTCGGGTTCTTCCTTCTCACGGGAAATTGCAGGGTAAGCCAAATTCCGGTATACTCGACGCGACGCGCCAGAGGTTCAATCTCCCGATTTTGTTGTAGCACAAACACAAAAGCGGCTTCAAACGTTCAGACATGGTGGTCGACCAAATCATACGATGTGCGTTGATGATGTCTCATAATTCCTGCCCCAGAGTCTGATTTTCGGGAGTTTAGTCACTATACAGACTGGTCTTTTAACGGTGGTTTTTGCATCCATAGATCTTTTCTTCTTCCTTTTCGATGTGAGTGAATTTAATAGTTGCATCTACTAGGACTAACGCTTGATTTCGTTCTCAGCCCACGGGAACACACTTCCTATTCAATTTCACACTCTCTAAGCTCTACTCCAACTCGCTAATGAGCAGCTTGAACTCACGCCGTGGCTGGAAATTCGGCGGCGCCTCTTCTGGTGTTGTGTCAGATAGCGATGGCCCGATAACGACGAGTTGGGTCCAACGGCATCTCCCCCCGACTGTCCAGAAGACGGTGGGTCTGCCCTCACGTGTCGCAGCTGCTGAATTGCTTCTCATTATTCCATAGGACGTCGGGGCAACCACAGATTCGCAAGAATTACGCGAAGTACACGTCCACACGGCCCAGCAATTCGATGAGGGTTCAAGAACTCTTCACACCCAATCGTCGGGACGTAGATCAATGGATACAGAAAACTGGACGACGGATACAAATCGCTGGTCTCGATAACACTTTTCGCTCTTACGTTATATTCCGAATAATGATCATTGATGAGCACCTCGTCCACATACTCTAGCTCTAGATCTCCCGATTCTTCTCAAGCGCTGCTCGTAGTCTTTCATAGTTCCATTCAATGTTGCTGGTCCAATGCTCAGCGCTCATCGCTCATCGTCAAATGCGATTACGTAAGGATATGTGAGTTTTCTCACGTGGTACTCACACGACTGCCCTGGCCCTCCTTCCTTTCGCGTAAAGCTCTCAGGCGTCTGATGATTTCGCTGTCTGTTTCGTACCCTTCTCGCTTGAAGTGTGCACATCAGGCAAAGAATAATTATCAATCACGCTGGGAGTTGTGTTTGGCACAGCCTTCTGATGAGTTTGTGTTTATGGTTCTCGGCCAACTTCGCCAAACAACAACGCCGACAACTTCCCAGCACCCGTCATGGTGAATGGCCTGCCTGAAGCATCCTTCAAGGATATCCCAGAGATATTCGAAGTGAGTAATGCGCACTCGTGTTATACATTACGCCCACTAACGCTCGGACAGGTAGAACTTGGAGAATCTCTTACCGCTCGAACGGAAGCGTTATGTACGTGTCGCGCCTGGACGACAGCTGCGAACGCTCACGCGCAGTTGTAGCATCATTTCGGGAATTAGGACCGCCAGATCTCTGCCATGTTGTGAAGAGTACAGGGCGTTCTGGCGCGCGTGACGTACGTGCTCATGTGGTCTAATGAATGGCTCAAAATCTCACGTCAAGCAGTTTGGCTCATACCACTATATTTCTGGAGTCGACGCCTCGTCATCTGCATCCCTGGCTGCCTACATCAACTCCCTGACATATTCGATTGAAGATAACTCTGCCTGGTTTTCCAAGACTCCGCAGTGGAAGGTCAAAAATGGATGCTATTGGTATGTGCTACTTGCTGTCACTATCCATGTCCCTTCCCAAGAGGAAGTATCCATTCGCGAGGCTCGTACGTGGAGAAAGGACCCTGTGTGTGATTAATGGAAGAAGTTCTTCGACCTTGAATGTGACGCAAGGCTTCTGAGACATGACGAGGAACCTTTATCACAAATGTCATTGCCAAAGCAGTCCCCAGCCAGGCTTTGCATGACGTGCCTTTATATTGATCACTTCCCTATAGTTGCTTCAACGCCTTTTCTCGCGTCGACATTCGCGTCGACGTCAAAATTCCAGGTGGTGTGAACGCTTATGTGATTGACCTGCGAGGCGAAAGGTGCGTAACTTCACCCTCTATTTCTCACCAGGATGCCAACCTCGATTTAGACACGAAGCAACCCCTGAGCTATGGCAAGAAACATATGTCTCCGCACTGCTGCGCGCCATTCTGTATTCGGACGACCCCACCTACTTCCTTGACGCATACCGCAAACTTGACCCCATCACGTCCCGAGAAGGCGAACTTCGGTTTTTGCAGGCAGCGGAGGCACTATTTACGAAAGGCGAGGGTTCCCGAGAATGAGCTTGAACTAGGTGTTGACGGCTCAGTTAGGTTGGCAGGTTGGCTCTGATCCCGAGATTCAGGTGGCCACTATCGTATCGAACCATCTAACCGCCGGCATTATGAAGTACTTTGGGGACAGTGGGAGGTACCAGCCTGTGGCAAACCTGTTCGAGAAACTGGCAGCACGAGAGCCGGAGGTCAACTCCCTCCTTGCGAAGAGCTACATCGGAATGAGTGAGTCCCATCCGTGCACCTCGCTGGACGCTGACTCACATGTCCAATAGATGAAGAAGTCAAGGCTGTCCAAATCATGGCGGCTGCTATGCGACAGACACCGCAAGCCTACACCCTCCTTCACGTTCAATGCGACTTTCTCCGCTCGAAAGGCAAGCAAGAATGGGCCGTCAAACTGGCTCGTCAGGCCGTCAACTGTGCCCCCAGCGAGTTCGTGACATGGGAGAAACTTGCCGACTTGTACATCGACCTTGGGCAGTTTGATTCCGTAAGTACGATCGGACGTGGCCGTCTATGCCTTCTAACACCTTTCTAGGCGCTTTTGACCCTCAATTCCTGTCCAATGTTTACCTTCAACGGCCGAGATGCCCACCGTGTTCTACCCGCCATCAAAGTCCACCTCCCCTTCCACCGGCCTATCGGAGAGATTCTACCTGAACGACACAAGACAGAGGACGATGAGGCCGAGCCTGCACTGCAACGTTTGCCCGCACCCGGGCTCCGAGGCACCTGGGCCCGAGCGTATGCCCTGCTCACCCGTCTGGTCTCTCAGATCGGCTGGGACGAGCTGTTGAAGATTCGGAGCCAGGTGTTCGTCATGGAGGAAGAGTACCGTATGCAGAAGGCTCACAGCGAGATGCAGCAGGCCCTCGGCTCGGGCAACCTTACCCCTCCGGAGACTGGTCTCGAATCTGACCTCGCTAGTGCTGTCATCCACGAAGACGGCTCTGTGCGACCATCAATGGACGACAATGCCTCGACGAAGGGCGTGTTGGCGCCTACACCCAAGATGGGCCCATCGGACAGCGCCGATCTGAATGGCACTTCCGCGATTCCTACCATTCGTATCTCCACAGAAAGCCTGCGAGAGACAGTAGAATCTGAGGCTACCACAAAGGTTGAGAGCGATGCTGAAGAGGAGGCTATGCAGAAGAAGGACAAAGGCAAAGGTCGGGCTGTGGATGTTGAGGAATTCGAGGAGACCACAAACGGCGATGCACACACGAACGGTGTCGATGGTCATGGATTGGAAAAGCCCGTTCAGGCCGCTGGCGAGGGAGAACAGAACATCAACGAAGCATCACCACCTGCTCAAGAACCATTCTCGTTCAGCAACAAGAGGCTATGTGAGAGGTGGCTTGATAACCTGTTCATGGTGCTCTACGAGGTACGTCCCTCTCCCGTCTACTACCTCTATTCGCTGACCATTGCTCTAGGACCTCCGTGTCTGGACCATCTTCCGTGCTGAGGTTGCCCACTTCAAGACCCAACACGTAGCCTATCGCAAGACTGGCCTTGAGTGGGAGATCCTGGGCGACCTTGGCCTGCGCTTGCACCACAAAGAGGAGGCAAAAGAGGCGTATCAGCGCTGCCTGGACAGCCCACGCTACTCGGTCAAGCCCTGGTCCAAGCTAATGGAGATGTACGCCGACGAGGGCGACATCCAGCGCTGCGTTCAGACTGCTATCCGTGTCGCAGCGTATCAATATGCGGACTACACCGAGATGTCGGTGCGTATCTCGTTCCTTTATTCTGTGTTGCTGGGTTGGCTAATCGCTTTACTAGTATCCCACTCAAATCGCCCGCGCGTTCTTCAAGTTGGGTCAAATTCACGGACATGCCAAAATATCCTTCACCTTGCTAAGCATGGGCCTACCCGAACCTATCCTCAAAATTATGGATAGCTATCTGAATTACGGTAAAACCTTTGGTGTTGAAGGATACGACTTCTGAGTCCGGCTGATCGCCGCTAATTTTTCTATCTCAAAACCTTTGGTAAATACTTCCATTCGCCTTCGTTAACCAAACCCTTTCTGGACCCTTTATGAAGATATGATTATACCTTTCCTCTACTTGCTCCTGTTTCTGCAATTTTAATCTGGTTGGTCTGGGTGCTATTCAAATCTCCTTTCTTGCGATATCAGATGCCTATTATGATTTCTCATTTCTCAGTCGACAGGTTGCCTTCTAGACGAAATAGGAAGGTGGCCTCCCTGAAAAGGAAATCAGAGAACCTTTGGAACTGCAGGTTGATTCTCAAGATCTCTTAAGTCACATCGTGTTTCTGAACCACTCATAAAATTTTAGCATCACCAAAAAACACCTGTCATATTCAAAAAGCGTCCATAATTCCATATATCTGTTTTGCAAAGTTGTAGAAAAGCCACCGACGAAAGTGAAAGGAACGACAACGCTGAACACGGAGAAGCGGCTGTGGTCTCGCTCAGGGGCTAATAATGAAGAAGGTTTTGGAGCCTCTCCGCTTTTTTCAGTAAGAATTCTTACCTAGGGATTCCCCCGATAATAGTACTGGTGTGGTGAGATAATTTCCATGAGTGATCGTGAAAATACGGGGAAAGGTGTATTTTACCCGATACCGCCGACTGCACCAGTAGCACCGTCAACAACACCGCCAACTGCACCGGTCGCACCACCAATGACACCGGGGAGGGAGGAAGTGATGGCGCCGGCAGCGTCTCTGGAGGCCACGTACCGTGTTCATATTAGAGGCTCAGAAGCGCAGGTCACGCAGGGTGGTTCTTACCCGACAGAGGAGCCAACTCCAGAAACACCGTCAGTGACGGAACCGATAGTACCAAGGACGGGATCGACGACGCCGCCGACGTCGATCTGGGGAACAGGCGTAGCGCCTGCGAGCATGGCGACAGCGAAAAGGGCGATAACTTTGGTCAACATCTAGGAAGTCACCTGAGTCGTTCGACGCTTGAAGACACGAAGAACAAGACCACCTACGATGGTTAATTAAAAGGTGTGAGGAGTAGCTCGGGAGTTGCTTTGAAGCAGGATCAAGCTGAGGAAATGGTAGGCTAGCTTCACCCTTTTTTATACACTGCTGGTATATTTGTTTTGCCTCATTTCTCCCAAGCTAGTTGAGGTGACGAGAATGAATACCAATGCCTCGGACATGGCTCTAGGAGTCAGTGGAGTCATGTTGTAATGCCGTTCGCACTTCCATGAATTGAGAAGCTCGAGAATTTGACAAAGTAATCCCGCACGGAGCTGGTCGTGGAAGAGAACAGTGTTGAAACTCAAACAAAGTCGCGTGAAAGGCGTCATTTATGTGCGCCTCGATAGTTCTCAATTTAGGTTTCCCCGGTGGTTGGTTGAGAACTACCCTTAACTCGAGACTTCTGATATATCACATCCACTCCACAGTGTCGTTCTACTTGTCCCTCGGCTTCTGTCAGGATAAAGCGCGCAGCCAATAGGATTTTGTTTATTCCTACAATCACTTCGGGTCAGCGGGAGAGCCCTGGACACGACGAATGTGTCCAACCTTTCCAAAGCATACAGACAAATAGGTCATATAGTATGCGCCATGATTCGACGCTATCCCTGTTCTACAAGATTAGGCCGCGGACGGCCCTCGGTACCGTACGCTGGCGCAGGATATATCCCCGTAATCTGGTAGATAAACTCACAGAAGTTACGGCCATAGAGCAGTTCCCGTGACCCGGAGAAGGTTCCCAATGGTACTGTGGAGCGATATGGCTGTGTGGCGCAGTTCTGGACGTGATCCAAGGATGCTAAATGGGGACTCTGGTCGGCTTTAAACTCCAGCGAGTTCGTAGCTGCAGCTGTAAATAGGAAATGTTGTCATATGACACCAGTACAAGTACTCGATGCTGCAGACGTAGGGAATCGCATCTCATACCATCATCATCGCTGCGTCACAAATGACCCACAAAAGACACGTTCGCCGATGGCAAAAGATTGGCTTACAAACTGTTCCAACCTGTGCGGTGTCATGTGAGAGAAAACTTCAGAAAGGATGCAACGTTTCTCTCGTCCGTTGGGCCCAGTTGAAGTTAATCGGTGGGCCTCGTCTGAGGCTCCAGATGCACCAAAATATCCTTCGCTTTATTCAATAGTACTCTACGCGCCACCCCTGCCGTGCCTGAAATCAAAAATCATGGGTATCTACCCGAAGTCTTGTGAAACGAAAGGGGACGACTTCTGTATTGGGTTCTTTACGTCTTGTCATTATATTCCCAAAAATTGAAGTCTGAAAACCCTTCTATTAATTTGAGTTTTGTTATTGACTATTGAATGCGGAAATTTTGTGGTTCTTACTGAGATATAAGGACACCTTTTCCCTCTACTTGCTGCCTTTGTTCCAGCCCGAGTTTGTTCTCGTCTCCTCTCTTGTGTCATATAACCCCTGCTGTAGGCCTCTCATTTTCTGTGATCACCATAGAAGGGTTCCGATTCGTTAGATGATGGAATAGGATAGCTCCCTACCTGAAAAGGAACGAGTAATAACTTGGCGACCCGAATAACTTGGCGAGGTAGCTCGTCAGGAGGCCTCGATGTCACAGTTGATTGGTCACGTTGGGTTTTCCCACCTCTCGTGATTGAACGATGCCAAAAATGATCTGTCATACTGTATTCAAAAAGAACGTCCATATTTCGAGGTCTCTATTTCAGAAAAAAGTGTAGAAGAGCAATCGATGAAAATCAAAGGAACGACTACACTAAACTGAAAAGTACGACGGCCTCGCTCAGGGGCTAATAGTGGGGAAGAATATCAGCAACTCTTTATCTTTGCAGTGTGATTCTTCAATGAAAGTGCTCACCTGGTAATTCCTCCGATGATAGAGCTGGCACGATGCAACGAGTCTTCATAAGTGATCTCAAGTATACTGTTTCAGGGATGCTTCTTACCCTACACCACCGACAATGCCGCCAACTGTGTCGGTGACACCATCAACAACACTTGGGAGGGAAGAGACAACAGATCCAGCCGCGTCGCTGAAACAAACTCGTTAGACGCTAGGAAATTCAGGCTGTGACTCGCAAGTGCTCACCCGACCGAAGAAACGACGTCGGAGACACCGTCAGTAACAGTGCCGACGGTCCCCAGAACTGGGTCGACTATCCCTCCAAGCCCGAGCTGAGGGACAGGCTTCGCGCATGCCATCATGGCAATCGCGAGCACTGCGGAAATCTTGACGACAGTTTGCATCTAAAAAACCCTTCAGCGACGAGGCTCTTGAAAACAGGGGCGAAGATAGCGCTTACAGTGGTCGACGAATTGGAGAGCGTCGAAAGGTAGCTCGTTTGCTGCTTTGAAGCGGGTTCAAGCTGAGGAGCTACGACGTCCGTCGAAACCTTATATAAAATTCTGAAGCATGAATGTTTCCCTTGGGAGTTTTCCCCGAAACTGGTCCCAGTCGATGAGGACGCATAATCACCAGCGCTCTGGCCGAAAAGGCAGGTGGAGATATGCTATAATGCCGCTTGCGCCTCCGTGAATGGAGAAGCTAGGGAAGCTGCCAGAGTTATCCCGCACGGAGCTGGTCGTGGAAGAGAGCCCCCCCAGAACGTTGATTGAAACAAAATTCGTCATCATGTGAATGCCTATGATTCCCACCTTAGAGTCTCGCCGGTGGTCGGATGTTTCTTGAAAATACATTACAGTTATCGTCAGCTCTTCTGATTGATCACATTTGCTCCACCGTGTCGTACATCATGTTCCTTGGTTTCTGTCAGGATGCAGTGAGGAACCAATAGGGTTTTATATATTCTTACAATTATTTCAGGTCAGCATCTGTAGAGTCCTGGACATGATGAATTATGCCAAAATTCTCAAAAGCCCAGTGACAGATCATGCACCTGCCATGGTAGGGCGCTAGCACTGCTCCGCACTGGCTGCAGACGCCGCCACGGCACCGTACGTTGGCACGAGGGATACTCCCGTCATGCGTCAAATAACCTCGCAGAATCACCGAAGTGGCGGTCATAGAACGCCTTCCATGACCGGAGAAGGCTGCCGACCGTACGGCGGGCGATAAAGGTAATGTGGCGCAGTTTTGGACGTGATGGAAGAATATTTGCTAAATGGGGATTTCGATCGATTTTGAAACCCAGCGAGTTCCCTCGTTCGCACAGCTGCAGCCCTAAATAGCCAGCTCTTGTCATATGACACGAATACGCTGCGAGAGTGGGAGGAATACCATCTCCTACTATCGTCATTGTCACGTCACTGACGATTCCGCCAGGGCACGTTGGGATAGGTGGCAAAAGATTTGCTTGCAAAATACTCCACAGCGTGTGGTTGGTCAATTCGTTGGCTGTGAAATCACCGGTCTGGTCCCCTTCTAGAATTACTGGCCCGTATGGTATCACGTCAGAGAGGCTTTGGAAAGGATGCAGTGGTTCTCCCGTTCTATTGGCCACAATTGTCTCCCTCGAAGTCCATGCAGTCTCGCTCGCCGCCGTAAGAGCATGCGAAGGTCCAGCATGTTCGTCGATGGTTGGATCCAACAAATGGAAGGTGGTCCATTTTGATCCCAAAAATAAAATTAGGCGACGAAGCAAACACCACGAGAAAAATAACGCTTTTGGAGATGCAGAACAATGGACAAGACGAAGGTGTGGGTCTAAGAAGCATAAAACTCTAAATAATCAAATTACAGGGCACGCAACGCCGCAGCCACCAGCCCTTACGTCTTCCCAATACGAAGAATTTTTAGAACAGCCAAGGTCCTACTACGAAAGGGTGAAAAAAAGACCCATCCGTCATTCAATGAATTCCGAAAGAATGGAAATCACACCAACGCACCTCCACCCCTCGCACCCTCGGGCTTGATCTGGAGGCAACTTTGATGAATGAGGTTGAGAGCTTTGACGGCGTCACGCGCATCGATGACACAGGAGATATTGATCTCGCTGGCGCCTTGTGAGATCATCTCGATGTTGACGTTGCCCTGGGCAAGCGTTGTGAACATCCTGCCCGCTATACCAACCATATTCCGCATTTGCTTTCCGACGAGTGAGAGGATGGCCATGTCTTTGTGGACGTCAACCTGATGCGACCGTCAGCACTCTCGAGCAAAGACGCGGCCTCCGATCTACGACCTACCGTTCCTGTTTTCTTGAGCTCGTTGACGAGACGGTCGAGGGTCTTCTTCGGAAGCCCATCCCCAATGGCCATACTAACATGGACTTCACTCGTGCTGATCAAGTCGACGACGACGCCGAACCTATCCAACGTGCCGAATATGCCAGCCAAGAAGCCGTGGCTGACGCTCTTGCGATTCGAGTTGATGTTCAGTATGACAACATGTTCCTTGATCGTCACCGCCGTCGGTAGTCGCTTGCGCTGAGAGGCCTCCGTGGCAAGAGCGAGCTCGTGTAACGACTTGAGCGTGATCGGCTCCGGCACAGAGTGGGCAATCGACGCGGACGACGACAGGTCCTCCGTGTCGGGATGGATAACGGTGCCCTGCCCCGTCGGGTTCTCAACGTTCTTGATGCGAATCGGGATCTTCTGTCGGATCGCCTGCTCCATCGTGAATGGGTGCACGACCTCGCTGCCGTAGTACGTCAGCTCAGCAGCCTCTTCTGGTGAAATGACCGATAGCAGGCGCGCCGTGGGCACCTTTCGCGGGTCGGCAGTGAAGATACCATCCACTTCTTTCCAGATCTGTAGCTCGGAGGCGTTGAGGCCCACAGCGAGCAGTGCAGAACACAGGTCGGTGTAGCCCCGTCCGACCTGACGGAGTAGCGAGCCTGGGACTGGGCCAAAGAACCCTACAAAAATGTCAAGTTGTGTTCGTGCGAAAAAAAAATCACCCATACCTGTGACTACGGGCACACGAGAACCGCATTGCTCGAGGCGCTCGCCTAACGCTCGCGCGAGGTTGTCATAGAATTCTTGTGGTAGAGCCTTCTCTGAGGCTGCGTCTCCCTCGTACGGCGGTACAACTTCCTCCAACGAGACGTATTCAGCGTCGATTCCCTGCAAAGATCACATCAGGCATGTCCATATAGTTCTTTGAGAGGTACTGACCTGGTCGCGTAGAATGGCAGTCATGACTTTGCACGCCATTCTTTCCCCTAATCCAATGATGCTGTCTCTGGATCGGGCAGATATTTCATCGATGATCTACAACAATTACGAAATCGTAATGTGGAACAGTAGTCAAATAACGAACGGGAATCATATTGGATCCCCTAACATACCTTTGCAGCAAACAAGAAACTCCGCAGCCATTCGCAGTCCCTGTCGATTTCTTCTTCCAACTCCTTCAGGATTACTGGGTCGCGTATGGAATTACGGGCAGCCGTGACATGTTCTTGTCGGATAATGTCGACGGTGACGGCGAATTCAGGCTGCGTCCCAACCGGGTGCGAGCCGTTAAGAGAGGTGAAACCGAACAATGGTTGTGGGCTTGACGAGCGAGATGACCTGCTTCGTGCTTTCGGGCTGGTAGGTGGGCTCATACTGTGGTCGCTGCCGTTGCGAGCAATCCCCCCACCGACACCGAAGAGACCCCTGGAGACGGGTGTGGCAGAACCTGAAGCCGACGAACCAGCGGGTTTTTCACGTTTGAGAGCTTCTGAGGCAGCTCGTAGCAGTAAGTTTGTCGTCCCCAGAGCTTTTGTCGAGCCCGAGCGTGCTGAACATACAATGGCAACCTTGTGGCTGTCGATATAATTCCTGCAACATCCAAAAAGCATGTGAACAAGTTACCCGACGCCATTTTCAGGACACTCACGCCACGATGTCCTTTGCAATCTTCACAGAAAACTTCCCTACGCTCGTACCACCAAACTTCTGTACAAGCCATTTGGCATCAGGGTGTATGGTGTTTTGATGTAAATCGGGTGGTGTTCCAGGTGGTGAGGATGATAGAGACGAAGACCTTGAGCTCGTTGGTGTCGTCGGCGACGACATAGTGAGGAAGAAGTGGGGTGTTTAGAGATTTAGAAAAGCCAACATTCGGACTTATATGCTATTTAAAACCGATAACCCGAAATCTAATCGCTGACTCGAACGTGCCCGGGCCGACAACCGGCCTCACCTCTCGCCAGTCCCACCTTTCATTCCCAGACCACCATGCCCAAGTACTGTGCAGGATTGTTGCTCCAGCGGCAGCCTCGACACTTCTCGGAAAGATATGTACTCTACTCGAGATCCTTTTGGAAGGCCCTTTTTCTCAGCCGGACTGGACGAGAACTTTTCAAGACGCGAGGCACCGTCTCTCAGTGCCAGTTTCGACACTGTAGGTCGCAAAATGAAATAAGGCGTTCAAGATCGAAGCGTCTTATGCATTATTTGCTTCAGTATAGCTCTTTTTATCTTCGCAATTATGTCTGGCAGCAACAAACTCACAATATGCTCGCCTCTGGAAAACTCAGGATTTCAATCGTTCACTCTATGGAGGATACCAGTGCCTCCAAGGTGTCTAGGCTGCAACGGAGTTTGTACCGAGATCTGCCTTATCTTTCTGGCCAGGGATGTCCAGGGCAGTCTGCACACTGTGGTCATTTAGACTTTGGATTGCGCAATCTGCTACTAGGACTGAACCTAGTTCAATCGGAAGCTAGTGGTGGCACAATTTCCTGGCGAGCCAAGGATCGACCCGGAACCCCTTTGTCCTGGTTTTGTTGGCTATTCTGTCGCTCGTGCCTGGGGTATTCATTCAGAAGACTCGAGACCTTGGAGTTTTGATAGCAGCCTGAGTATGCTCTGGACGCAGAACTGGGGATGGACGTTAACGGCGGTCCTACTGGCCGAAGCACAACTGGTGGACATTACTCCTATCTTATTTTCTTATTTTCGATGCCCCAATTCTTGACGGAACGTCTCCAGAATCCTCAAAAGTATTTATGCTTAGGTGTCCCCACTTGATTCTTTGAACATCGGCAAGAGAGATATGCATATGATGACCGGGGGTAGCTCCCTTCGCAACAAGAAGTTATTCTACAATCGACCAGGAAATTGCGTCCCACACAGTGCGCAGAAAAAGAAACTCTTCACGCAGGGGTCGAATAAACACTTCGATGATTGTCAGACGCGTGTACTAACCGATACACTAGCGGAGACCTTGCAAATCACCTTACGGAACGTAGTGAAACGAAGTGAAGTATGTTCCCACCCGGTCGAAATTGACCTTTTATGGTATGTTCTCAACACAAGCAAATACTTCGTTCTCCTGTGGAGGGCGCAAAATGTTGCCAATGGTCTTGTTTGGTTGGGGCTTCTCGTTGTTCTTCCGCCAAACACTTACTTCTTGTGAGCGGCGCAAACGTTGCCTTTGACGCTTGCTCTCGAAAAGGATCTCTTCCGGCGCGCTCGCCCCTTCAAGCTGGCATACACCCTCCCAACACCTCTTGTGACCTCCTGCTTGTGCCCTCCCCTCTCAGCAGGGATGTTTACCCGTATCCCGCACGGGTTCTCCAACCCCAAACTCTCTAGCTCTCGATGTACGATTGTACTTCTATTATGTTTCGCTACTGCTACTACCTTCGTTATTGATATTATCTACATTTTCCCCCTTGCGCTTTGCGTCGTATCAGCGTTGTATAGTGCCTTCGTTCTCCTGTCGCATCCCTCGAGCCACTGCATTCTGATCCTTAGATTTTCGCTCGGGTGCTGCATGAAAATCTCCTCTTTGTATCCGCGTAGCAGCCGGATGGTGTCACGGCCTCTGCTCCTCGATAGTGCTACATACACACTGAACGGTGAAAGCCCTGTGCTGGGAGGATCTCCCATGCCAATTATGACTTATTCAATTGTCTGTCCTTGCGATTTGTAGTCGGTGAAGGCATAACCGGGTGTGATAGCAAATTGTCGGTGTTGAATACTATGCCTCACTTGCAAACAATATTCCGTGTTTTCTGTTCTGCAAGGTGTATGTCGACCCTTTATATTTAAGTTCTAGTAAATTGGCAGGATCTATAATTACTGTCCCCGCTTCTACTCCTCGATGCTATCACGGAACCATGCGGTGCAGACTTCGAGAAGCGAATCATTTAAGCATGGAGTTGTTTCTGTCCTATCTCCGTTGTCTTCCTTCCCTTCGACTAGTACGTGCACTGGATTGACACGGCCAATGTCTGGCGGAAGCACCCCTTCCCACAATGTGTCCAACTCGGAGGAGAAGCACTCGCGGCTAGAAAATGGAGCAGATTACAAACCTGACACGTCTCGTTCGAGAGATGGAGCCAAATCACCCTCCGGTTCTGTCGATAAAGATGTGGAGATAGGCCCGACCGATAACGACGAGGAACAACAACTGGGCATTTTCCGAAAACTGACACGATTGCTGCTACGCTGGGGGATCGAAGTGCATGGGTGAGTCTGTTAGACTGGTCTTGCGACCTAGTGAAGCTGCTAACAAAGAATTTGACTGAAGGATTACCCCGACGACCGCGAGTCAAAGGACAGATAAGCGCCTGTACCAAATGTTTTTCATTTGGTTTGCTGCCAACTTCAATATCCTTGGGTTTGGCACGGGAAGCGCAGGCCCTGCGTTCTTTGGACTTGGCTTATGGCACTCTTTACTCATCCTTGCACTTGTTGACGTCGCGTAAGTTTCTAAATTTCTACTACTACCCCGGATGCTTGATATCATTCGCCAGTGCCTGCACAGTTCCAGCCTACTTGTAAGTTCTTCTCAAGATTTGCCTTTATAGTGCTACGGTATTCATAGTGGATTTCAGTGCTGTATTTGGACCCAAGCTTGGGACGCGAGGCATGGTGCAGTGCCGATTTTCCTGGGGGTAAAAGATATCCAAACAGACCTCATGCTTGGAAGTTTACGGGTGTTCTACTAGGTTATATGGAGCAGCAATTCCGAGTCTCCTAAACATTTTTTCGAGCCAAGGATTTTTGATCCTGAATTCCATCATCGGCGGACAAGCGCTCGCTGCCGTATCCTCCAAGCTAGACGCCACACTAGGCATCGTCATAATCGGTGTCGCCTCTCTCGTCGTGGGTGCTCCTTCTATCATACCCTTTCGAATCCACGGATTCTTACAGGACGCATTTATAAGATTACATTCTTCGGCTACAAGTTCCTACACATCTTCGAAAGCTACGCTTGGATCCCAAATGCAATCGCCTTCCCCATCCTTCTTGGACTTGGTGGGAAACACCTGAACCCATTGACCTTTCCAGCGGTCGACCCACCGACTGCAGCAAGCGTGCTGTCTTTCACGTCCTTCGTCGCTTCGAGCGTGATCAGCTGGTGCACTTTCACGCCTGATTATGGGGTGTATCACGACCATACGGCACCTACGTACGTTCCGCTTTAATAACGGCTACGTTTAAATTTAGTTGTCGAGCATTTTTTCAGCTGGAAGACATTTTCCTTCGTCTACTCCGGGTTTCTAACCGCATCCGTACATTCTTCTCCTCCAAAATTTCTCTCGTATAACTCATACCCATTGCCACCCAGATATCCTGGCATATGATCGGCGCAGCCTTCGCCGCCGCCGCACCCGGTGTCGTATCCTGGCAAGAAGGATTCGACGGCGGTAACGACATCGGAGGGCTCTTCGCCGCTGTGCTCGCGCCTGCGGGAGGGTTCGGCAAGTTTTTGCTTGTCCTGATTGCTTTGAGCACCTCCTGTGCCTGTGCGCCGACGATGTACACTTTCGGTGAGCTAATTTACAAAAGTTCGAGGGCGTTGGTGAATTGACGCATTTGTAGGGATGAGCTTCATGGCTGTGGCACCTTTCTTTGCAAGGATACCGCGATATGTCTTCGCCGTCGTATCAGCAGCCATGTTTGTTCTCTTCCATTCTCCACCTCTCAGTTGAACTGAATAGTTCAATTGTATAGTCTTATTCCTCTGGCCATCATCGGCGCGAAGACCTTCTACACTACTCTCGTCAATGTTCTCAGTCAGTCGATTATTTGCCTTTAAAGGTTTCTCGCACAATTTCTTAGTGCCATTCCGTAGGCATCATAGGCTACTGGTCAACTGCCTTCGCTGCTATAATTCTAACAGAACACTTCCTAGTCCGAAAGAAGTGGTCTGCCTACAACGTTTCTGAGGCATGGGATAAAGCCCACCTCCTTCCACCAGGCGTTGCAGCGATCTTAGCCTTCATCGGGGCGTTTGGCATCATCGTCCCTTCTATGTCGCAGAGCTTCTATACTGGCCCGATCGCAAAGACTGGTACGGGTGATATTGGCGTATTTACAGGCGGTAGTGTTGCTGTGGGGTTGTACGCGGTGCTACGGACTGTCGAGAAGCGGATAGTAGGCAGATGAACAAAACCATTATTTTGAACGCTTCAGCGAAAACCTACCTACGAGTCAAGACGGAATCGTTGGGGTCCATAATTGCTAAACACAAACATATGCGATTGATTGAGTAGGGAGCAAACATTATCGTGTAATACATGAGGAGCACTACGGCCCTCGTTCCTGATACACAAGTAGAGTACACAAACGGCACAGAAGTACAGGCATGATAAGAAACTTTTGACATGGCCCAGGAAGAGAAGAGGTGTTCGATGAGTGGTGATGACGCGAGAGGGGCCGTAGTAGGTTTTACAGGTACAATGTCCCAGGAGACAGGAAGCAGGCACGAAGGGCAGGCGGTTATCTAGGCTTGAGCCGGACCCGAGAAAGAACGAAATAGGAGAAAGAAAGAAGAGAAAAACTTGTCAAAACCTTATGGAATAGAAATAAAAAGATCCCTCGAAGGACGAGCAACCGACTGTAACGCCAACGAACCGATCGTTTGAGAAGACGGATACTTTGGGTGGCTCGCTCTTCGAGGAGGTCCATCTTTGAGTCGAGAAAGTTTTGGTGAAGATTTAGGAGGACACCCTCGTAAGGCTTGTCCTAAAGCTCGGCCAAAACACAATCAAAGGAGGATCTCCTCAAAGAGCGGGCCACCTAGAGTATTCGCAGCCTTATATAATCGGTCCCAGGCCCCAACTGCCATGCTCGGCACGCATATGCCCATAGATGCCAGCCCCATTCGGGAACGTCTGCAGGCAGACCCAGCACACATGAGTCTTGCACACCGCGCACACCATATGGTTGCATCCGTCGTCCTTTTCGATCGCCATTTTGCAGTTAGGGCACTGCTTAATGTCGTGCTTGGATGCCCACTCCCTGAACAGGTCGTCACCATCGCGCGATTCGGCGCATGTCAGTCCGTCGTGGGCCTCAGTGTGGCAGGCAGTGCAGACTTGGACGAGACACTCGGGGCACTGCATGGAAATGCCCTCTGGCGTAGAGCGGTAGATCTGGCTGCAGTCCGGTGTCGGACAGTAGTGGAACTCGTCGGCGTGCGTCTGCACGTGCGCTGCGAAGGCAGCCTCGATGAGTGCGTCGAAGTCGCTGACCGCGAGAATCTCGCGTGCCGTCAGGAGGGGGATACCCTCGCCGCATTTCTTGTCGATGCCGTGGCACTTCAGAGGGAATGCGGTCCGTTTCTCCGTTGCCACCTTTAGGTACCTCTGTAAACATGTCCGGCACCATGTATGGCCGCAGGGCAGCTTGATGGGCGACGATGCATCCGTGAAACATGCAGGGCAGACATCGGGTGAGCGATCCCATACGGCAAGGAAGTTGTGGTTCTGGCGGAAGTCATGCAACATGTCCTTGACAGTAGTGACGGTGTCCATGTCGCCGCTAACGGTTAGGCGAGATTCCCAGAGATCGAGGTTGACATTGCCTTCTCCGACGGCCTTCTCCATCGCGGCGAAGCCATCCTTGTCCTTTGAGAGGGCGTCGGAAAGCTGACCGCTGAGGACAATCGTGTGCACATTCCTGCGCCGCCTCTCGGCGACCTTTTCCAGGATCATCTTCCGCACCTCTGCCCTCTTCTCTGCAAGACCGAACAACCTAATTGACCGCCTCGCATAGATCCTCTCCACCGTGACTCCAGGGAATCGCCTCTCCAACTCCATCAGAAACTCAAATCCATGCTGGCGCCCGAAGTAATCGTCCCAGACCATCTTGCCGTCCTCCATCACCGGTTCGCCGTTCAATATCCGCTCCAGCTCTGCTTTGAGCTTTCCGAGGACTTTCAATCCTCACCACACAGACGCACAGACACAAACGTGCCTCTGTCTTGGTTCGACAGACTATAGCCAGGACCCTGCCTCCAAATATTTTCCGTAAATGCCTTGATCTCCGCCCCGACCTTGCATGCTTTGGCGACGGAGAGGCTGAACGAAATACTTTTCATGTGTCTAGCCATGACCCGCGTATAGCCCATCGTCGCGGGCTTGCGATTATGAAGGTGTTGCGCAGCCGCCTCGGCATCCTTAGGTGAGGAGAATATAGCCCATACCCGCATCTTCCCCTCACGGTAAGGTGCGTTCTTGATCTCGAAATCGACCATCTTTGACCGGAAGTTCGTCAGGAGCCTCTTGACACACACAATGGTCTCATCGATACTTGACCCAGTGTAGTTCGGGCGCTCGGTGACCATGCCTTGGTGTTCGCCGTATATCTCCATCCCTTTCTCCGTAACGTCCGGTGGTACGCCCGTGAATTTGACCGTCACTTTTCCGACAGCGGGCAGCGCGTAATGCAATGCTGCAGTGGGCTGGTATTCACCGTACGGCTTCTTTCTCGCGAGTTGGACGGCATGCTGAGCCTTTTCCAAGTCCGCATAACCCATGTACACGTTTCGATTAGGCCCTTCCCAATCGATGCGCACAGCAGTGTCCTTGAAGATGGTGCCGCTCTTTTTGTTCTCGACAGCCATCCGGGTCTCGAGCGTGCGGCCGTACTCGACAGCACCGTTCAGCGATGTGAACGCCGTGAAGGCTTCCGAAACCTTGCTGAAGTGCACTTTGACGCTCAGCGGGGAGACAGGTTGCGCGGGGCGTCTTATTTCAGTGACGTCTCCGAAGCGGCGAAGCAGTGTCTCGATTTTGAAATCGGTGAGGTGGTCTGGGAAGCCGCTGACGAATATCCAAGGCGACTCGAAGCCTGTGTCCAGCTCAGTCACTTGAAAGCCCGAGCCAAACTTGGCGTGAATATGTTGGTGTACCACACGCCCGACTGTCTCCGGCGGGCGCCTGACGAAGGTTCGTTCAGGTTGAGATGTAAGATGCGCCAGGACAGCGCCCTTGAGTGGAGCATGCACCCCAGAAACAGGAGGCACGACCTAATCGTGCGAATCAGCCTTTGCGAAATAGGTTAGACAGTAACAAAGACAATTTACCGGGTCATCCATGTAGTCCAAGTCATCATGAATATAACGGCATTCATACCCCTTGTCGCACATGTCGCGCAACCACCGTCTGCACCGCTCGTTTGTTCTCGGTCGTGGGCGCCTGATTACTTGCTGTTCGCCATGAAGGAATTTCTTCATTTCTGCCAGCGGTTTTGAAGCGTAAGAGGGGAGGATTAAATTTGTTGGAGACAAAGAATTACGAGAAGCGGACGAAGCCAAAATTTCGCGACCGGCGCTGACTCGTTTTGATTGCGGCGGGTCATCTGTTACATTGCTGTCGCTCCAAGCACTCTCGTCGGCTCGGGGATCCCAATTTTCTAATGGAAACGGATCAGGAGAAGCAATCCTTCGGCAGATCGCCACCCGTTCTTCGTCACTGTCGGTCGAACTGTGGCTTTCTTCTGACGATACTCCGGTATACCGACTATTCGGGAGATCCTGAAGGCCAGAGACGGAGTGCCAATGCTGGACATCGTCTAACCATGATGGCTTTGGGGGGAGTGGGTGTGCAAGGCGATGACGGGGAGGCGGGTCAGTTCTCGCGGAAGATAGTTGAACGGAAGGGCTCGGTGAGGACGGGGATAAAGGTGGGGGGAGCCGGACTCGGACGGTTGGTTCGTGATTCGTGGACGGAATAGCTGGCTCGACTTGAGCCGAGGTCGATGAGGGGGGTATAACATCAGGAGGGTGTGTCACGACGGCTGGGGTTGTTGGCTTCTTTTGAGCGAGTGTTTGCGCATCAGCCAAGATACTGGGTTCAACTGTTGCAGGCCGTGGTTGAATACTTGATCGGATTGCCGTAGGCGGCATTGGGGTGGAGGACGAAGGAGGTGTGGGTTTGTCTGAATTCACCACGTCCGTCCTGGGCATCGGTCCATCTTCCGCAGGCAGGGTGCCGGGAGGAGGCTCAGTGCCAGCCAAAGGCTCGGGCTGTAGCCCAGAATCACCTCTTCTCGTCTGCTTCACTCGCTGGCTTTCCTGGATTGCGCCCGGAAGGTACAACTGAATGTCAACGGGATGGATACGAGGGCATCGCTCTCGAAGACGGCAACGCCGCCGAGTCCTAACAAAATCGTAGCAGATATCGTTGAATTTCGCCTTGGTAGGAAAAGCCTGCCATGCGGGGTCAGAAATCTGCAGAAAGACGGCAGGAATACACCACGCACCAGTACACCAAACGCCACGAACTGCGATCCTTGCATCGGCCCTCCGGATGGCATGTTCACTTCAACGTCCTCTCGATCAATTCTCTTGTGGTTGCAATCCTCGCTCCTCAGCACTTCTGCCTCCCGGTCGTATGTTCTTGTCAAGCCGTCGATGCACTCAAACGAGACACGGTGGAGAGCGGCATCATCCTATGGTAAGCCGTGGCAATGAATTGGCAATTTTATTCATATGTTGAGACATCGACATACCCTCCTCTCAGCGGACGACGAAGCTTGTAGCAATCTTGATAGGTTCTTCGCGTGCTTTACTCTGGGGAGGATGGAGCGTGCGTCGAACGGCTCGGTACTGGATTTCAGATCCTGGGACGCGGAAAGACATTGCATGTTAGGACATTCCCGTACATAATATATAAGAGGCATGCTACTCACCGTTGATGGTGCCAGAATGAACTGCTCTTGGGCAGCGGGCTCAGCAACCTGTCTCCTGCTCTTCTTGATGCTGACAACGTGGGCTGCATCCGCTGATGCAGCGTGGGGGACTTGAGTTTCAGGAGCGGACTTGTTACGTTTGGTCGTTATGCGGGAGGATGAGGACCCTGCGGCCGACATGGAGGAGGGTTAGGGATAGGTATAGGGTTAAGCTCACGGAGTCACGTTCGACGAACAATGGAGGTGACACATGTCACGTTGTGGCGCTTCACTGTGGCCCTCCGAAATAGAATGGACTAATTGCCCGTTTCGCAACCTCAGTGCAATATATGGTCAGCCACAAAGCTGCACAGAACTTTATATCTGCAGCAGCAATAAAATTGAGTCTATCTAGCAGAATATAATATTGATGGATCAAATGCCCTGCTAATTTCCATTATTGCTCTGGGTGGATAATTTCACCATTTTGGAAAAGACGACTAGACGACTAAGCGGCACCCATCTCTCATCTAGTAAAAAGCCACCAGAAGCGTTCCAAACATTAAACTTGATCATGATGGAGGGAAGCAGAGGCGATCTGGGATTCTCGAGACTTTCCTGGACTTGGCGCCGTCCTGCCTCTCCAGGCGAGGAAACATCATTTTAACAAATTTAGCTTTCGAACCAGAAGGATGTCCTATACGTTCTCGTCGCAGATCATAAGGAAAGGGGGATGATTGTGGTCTTGAAATAGTCCATCAGTGTCACCAACATCACCTTGCACACCATCTACACACCTTTCTTGCCTCGAATTGGGCAAAGACTGTATCACGCCCATCACCCTCTTCGCCATAAACTTCCTCGTGACGATAATCAATAGCGCCCCAACACTCTAGCGTGTGCGCCACGGAGCAGACATTCCTATCAGACCGCTGAATCAGACCGCTAAAACCAAACGAAGCTTACCATTGCTACGCCCAAAACCTCTCGAAACATCATCCACACGAAACATGCGAGCGCCAGGAGCGCCCTAGCCCATCCAGGCGTCATGAATCCTTCTAAGGCGATGTCAAGATGCTCGAAGTCAACAGTGAAGTTAGGTGCGAGCCAACCGGAGCCTTGAAAATACGCAAGGAATAAGGCGTGAGTGACACAGATCATGTTTGACAGTTGGCGCCCTCCAACCAGCATTAAGCACAGGACCACCAATCAAGAGGAAAGAGGAAAGACGATGATGAAAGTAGAAATGACCTGAGCAGAACGTGGTAACGGAGTGAAACTTGAAAAATCACCTATCAAAATCCTCTCGATGCCCTTTCCGAGCCACCCTACAACATGTCGGGAGGGCCAGGCCCGAGTATCCCAATGGATATTATTGAGAATATCCTTTTGGGCAGATATTGCTGTCTCATTGATGCTTTCGATGCCCTTCTTCGCTTCCGCTGTAAGCGCGTTGAGGGTACTTGTAAGGATTTGAGCTTGACCGTTTGCGTCTGCTTGAAGTGCACGGACTTCTGCGGCGCCTACAAGGGAGGAGGAGAGCATATTTGATATCCGGGTGCTCTGGCCCGAAATCAGGGACATCTCCTATACGCAAAAGATAAGATCGCGTCTGGTTAGACGAGGAACCGCTCGTGAAAGGCAGCTACAGACCTGTTTCACGCCATCGATATATTGGTCGAGGTTAACCAACGGCGTTCCATTTCCGTCTGTGAATAAAAACGGGGTAACGAAAAAAAAATTGAACACGAGAACCAAAACTTACTGAAACGGAGCTAAGATGCTCATAGGCGGCAACTTGCTGAGAAAGCAACCCGTCAAGACGATACCCGAAAGCCGACTGTATCGTTGAGAGCAGATCGTCAAGCCCCTGGGCGTGCTGTGTAATTGACAAATTTTATTACATCAACTAGAACTAAGGAAGATAGAAGCTTACCCGACGAACTTGACTGTTCAATGCATTTTCAAACTTAAAACATTCATGAGCAAAATAAACCACGCCACGAAGTTTACGGACCACAGCGAAGGATTGTGCCGTTGCTTCATCTCTACGGTTGAAGAGATCGCGAGCCCAGGATCGGAGAATTTTGAAAGTCTTGGGCCATTTAGCATCGTCTCACGAATGAATGAAAAAGCAGTACTCCATTAAACTCGTCATTCAGGTGACTGACGATGTCGTCTGCCGTGGATTTAAATTCACCAGAAAGCGCTCTAGTTTCAAGGAATACATGTTGTATTTTCTGTGCGTATGTGCACACGGTTAGGAGGGGAACACTGTCTCGCAACGTGTGGGGTACATACCTCGGCTTGTTGCCGCAATTCTTCGGTATATCTTTCCGACTTCCTCTCTTTCTCTAAGATGAAGCGGACAAGATTTAGCTTCTCAACAGTGATGTTGTAGTATATGCTTCTGGCAAAATCTAGACGAATGAGCTGTGAGCGATGCACTAAATAACAAGGGGCAGCCCAGACGAACCGATATCGTTTCCTCGTCGAAATTCATAACATAATTGCGCTGAATTAGAGACGGTGGTCAGAATATATGCGGGAAGATGTGCTCGCAGACCGACTCACGGACTTCGCGTAGATAGCCAGAGTAGCTTGACCAGAATTGGGCGCTCCTTGCGAGAGAACTAGGAATGGCTGATCAGCAGAGTCCCACGGAGAAAGGAGCATGTCTCTGACTCGACACATTCGCCCTGAATGCTTCTCGACAAGGGAATTAAGATATCCTCCTTCTCGGACAGGGCCTTCCAATACGAGGCACATTCCAAGGGTAACGAGTGATGTTTGGCTGTGGCCACTTCGCATAGAGTCATCGAAATCGCCGCTAGTCACCCAAGACCCTTGAGGAACGTGTTCTTGCTAAAGCTGAGCAAGATGGCTACCGTTTACTCTGGCTTGTTCATCCATATCCAGCTGCACGCATCGCGTTTGGATCAGGCGAGCAGCTCTTTTGAAGCAATCAGGCCTATTCTTCGCGTATCCCTTCAGAGCGTCTGACAAGAGTGTGCGACGCGTCATGATTCAACCCAGCAATCAGAGAGATAGATCAGACACCGCGCGTTCTTACCCAAGTTAATGTGCAGGGCGATTGACTCGGGGTCATCAGCAAAGGGATCTTCAGCGACATCAGGATCAGAGATGATAAGAATGAAAGCAGTCAATATGGTTAGACAAAAAGCAGCGAGGATCAGAGGGATGCACCGATGTTCGAGACCAAGTTGTTCAGTTCAAGAATATCATCAGGCATGTCGTGAAAACGCGTTTCGTCAGAGCCAGAGTCAGTCTTCGCACGTAGATCCGGATTTCCGATACGTCGAGGCCAGGAGAAAGCATTAGAAAAGCTGCTAGTCCACAAGACGAGAAGAAAAAAAGCTGTACGACCCCACATTAGTCGGATGAGAGATGGAAGCAGGATCGAGGAGACAGCGGAGTTTGAATGCCAGACACCGCGGCACCGCGGGCTGCGATCTTTCTCCCAAAACAATTGTACAGTGCCTGTGGACATATCTGTCAGGAGTATTGTCACATCTTGTATGAGATGGCACCTACAAGATCACGGACAAATCCGACGTTCTGCTAACCCATCCAGCAAGAATCTAATCATCGAAAGTTCTGGACTATGTTTGGGCCCGATTTACTACATACAATGCGTTCTACTCTGACTTTAAAGCTACTCGTGTACGTCTCTGTCATTTTCTCAACCTCCATGCCTTATGCATAGTTACAGACTACCACAAAGCGCATATATCGAGTGGATCAAGAAGGGGGGCATATTTCTACGGAAGGTGAAAGCGGGGTCGCATCACGAAACGGACTCAGTCCTTATGAGGACCCACCAGAAATCCTTGGGACAAATACCGAGGGTAATTAAACCGTGTTCATGATAGCAAAATTTAACAAACCAAGCGAACTAGCCTCAGTCATGTTATGAGGGCTAAATGAGGGCGGATATTAGCCGCTGTGACAAGCGCTGTCACGAACTCACATCTGGCAAGGACCCCGGAGAAGGTCCATCATGCGTCGCCCTATTGAAATATAGACCTGAGCCCAGCCGTCAACCGTACGCGCTTCTCAGCCAGCAATCAAAAAGTACGAACGGACCCCACAGCAGCGCGCCCCTCCCGAGCTCTTCGAGATAAGTCCCCTTGGTAAATCCCCTATCATCACGGATGGCGATGTTACACTTGCCGAGAGCGGTGCTATCGTTGGTACGCTATCCAAAAGATCTCCACACGTAGCGTTATTGTGGGAGAGAATGGGCGGCGTTGACCGCCTGCCAGATTAGGGTTGTTACTCACGAACCAAGAGCGGCTCCACGTTGCCTCCGGCGTGCGAAGAGAGTGACGAGGCGGTGGGGCACTCCTCATTTGCTCCCTCGTCAAGCTCGCTCTTGCCTTGCCGTCCGTGTGTGCATTGCTGTGTCTTCATCGAGATCCAACAACCCTTGGCTTTAAGTACGCCTCTTTTTCTCTTTTAGAGTCTTCCCCGAACTCACTCTCGCTCTCCCCCCCTCCTTGGCCCCTTTCCCTCTAGTGTCTACCACCGAGACCTACATATGACATCCTTAAACGCGTCATGTCTGCGAACAAGGACTTCACGTCCATCATCATCAGCATGGCCCACCACATCGTGCCCAACCCGCCTACCGGTGCTCCGTACCTCCCGTCTCCCGTCGAGACCAAGTACTATCTCTACGGTCTCCCTTCAGGGGCTCGCATGATCGCGCGCTCCAGCGCTGACGTCTGGATGCCGCCCACCAGCGCTGAGGCGTATCTGGAGCCGAAGGAGCTCGCCGTTTTCGGCGCCCACAGTCTTAACGGCGTCTGGGACGATATCGTCGGTCCTGCCATGGAGGCCTACCTGGCTGACCAACAGGTCCAGTGTTCCATCATGCATCCCGTCCGTCTCGGCGCCGTTGGTCAGACCCCCGACCCTCCTCCCGCCTTCGTCATGATAGGCGTCCACCACGACACCGTCTCGGCCGAGTCCGGCCTGCGGGTCGCCGTCCATTGCAGGTCCATCCTCCTGGACCACCAGATCGAGGACGTCCATGTCATCGTCTACGAGTCCAAGTACCGGTTCCTCGCGGGCCTGTACAAACCCGCCGTCACCTCCAATCCCATCGCTATCGTCCGCGAGCCTTTCTCTACCACGCTCGGCATCCCCATCTGTAACGCCACCACGCCCAACTTCGAGGGGACCGGCGGTTTCTTCTTCATCGATTCCGCCAAGCCCGGCAAACTCTTCCTGCTCACCGCCAGGCACGTCCTCTTCCACCCCGACAAGGAACCAAACACGCTCTACCGCTTCCTAGAGAGCGGTGGCGGCGCCAAGCACAAGGTCTTGCTTATGGGCGAAGCGGCCTTCAAGGCTCGCTGTGGCGACATCGAGGCCGCCATCGGTGCCAAGGAGATCATCTTGGAGCAGCTTGCGCGCCGTTTGGAGCTGGCTGACAACTTGGATGAGGAGGAGGCTGGGGATGAGCGTGATGAAGTCGAGGCTCTGACCAACGCCGCCAACAAGGCTATCGAAGCCCTCAAGAAGCTGCTCGCTGATATCGTTCGGGACTGGACGGACAAGGAGAATCGTGTCATTGGCCACGTCACCCTGTCTCCTCCCATCAGCTTCAACCACGTCGACGGCGGATTCACCGAAGATTGGGCCGTGGTCGAGTTACTCCCCTCCATGATCTCCAAGCTCAACCTCGTCGGCAACGCTATCGATCTCGGCTCTGTTGCCGTCGACGAGCTCACCGCCTGGATGTACCCGCAGCTTTCCAACCCCAGCGCTTTCAAGTACCCTGGCGATCGCCTCCTCCGCTTCTTCGGCACCGTCTCCGACGACGAGATGTACAAGCCTGACCCGAGGACCAAGGACCAGGATAACGATCCCGTTATCATGGTGCTGAAGAACGGCAACTCCACTAACCTCACCGTCGGCCGCCTCAACACGATCCGCGCCTTCACGCGCACCTACTTCAAAGGTAAGCCTGGCGCCATGTCCAAGGAGATAGCAGTCCTTCCGCGCAGCTCTAAGTCGGGCCCCTTCTCGGCCAAGGGCGACTCGGGCTCGGGCGTCATCGACGCCAAGGGCAGAGCGTGCGGGCTGCTCACGGGCGGCGACGGTGCTACTGACGTGTCCGACTGCACCTTCCTTACCTCGGTCAACTTCCTCGTTAAGCGCCTCAAGGAGCACGGCATCCGTGCCAATATCTTTCCTGTGCCCGCGGAGATGTGAAGAAGGTCGCGCTCCTGCCGCCAAAGTACGTTCGTCGCGCTTTTGCCTTGTACCTATTCACACTTATCTGGTCTTTTCTTCTTCCAGTCGTCGTCGGCCATCGCTCCCTCCGCTTTGAAATGACTTGACTCCCTACGTTGTACTTGTATTCGATGTGCGCTCTGAAATCGATATTGTTGTCACACGTATACTTTTTGGCCCTGTAAGGATAAAGCCCTCGTAGCAGGGATCGAACACCCCCAGTCAGATAATAATAATAATAATACACCGCCTGGACCCTCGAAGGATCTGCGGGACAATGGAGGGGAAGCCCATGTGTCTACGTGACTACATGGTAAATGAAGTATACAGATATTGAGAAGGAACAGTACTAGGATCCTCCTGGCCAGGAAATGTCATACCCGTACAGTCAGCGAGCTCACCATGGTCTGATAGGTCTTCATCGGAATCCGACTGTGAGTCCAAAAGTGTGTCCGGGCAATGACGGCCTGACCATACCAAATAGATGGTATGGATAAATTAGGCTTGTTCTATTTGCCGGGCCTTGGGTGGAGGTCGATTCGTCCAAAAAGGGATGTTCGACCTTCGGCCGTAAGCTGGGAAAGAGAGCACGTGAGCGCATCGCGAGACGCGTCGTTGATCAACGTATACTAAGTAGTTATCTGTACTTCACTCCCATGTCCACCACCTCGCTCAGTCCCAATCCTCCCTTCTTGTGGACATCTCTTGAAGGACGGGTGTACATTCGTGAAGTGATCGAGCAACTCGTGCCTCAGTGGCCGAACGGACCCCGGCTGACTCAACTTCAGTGCTGGGGAAACACATTACAAGGCATCCCAACCATTCTCATCGCCTCGACAAGCTGGGGGAAAACGACCGCATTCTTCGCTCCCATCCTCGTCCTCCGCCACCTGCTCCGAAATCCGCGACCCGAGATACCAAGGCCGCCCGAGAAGCCAGTTGCACTTGTGGTGACACCGTTGATTGAGCTCGGGAATGCCCATGTACGTCGTTGCTTTCTCGAGAGAGCTTGTCTCAGCTAACATAGTCCAGGCTCGCAAAATCACCACGTTTGGCCTCAGAGCAGTGTCGGTGACGGCCGAGTCTTTGCTCGCTGCGTCGCGAGAAGGACGCAATCTTTTTCAAGAAATCCGGCAATGTCTATGGTCAATTGTGCTCATGTCGGCTGAGCGCCACCCTGGATTGAGCTCCTCAAGTCCTCGAGGGTTTGTTTGGCCATCTGCGCGAGGGCGTCATAGACTGTCCGATAGGCAACTGAGTGGGCAAGACGGCTCTCGACACGGAAGATAAATTTGGTGAGTGGTGCATTCCGAGTAACGATGCCTTCAAGTGACTTGAGGCTGAATAAAGACACAGCATCCCAGGTCACTCGATGTGCAGCGTCACGTCCACCAGGCTTCGCTCGTGCACGAAGATGGAGCCCTGTGTCAGGGTGTACCATCTTCTGCGACTCCTCGTTTGCAAGAGAGGCCACCAACTCAGCAGCCCATGTTACCATGGCAGGCTGGGCATGCTCAATCGCGTTCAGATCGCCCTCGCGAATGAACAGGCTCCCATTTGGCTCGATGGACATGTCGTTTTCGCGGAACTCGGTGGCGATTGCATTCTTCCAAAGAAGCTGGAGTATTTCACCAAGGTACGGTTTTGAGTTGCCATTGAGCATGGCTTGCAACGACCCCTTGTGTTTCTTAGTTCGTTTGACAGGTATCAGTGATCCATCTGCCTTCTCGTCCTCGAGCTTGAGAAGGTTGAACAGAAACTTAGGCAATGTCCACCCAACATTGGTTATGGTGTCCAAGATAGACCCGACCTTGTCTAAATCACTTTGAGCAGGTTTTCGTGTTGACTGTGGTTTTTGCGTTGGCGGTCGGAAAGGTGTTGTGGTTGCTGGTGGATTGGTGGGCGTAGAAATGGAAAATTCGCCGACAAACCCAGTTGTACTGGTGTCATTGCTTTTCTGAGGTGTAGAAATGTCCATGGTAATTTTATTGAGAGTATCTACTGTGCGCTACGTCCATTGTTCGGTCTGTGAGACATGAGGGAGCGGTGGTCTTAGACAATTTGCCCCTATCCGAAAAGAGAATAGGGACCGCGTCGCGCTGCACGTGATGTTTGACAGACCTGCAACGAAAAATTGGTCATTTCAAGGGTGTTCCGGAAGCAATTCTGTGCACTTTTCTGGCCAGGGTTTTCGTCTGAAACCTCTTGCAAACTCCTCAGCAGGTGTCTCATTTTGTCATTATTTCCGTTTCACACTTCGGCAGGGACGGTTCTTGGCCCCGGAACTGCTCTTAATTCAGCTCTTTCTATCACGTGATGCCTCTTCGTCAAGGTTTGGTCCTGCTCCACAAAAGGAAACCCCTTGGAATGGCAAAGCTGCCCCTGCAACTGTCATTGATTTGGTCCGAAGAAGGCCGAATCGACCCCATCACCAAAAGGCCCACAAATAGAAACAGACCTTATATCAGTGACACATCGACTATCATTGTGGAACTATTAGGTCTGTCTAGAGAGACTATGGATAAATTGAGCTGTAAGAGGGACAAGGTCCCAGTGAAATATCAGCTTCTTGAGCCAGAATAAGGCAGCATCATCAGAGAACCTGTGAGGCTGTGAAATGCCTGAACAAATAGAGCATTCTCGGAAAAAATCACAACAAGCAATCACTACACAAGAGTTAGCCGAGCACTGTAGTAGAGCATGCTCAGGAGTTTCAACGTGAGAGTGACACATGCAGCAAAGATGTTCTTGCATGGGAATGCCATGCATGGAAACTGAGTAGTAGATGGATTGGCCAAAAATAAGCATTGTGAGAGAACGGCAATGGCAGGGTGTTGTGACACAAAGCAGATAGTGGTGGAAAAAAGACCAAATAAACTTGTAAGTCCCATCTGGTAGCAGCTCCAAGCAATGATGAAGAAGGTAAAGGCAAGAGTTATCCAAGATGTTTTTGTAGAGAGTGTTCCATGTGTAGTTGTGAAGCGAAGTCTGCATGTGGGACAAGGACATCTGATGCACTTGATAGCTTGTGAAGTGGCAGTAGAGAGATAGTGTCTTTTGATGCAACACATAGTGCATAGTCTAAATCACTGAGCCAGGAGGCATGGTGATGAGCACACAGATTCTCTGACTCCAAGAGAGCACAAGAAACAAAGGAAGATGGAGGAAGTGAAAGGGATTTTGCCAAAAAATCCAAGGCCAGAATGGTCTGACAAGGCTGAATTGGGAGAATGCCTGTTTCAATAAACAGTGGTGCCCTTGGACAGCAGGTGGGGACCAACAACAAGTGACAAAGGAAAAGGACTTGGATAGTTTCTAGTTCCTGAACAGCAGATTCAGAAACATCAGGAGCAATGTTGCAGGCATGAATCAGATGACAATCCATAAGAGAAAAATAGAGGGATTGAGATGTTTTTAGAGGAAGATGATTGCGCCCAGTGTGATGTTTGAGGTTAAAAATAGCATGGGCAGAAGCACAAGCAGCAGTCGCCTTTGTGCAATAATGCAAGGCAAAGTAGTCACACAAGGTAGAGCAGAATGTAACTCCAATGTACTTGAACAAATCTGTGAAACATAACTTGGTCCCATTGATAAAAAGATCAGGGAGCAGATTTGGGATTGGACCAAAGACCATCAACCATGTTTTTGAAGGATTGAGGACAAGAAAATTGTCATGACACCAGTCACAGAGGTGGTCAAGATGGCATTGGAGGCCAGAAGAGGAAAACAAAATCAAGGCGAGGTCATCTGCATGCTCAAGGTGAGCAATAGTGCTTCCAAAGAGTGTGGCATCTGATGGATCTGGCTCTAAGGAGAATGTCAACAAGAATATGTTCCACAAAGTTGGGGAAAGTGGGTCTCCACTGAGCACACCCACCAGAGATGAAAACTTCTGTGAAACGATTCCATTGTGGGCAATAATGTAGGTCATCTGTGAATACAACATTTGAATCCAATCAAAGTATTGGCCTGTCAGGCCATAAGCCTCAAGTTTCAGCCAAAGAGAGGAATGACTTGTAGAAGGAAAGGCATTTGATATGTCCACAAAGGCAATGTCTAAGGTTTTTCCTTTTGAGGCAGCCTTGTCAATCAGTGTCCAAAGGACAAAGGCATTATTATTGGTATGGCAGTTCTTCCAAAAACCATTTTGGGATGGGGGAATGATGCTGGTGCTATTGAGAGCCTTGCAGAACTTAGTATGGATGATGAAGGTGAGAGCCTTCAGAAGGCAGCTTTCCAGGGCAATAGCACAATAGTTCTTAACGTCCTCTGCAGTCTTTCCATGTTTTGGGGCCCCAATGATCAGGGTGAGGAGCCAATAATGAGGTGAGCCATGCCTATGGACACATTCATTGAAGTCGAGCAATATAATGTTGTCCGTGTCCAGAATTTTAGCCTTGGACACCTGGTCTAGACCCAGAGCAGAGTGGGGACTGTGAGACAAAAGATGAGCTTTCAGAACCTCAATGTCATCCAAAGTGATATTGTCCTGAAGGACCAGGAATTGGGCCAAGGGAGAAGTGATATCAGGAATCTCTGAGGCCAAGTCCTCAGTATGAGCCAGATGAGCCTTATCAAAGCCCACCATATCAGGATCAGGAGGGTTCATGTGAGGAACAAAAGTGTTAACTAAGTCATCAAGTGACACTTGTGGATTAACAGAGTATGGCCATGTCAGATGATGATAGAAGCACCAGAAAGAAGGAGGATCCTTTGAGAAATGATTTAAATGGTCAAGGATGAAATTTTGAGTTAACCGCTTAAAGTCATGACTGCAGTGGTTGGAAACAGAGTATGAAGCAGTTCTAGTATTACATCAAGGGAGAACAGAGAATGGCTGGGATGATGTTGCAGACTCATTCTCTGGATGCAGAAGGTTATCAAGCATCATGTCAAGTACAGACTCAGATTGATCTGATGGTCTCAATAGAGAAAGTAGATTGCAGCAACATCGAGTGACCAGAGGTCTCACATGATCATTGGCACAGTCATTTGAGAAACAAGTGGGAACAGATAGAACCAGTGATAAAGAAACATGGTCTGAGTAGCACATACAGTCCCAAATGTCAAGGAAAGTGACGTTTGCAAGAGCAGAGCAAGACATTACAAAGTAGTCAATAACCAAGCAGCATGAAGAATTGCTGGATGCAGAATAGTACGAGGTCCAGCCATTGTGTCTTCCATGGATCCCCTTGCAGGCATTGAGAATCACAAAGTCAAGGTCCTTGCAGAGGCAAATAAACTCCCAACCACATGAAGTAGAATTTGTGAGATTAATGGAGTGACAAGATGGAGCATGGCATAGAGATAAGGAAGCAGTACATGATTTGCATCCAATCCCAACACAATTGGGAGGCCATAGGCAACAGCCAAAGATAGGGAGTCATGGAGAGCTTGCCAGGGGTCATAGTCTGTCCACCGAGAGGTATCGGACTTGGTGTTGGCTGGAAGAATATAGGCATTGTATATGAGAAATCCTTCAGCCTTCAAGACAAACATGTCCAGGCAACAGAGGGCATCAACAATCTCAAAAGGGATGCTTTGACAGACAAGGAAGGTGACACCTCTCCAGTTAAGACAAAAGCGAGAGTCAGTACTCTTATCATTATACATGTATAGGTGGGATAGCAGTTGGTGAGTGTCAGGGACATGAAGGACAAAGTTGACTGTGGACAACAGATGAGATTCCTGAATAAGGACAAGGTTGTAACAAGCCACAATGGCACAAAAGTCAGAATGAAGGAGTGCAATAGTGAGCCCTCTATTCAGATTCCATGAGAGAAGATATAGGGATACATTGGAGGTGCATGATACAATATTTGTCATCAAAGAAAAGAGTGAAGGGGTGGGGGGATCAGAAGGATGGCTAAGTAACAATGGTGAAGAGGTGGTTGAGAGATTGGGTGGTGGTACATGTAAACAATCTGATGATACAAATACAAAAGTAGAGACAAGGGAAAGAGATTGAGAAAAAAGAGAGAGTCATTTATTGTGAATGTTTTTGTTGTTGTCTCCTGCCTTCTCCTGATCATCAGTGGACATCTCCTCATCATTGTCTTTTGAAAGACGGATGGAAGACATATTGATATGTTGTAAGAGAAGGGGGTCTAGGCATCAAAGGAGAGCAGGGGTTGGTGGCCTGTCATGAATAAGGGGTGATTGAGAGCATGAAGACAGAGGGCTGGTGTCAGCACCAGTGGACAGAGCCAGAGGTTTGAGGCTGCATAGGAGAACAGGGAGGGAATGAGTATTGTGGTCCCATGTAAAGGAGGGGTGACCAGCATGGGACCCAGAGGAATGAGCACAATGAGTGCAAGGGTCGTTTGAAGCAGAAGAGCGTCTCATCTCCAGCAGGAGATGGGTTGAGGACTGAAGCTCATCAACCTCATCTCAGAGAGAGAATAACATGTCAACATCATCATCATGCAGAGTGGCCAACCTTCCAACTTCCCAGTGCAAAGCTGTCAGGCCCCACACAATCTTGTCCAGCACCCTGGAGTTGACCAATGTAAATTTTGCAGGGGAGCAATCAGCACTTGAAGAGGAGGGTGTTGTCTCTGGGAAGTAAGTCATACAAAAAGGAGGGTTTGCTGAAGGAAGAGAAGGGGGGAGGGGGAAGAGGCTGCAGTTGACGGCGAGATGTCCTAGAAGGGCCAGAATGATATTGAGAGGAGGAATGTGGGAAATTGTGCTGAGTAGACAATGAACCTGCTTGTGGTTGAAAGGACTGATGCAGTGGGGTAGAAGGCTCTGCTCTACCCTTCCCTTTGTCAGGTTTATTGACAGAACTGGGTGAAGGATTGGAGCTTGAGGCCTCCTCCAGGTGCCTATTGAATGTGATAGATGTTTGGCAAGACAGTGAATGTTGAGTAGGCAATCCAGGCTGGGCAGCTCAGGATGAGATTGTTGGGAATGTTGAGCTGGAAGATGGTAAGGGCAGCAGAGGTGGTGGAGGTGGAGGCAGAGGTACTGAGGAGGAAGCTGGCACAGATGATGCAGGATTTGCAGGTCGAGGATTGATGGCAGCATTAATGGAGGAGCCATCTGCAGGAGTGTAGACAAACCAGCCATTTGTGGTATGTGAAGGCTGTTCCTTCATGGCGTTGCTGGTGGCCTGGGACATAGAGGTAGGAGGATGATCATTGGTTGTGTTCTGTAGCACAGCATATGTAAGCAGCACAGTCGCAATAGGTTCCTTGTCATCCATCTCGAAGTCAACAAGTTTGTCATCCATGGTTGATAAGAGAGAGTGGCTGTTGATGAAAGGGGTGGTAGGGGATAGACCATCTGGAAGCAGCAGAAGTCAGCCTATATTGGAAGAACAGAGGAGAGTGGTCAAAGGGAAGGGATGTGGGGGAATGGTTCATGTGCACAAATGTCTCAGCTCATGCACAACGAGCAGCAGTCAAAGGTAGGTGATAAGATGATGTACGCCAAAATTGGGGAGGAAGAAGAAAGTGGCTAAAGTCTGTCAGTGTTGAAAGGGCCATACAGAGGAAACAGAGAGTCTGTCAAAGGGAAGGGATGTGATGTTGGCCAGCCAAGGAGTGTGAGACACAACAAAGAAATGGTGCAATCATGCCCAAACTTGCCCAACAGGCACTATGGCAATAATAGAATAGAATTATGAGGATGAATACAATGATATAATCCAAATCATTTGCACTGAATGCAAGTGCCTGTTTCAGCAGGTGCACTTGACTTTCCCACAATCTCCAGTGTTGCGCTTTGTATCTTAACATCCACAGATATGGCAGAGGTAAGCCAGTGATATGACAAGCAGAGGCTGGACCTGACCTGTGTTGGTCAAGAAGATTATACACCATAGGTGCCTACAAGGAGGGGTACCTTGTCCGCTGGCACATCCACCATGGGTGGCTTGGCTGGTGACATGGTTCTAGTCTAGGACTTCATGATCCTATCATCAAGTAGGAGGAGAACTTTTGGATTTCATGTGAAGTCCAGAGTGAAGTCATCAGAAATGTACTGTTAGCCTTTTGCATCTTGTCTCCACTGTTCAGCCACATCTTGGACAGTTTGTTGCTGCATACTTTCCTGATTTTAGGGAAGGGACCACAATCCCCACTTGGCTGCTCCAGCCCAACAACCAAAGGGCTTTAAGCTACAATAGTGCAATAAACCCTTGTGCAAGGAACCCGCAAGGTGAGGGAGATAGGTGCAAGGAAGTCATGGTGCAACAAAGCGCTGAACTGGAGAAACAGTGGCAGCATGACCAGGACCAGGATTCAGGAAATGGGCAGGGCGCAGCAAAGTGAGACCCCCACCTAATGCTTCCCCTGCCATTTTTAGAGTCTATTTGGTTGCCAGTAGCTGGCTGACTACCAGCCAGCTCCAGTTTTGATGGCCAGATGAGCTGCTTCCCATCCATTGCAGACCAGCATCACAAACACCAGTCTGCAATTCCGACATTAATGATTGCTTAGATTTCAGTGTAGATAATCCTGACCTCATCAAAACAATGCTGTTGAGGTGTGTTTCTTGTGATAAATACCATGGGCTTTGTACAAAGAGCAGTATCCTTCTTTCTGCCCTCCTTTGAAGCCTTCAACCATGTCCAACACCTTGAACTGGTCTCTCCCCAAAGAGAAAGCTCTTGTATCCTTCTTCCACAACAACTGCACAGAAGTGGAGGATAATGGTAGTTTCAAAGGTCCTGAATTTGCTAGGGCTGTCAAGCATGTTCACAAGCAGTGCTCTGGCTCTATGAAGGATGTCAAGAGCATCCAAAACAAGTGGCAGTCAGTGAGTTTTGGTGCATTTATCTGCTCATAATTCTTTTGACCACTAATTGATGTTTCCTCATGATTGTTAGCTCTGCAAGACTCTTTGTGTTGTTGTCACAATCATGGGGGTCTCTGGCTTCCATTGGAATGATGAGAATGGTGTGAATATTGATGCCTCAACTGCCCTCATTTGGAAGGAGTACATCAAAGTTCACACCAAGGCAAAGCCCTTCCACAACCATAGATGGGTTCACTGAGTCAAGATGGCAGATATTATGCCCTTGGCTGCCACTGGTACTAATGTATTCCATCTGACATCCTCCCAGGCCTCAACTGCAACCACTTCCAAGCAATCCCAGGCTGCTGATGACAACAACACCTCTGATTCTGATTAGGAGGCTGTAGGGCTGCCAGCTGAACCCGTGTGTGACAGTAGATGGCAGCCGACACACGGGACGGGTAGCCGAACCAAAGCTGTTCCTGGGGTGTCTGGCCCGGGACAGCTTGAAGCATTCAAGCCCCCGTCAAAGCCGTGCATAGACGGCCGCTCCAACCCGTCGACGGGGAGCCGGGTTTGTGCAGTTATGATTCTAGAATAATCTACAAGTTGAATGTTCTTTATCTTGTGTACTAACCAAATAAAGGGTGCATGTGATCATGGGAAATTCATCTTGATAATCGCACGGTGCAAAATTTCACCTCTCACTTGGTCTTATCCCCTCATGTCGGAATCTCGCCCTCCTCAAGCATTCATCAACATCGATTTTGAGCCCCACTGGCTGGTCATGGCTGTACCAAGCATTCTCGGACTCAGTGCACCTCTTGCACGGAACGAGCGCTCCAACTAGGCGTGTCCTGAGGGCCCTTATAAGCCATCCCTCTTCTTGTTGTAAGTCGTCGCCTATTGTTTCTTCTTCCACTGCTCAATTCTCCTGCTTCCATGGCTGATCAGTGCGCTGTTGGCCCGGATGGCCAACTTCTCGATGCTAGCAAGATTACATTTTATCACGACGTCAATGATAAGGAGCCCCTCCCTCCTGCTGTCCCAGCCCAATGTACGTCTCCACCTACGAGTATGTGCCTCTGTCCTAACCGGCTACTTTCAGCTATGGGTCGCGGTCAGCATGTCAAATTGATCGCTCGCTTCCAAGCCTCTGTTCGGTCTGACCAGTTTGACGATGATGGCCAGCTGGATGCTGCTCAGCCAAAGCGCCGCCGCAAGAAGAAGACGAAAGCAGCAAATCCCGACACCAACGCCAAAGATGGAACTTTTGCTGTTGACTCGAGCTCAGATGCAGAAATGGCAGACAGCGGGAGTGATGTCGAGGGAAGGCTTGTTATGAACACAGAGGTGCGTAGCTCATTTCATTTCTCCTCACAATTTTCTCACTTATTTATTTACCTAGCTCGCCGACATGCTTCCAGCCAAGACTATCCCAGGTGGTGTGTCACGTAAGCACTCCAAGCGCCGCCAGTCCTCCAGTGCTGCTCTCCCCACCATGAAGAAGCTCTGTCAGCGCGCCACAGTCGAAGATGCAGAAAACAATGAAGTACAGGTTGTCAACACACTGACGTCGATCATCATCACTGAGGCACCTCCACTACCATCTCACCCTCCGTCTCTCAAGAAGGCCGGATCAGCCTCAAGTGTTGCAAGCACAGCGGTACATTGTATCACCACATATTTATTTTGTTTCTTGTTTAATTTTGCATCAGACACGTGGGAAGCGCAACAACATCTACCTGTTCTACGAGGAGGTGACCACCGCCGCTGATGGAACCACTGTTGAGGGCAATCGGTACTACTGTTGCTATCATGGCTCACGCAAGGTTTTTACCATCACACCTGCTATGAAACACAGTGTCAAAAGTATTTCTTCTCCTTTCCTACTCTTTGTTGTCGAAATATTTATGCCTCTTGTTTTAGACATGATCCATCACCTCGAGGCCCACTTCCCTCAGATGCACAAGCTTTGGGCACACCTCGAACGACGCAGGGAGCTGCCTACCGAAATTGAAATCAAGATCGTGTCAGCTTCGAAGGAGTTGAGCCAGAAAGATATGGCCAACTACCTGAAGGTGTGAGAGTTGGCAGAGCCAATATCCACTCTCGACGACACCTTTTCAAAACAATTGGCGGTATGTCATCCATCTCTGGTTTTCTACTTCTTCTTATTCTTGTGATAGTCAACTTGGGATCAAGGACACTTCGAAGAGCTCCTTGCCAAGTGGATCATTGAATGTGACGAGCCGTTTGATGTTGTCGAATGTCCATCGTTCAAGGAGCTACTTTCCTATGTACATCTATTTTCATGCCAACCGCTGAAGACACCAGGCCGCACCGCAATACATACGAAGATCATGAAGCTTGGGGAGGACACTATTGAGGGAGTCAAATCTTCGTTTGAGGTATGTTGGTAGTTCTTTTGTTATTGCTTTTGCTCATTCTTTTATAGGCTCTTGAATCACAAGTGTCGCTCTCTTTGGACACTTGGACATTGGAGAATCAGATTGTGTTTCTTGCTATAGTTGCTCACTACATCACAAACGATGGGGAATTAGGTTAGCCGCTATGCATCTTTGTTCCTTATTAATTGTATTCAATATACTATAGAAGAGCTTCTGATCAACTTCAAAGAAATCATCAGAGAACACAGTGGCGAGAACATGGTGTCGATGGTCTGGGAGACGCTTGAGCTTTATGGTTTGAAAGGAAAGGTATGTCTCTATAACAATTTTATGTCTATTTTGTATCTGATATACCTTTTAGATTGTGTCCCTCGTTATGGACAATGCATTTAACAACGACACACTTGTTGAGGGTATAGCATCACGGTGCAAGCAAGAGGGCATCCCTTTTTCGGCACAGGATGCGCGTGGCCGCTGCATGCCCCACACAATTCATTTGGCCACTGTACTGGTATGTCAGCTCCAATGTTTTCTACTTCCACTTTGACTTAAGATTCTCATTGACCAGCTCCTCGAGAACATTGGTGCCATCTCCATCGGTGAAGCTACTTGAGCAGGCACAAGTTCTGTTGTATATCAGGAAGCTGCTGGCAGCTTTGCACCTGGTGATGATGACAAAGACCCAAATATTGTCGACAGCGAGCCCCTCAACCTCGATACCATTGACCCAATTGACACGTCTGCAATTGGCAAGGTAATCTCAGGAGTTCTCATACCTTTGCTTTACTGATTGTGTTTTAGCTTTGCAAGATTGTTCATGCTGTTCGTTCCAGCCCCCAACGTCGTGCTGCATGGCTTGACGAGATACGCTCGCATAACGTGGCAACTAGGGACAACTTGAAGTTGCTCATGTTAATCTTGGACGTCCGTACTCGCTGGGGCTCAACCTATGACATGCTTCATGAGTCTTCGTTTGACCTAATTACCCCAAACAAGGCTAATAAACATGATTTTTGACAGAGCGCACTGCAGAGCTCGAGAAGCCACTCAACAACTTTGTTGCGAAGACCCGCCAGCTTCGTCTGTATGAGCTGACTGACCAGGACTGGACCTCAGTCAAGATGGTCATGGACTGGCTTCATATCTTCAAGGATGCGACCCAACAGATGTCGGGTACCAAGACCCCAATGCTTTCAACAACATACGCAATCTTCTGAGGACTGCAAGATAAGCTCAAGACCATCCTATGCTCCCTGCCCGCCAACGTTCCCACCAATGTCAAGAACGGTCTGGTTCGAGCCCATCAAAAGCTGAGTGATTATTACTTCAAGTTTGACCAGTTGCCGCATGTTTGTTGGGCTGCCTGTATGTTTCCTCTATCTCTATTGTGATCGCAGCTGACATGGTATTCAATCAAGTGTTGGACCTGCGCATCTCTTACACTGCTCTCACTGAAGACTTTGCTGACGACCTTGATCTCTCTGACAGCCTCGAAACTCTCAAAACCGAGCTCAGAACATACTATCTCACCAATTATGCTGGATGTCACACTTCTTTCCCCTCATCCACTCAAGCCTCATCGCATTCGACTCTGGGGACCTCAGTGTCATCAGCACCTATCACCAACTTCACTGCTTGCTATCAGTGTTGTCCATGGGCAACCACAGATGAGCTGACTGAATACTTTCGCCTTCCACAAGAGGACTTCAACACATGCGACCCCATCAAGTAGTGGTATGCTCATCGTCTTCAGTTCCCCAACCTCTATCGCCTTGCTCGTGATATTCTGGCCATACCAGGTAAATTATTGAAGTTATATTACTGCATACCATACTGATTGGCTGGCTAGGATCTGCTGTTGCTGTTGAGCGCATCTTCTCAGGTGGCCGTGACACAATTTTGATTCGTCATGCCAGCCTCAAGGCGAAAACCATTCGCACGTTGATGATCCTCAAGCAGCACCTTCGTCTGGCTTGTGCCCATGCCTGCCGTTTGTAGATATCCCCTATTCTCATTGTTCGTACCTCCAATAGACTGTTTTACTTTGTTTATACTGCGAGATGTTCCCAGTGACGGCCGTACATGGTTGTCTCCTTTGCCATCCCGACCCGATGTACAAACTGAATCTCCAAGAGCCGGCTGGAGTTCTTCCATATAGACCCGACCTTCAACCGCCTTTGGATGGCCATCGCCATACACAGCACGGTTGGCAGCCCTAGGAGGCTGAAGAGGCTGCTGCTCAAGGCACCTCTGACTCTCCTGGTCCTCCTCCATGCTCCCAGCCCTCTCTCAAGCATTGTCAAGATCCTGTCACTCCTACCCATCCCAAGCAATCTCATGCCACTGGACCTGGGGCTCTCCTCAAGGTATCCACATCCCTCAAAGATTTTGGGAACACCCTTGCATCTGTAATTGCTGGTCCTTGTGCCCTTGTTAACCCCACTCCACTTTGTCTGTCACATGCACTCAGCTGAGCCCAAAAGCTTGAGAGGTTGTGGTTGACCACCATAGAGCTTGTGGCTTTCATCAAGATCTTCTGCAACAAGGATGGGACTGTGAATAAGACAGCCATTGACATTTACATGGCTCTTGATAATGAGGCTGTCCACAAGGAGTGGGTACATGATATACTGGTTGAGGCTGGTGTTGAGATCCTCCCCTTCCTCCCCTTTGCCGATTAGCTCAAACACAACAATTCCTTAAATCCACATTGCATCAATGTGTTATTTTTTATGGATCATCACAATACCATACATTACATTCCTTTTAGCTGACATATAGTCTGTCTTTACTCAAGCTGTAGATAATTTGATTAAACCAGTATGGTACAGCTCCTACCCTTCTTACTACTCTTCTCCTCCTCCATGCATCTTGTAGTCTTCCCACATCTTATCTGCAATATCATCTTGTGCCCTTGTTGTTCTTGCCTTTTCAGCTCTACCCACAACTGAATCAGCCAAGCTACTGTGATTGTACCAAAATCCAGGCTGCAGATCAAGGGTGTAAGTACCATCATCCTCATGCAGATCTGCATCAATGTCTGTCAGATTGTGCTCCATGATGAAGTTGTGAAGGGCGCCCAAAGCAGCAGGCACTTGAGCTTGCACTGACATGCTGAAATTGATCAGTCACATCAGAATTGCCCATCACTTCTTCACAATGCCAAAAATGTGTTTGACCACATTTCATGCTGAGGTGTGGTGGAGGTTAAAGAATTCCTTCTCTGTTTTGTGACCAGAGAGATGTTATGAGCAGTGCATGCAAAGTCCACAAGGTAATTTATACACCAAACACCTGCTCTGCCCCATTCAGCAAGATGATAACAGACTCTGTGATACAGAACCAACAGCATGTTGCAGATGCCAAAACCCACATTGGCAATGTAATATTTCCCTTGAGGTATGCAGAGATCAGAAAAGCGAGAAGTGGCATACATGGTGGTGGTGTTATGGCCTCAATTATGTAATATGGCATTTTCATTTTCTTTATCTTTTCTTTGTAATATGCTTGATTACATATGCTTGACTTATATGGACTACTAGATTAGTTGCCTGATATAGACTATTACTAGTTGTATTACTTATGTGTTGATGGCGCATTGTACATATTTGTATTTCAGTAGTATTTAAGTTGGTACTACTCATTGTAATAGTCTAGCTTTAATCTACTGTCTTTATTGCTTTTATACTCACAATAAGATTGACTCAGCTTCCCACCTCATATGAATGACCTCTGCTTTGTTCAATTTAGCAGATGCCCAACCTCTGGACTATCCTGTGGCATAGCCCAGTGTCACTTAGCATCTAAGCTCCTTGTAGTGGATGGCTCTCATACAATAGCCTTCAGGTGTTCAACTATAAGCAGTTATGGCTACTATAGACTTATTCATTGTCAGTGACACCTGGACAAGCCATACAGACTTCAGCAGGGGAAGGCTATGCCATTGATTGCAATGCCAATGCCACAATTGCCTTGTGTTTTATATCCAACTATGGGGGTATGGTGCATAGTCTGCCAAGACTGACAGTGTTTGTAACAGGTGGCATCTGCTGTTGACCCTTCCCATTCACTGAGGATGTAGACAAATTTCATCCTGAAAGAAACACAAGTGAGACAGTTTTGGGAAACACCACCCTTTTGATTATGTGCTGCCTGTTGCTCTGCAGCAGTAGGGTTGCAGTTTATGTGTGTTCCATCTATTGCACCAATTGCATGCATGAAGAACAGCCAGAATTTTGTATTATTGCAAATGTAGAGGTGTGGGGCTTCATTCACATTGAGTAGGTGGACATATTTGTTGTAGAACACTCTGGAAGAAATAGCTGCTAGAATTCAAACAAAATACCTGGATAAATCTGTCAATTAATTCTATGATTCTTGTAGTAGGACTACCACACTTGGATATTGTATCATTTGAATGCTGAAACTGCTCCCCGATATGCCATATTGACAAGCCAGTAACACACATGCAGAGGAAGATTGCTGCCTGTTTGATCAGATCAATGTGCTTCCTGTCACCCAGACCACAAGTAAAATGCAATTCATGGACAAAGAGTAAAAAGACATGCAGATGCATGCCTAGTTCAGTCCGAATCTGTTCAGGATGACCCTTGAGGAGCTCTTCCACCCACTCTCATCCACTCAGCTTGAAGGTGTGGTAATCCTGCTTCCAGTAGAGAGGGGAGGCATAAAGGCTGATTGCTAATCCCACAATCTGGATGGCATATGCAGCAGCAGCTACAACCAGCCTCTGTTGCTGTAAGTCACTCATCAATGAAGAGAGGTGGAAAAAGAGTTTTGAAGATGCAATTTTATATAATCTGATTGATCAAATCATTTCCCATATATAGAAAGGTAATAAAAACTATGTACATACATGCCAGATCAGTCAATTGTGCAAAGAATTGAAGGCCATTGTATGGAAGAAAGAGTTATCTGACAATGGCCATAGCCCCTATCTATGATCTAAGCAAGATGCAGCTGACTCTGTGGACAGTGGGAAGCAGCTCATCTGGCCATCAAAACTGGAGCTGACTAGTAGTCAGCCAGCTACTGGCAACCAAACAGACTCTTAGCAATATTCCTCCAGCCCTCCATCTCTGGAACAGTTCATCTCTTGCAGCAATAACATGTATCACTGTATTTTTCATCAAATAATGGCTGGAAGGCTTTGGAGGCATGAATCTACACCTTTCCCTACTTCTGTATCCTGAAGTGGTTTACTTTTCTAAATTGGAACAGTGGTGTGCTTCTCATGCATTTGGAGCTCTGCCCAAGACCAGGTGTGGTTTGCTCATTGCCTGGTGTGGTTTGCCTATTGCCAGGTGTGGTTCACCCATTAGTGGGTATGGTCTGCCATTGTGGTTTTTTTGATGCATGTTTCCAAGGAAAAGGTGTATCTATCCTTTTTACCATATCTCAAATCATGAGCAAAATACCTAAGATTAGTTTGTCCTGGGTCACTAAGCACTTTCTCTATACACAAAACATTATGTAAGTTCAAATAGGCATTTCTTTTGATAATATCTTGGGCAAGTCAAGTAGAACCAGCACAACCATTCACAGACAGAACAGAGTCTCAGAAGAATCCCTTTGAATGAGACCTTGGTATTGCTCTGCTCTATAAGATATCATAAAAGGAGGACACACATTGGCAGATAGGGCCTTGCTATGTGCAATGGTTGGGGATGTTGCCCAAGCCACCATCCTGGCAATGTCAGGGACTCAAGGTCAGTGGAGCTTTGGAATGACATTGAAGCATGACATCTGTGCAGTGTTCACATGAACAGAACATGAGAATTTTCAAATTTGGCAACTGAACCCAGAACATACCTTGATAACACTCATCACTTGCACCTGCTGCCACAACCACTTCTATTGTAGTCACATTGAACAGCAAGTGTGAGCTTAAAAGCAGAAAGGATGTCAGTATTGAGGCTCTCTGAGTACATGCTCAGGAGAACCAGTGATTTCATGATGCTGTCACCATTCTCATCAACACTAACAGGCATTAAGCCCAGAACACCAGCCACAGCCTTCTTTGCTATGACATGCACTATAGCTGCAGCCTACAGATCATTGATGTCCTTTGAGAAAACACTGCCTACCTTCCTCAGTATCCTGCCCAGCTGTCTGTACTTGAGCATGGTGGAGATGTTGATGGTGGTGATCACAATCCAGACACGCTCCTCTGCACCTTTGATCTTGAGGTGCTCAATAAAGTGGGCAAGGGCATGCTTGAAGCCATCCAGTTGGATGGTTGTGAATAGCATGCCATGCAGGAGGATGAAGAGCTCAGAGGTGCAAGCCTTGGGGTTCTGCCTCCTCACTTGGACAGCCTGTAACCATGTTTGGAATGAGTTGAACATTGTCATACTAAATCCAATACATGTATGAATCCTGAATTTGTATAACTTGGGAGAATGACATTACCTTTTCACAAAGTGGTATGCCTCTTGCAACTCCTTGCCTTCCACCTCCCTTCAAGTTAACAACAGCCCAAGGTGGTGATGCAATTTCACAGTGCTGGGCTCTTCAGTGAGACCTGCACTGTACCCAATCCTCTGTGATGTTCCTCCAGCACTCCTTCTCCAGCTTGATTTCCAGCAAATGAGCAACTGTGACCCCAATGCTTGGTGAAGGGCTGTCATCAATCTGGGCAGAAGAGTAGTCACAAACAAACTCAGACCTGCAGGAGTCAGCCATTTCTTCTGGAGACTTACTGGCAGACTCAGCAGCCACTTCTGAGGCTGTCTTGCCCTCCAATGCCCCCATTTACCATGGCAGCTACAGCCATCCAGTACTGTGCAATATTGCCCAGTGTCTCTAGCCATCCTGATTGGGAGCAGCTTCTTCTAGAAGGCCCATGTAGGTGCAGAGTGTGTATGCATAGTAAGTGTAATCTCACAGATGTTTGAGGATGAAAGGGGAAGTAAAGAATGTGCAGTGCAGTGATTAAAGGAGTTTGTGAAAGGCACAGGTCCAAAGTCACACAATGACATTGTATTTTGTTGGAATGTTGTGTGGAGAGGCTGGTACACATAGTGCCTAGTAAATCTCAAGGAGATTATGCACAATCTCAGAGACTGGAGTTTGCATTAGACCAACAGCAATAGATAATAAGATAGTGCACAACTCACTCTTTGTGATCACTGATCTGTTTCCTCCATCTCTCCCTCTCCACTTCCTTCCCCTTTGACATGACTCTGCTGTTCATGCCATCCTCCACCTCATCTATTGCCTTCATTTCCAGATTTGAGATCACTTCTTAAGTTGAAGTGAGAACACATTGTTGCTAGAGTCCTCTGTTCCTTGACCCTGGTTCAGATGACCTTTGAATAATGCTATAGCCACCAATAAGCTGTTAGTCATGGAGGTAAATGTCAATAATGAAATAGAGGTGGCATACAATGATGTCAAAGACACAGACACATGATCTGCAGAGGCCTTGGGTGTTGGTGGTGGTCATCTGCATCTGACCTGTGGCTAGACTGTCTAAGGTCTGGGTCAGGGCTGGCCCTCAACCTTTTTGCCAGCCCTGGCCCTGGCCCTCACAAAAGGGCCAGGGCTAGGGCCAGGGCCAATGAGGGCCAGGGTCAGGGCCAACCAGGGCCAGCCCTTTTAGAATATAGGTCATTTTTAAAAATATGATAATTTCAATAAAATGATTAAAATAAAGACTTTGCAAGGTTCTCTACTCATCATCATGTAAAAAAAGTTGGGGGGCTGTGCTGTGTCATACAGTGGCCTGGAGGTCCAGCCCAGACAGTGTTCAATTCACAGCAAATGTTTTTTTTTGATAATTAAATGTATTTTTTTCCTATATACTACAAAGGTACTAATATAAGAAATGGCTGGGATTTGAGCAGTGAGACAAGGGTGGGGGCAAGGTGACAAGGCAACAGTGAGATGATGGCAGGGGTGACACAATAACGGTGCTGAGGCAACAGTGAGCAAGGGCGACAGCAAGACAACAGTGATAGCGATGGCAAGGCAATGGCAACAGCAAGGCAAGGGCAAGGGCAAGGGCAAGGCAATGATGAGGCAAGGGCAACAGTGGGGTGAGCAAGGGTGAGGCAATGGTGATGGTGCAAGTGAGGGCAGAAGGGAGATGATGGCAGAGGCAAGACGACAGTGAGCCAGGGTGACGGCAAGCAAGGGCAGGAGGGAGGCAATGGCAAGCGAGAGAAATGGTGAGGCAAGGGCAACAGTGCAAGTGAGGGCAGGAGGGAGGCAATAGCAAGCGATGGCAATGGCAATGGCAAGGGCGAGGCAATGGCAAGGGTAAGGCAACAGCGAGGGCAATGGCAAGGCGAGGGTGAGGCAACAGTGAGGGTGACAGCAAGGCAACAGCAAGGGCAATGGTGAGGCAATGGCAAGGGCAGGGCAAGGGCAAGGGCAAGCAAGGGCAACAGTGTGAGTGGGGAGTGGATGTGGGAGACAGGAGATTGGATTGGGATTGATGACGTGGCCTTCTGCAATCAGGCCGACCTGGGTCAGCCTGGGTTTGACCCAAGGGCCAAGGGTCAGACAACTCTTAGCCCTGGCCCTCCCTAAAGGGGCTGGGCCAACCAGCTGCCAGCCCTTGGGTCCAGGCCAGGGCTGACCTGGGGCCAGAGGGCCACAGACTGGACCTTAGACAGTCTACCTGTGGCCAAATGAGGATGGTGAAGCATACAGGATTGTCTTTGCAATAATCAAATAGCTGGCAGGTAGCATTATTCCTTCTCTCAATGGCTGGCAGCACCAGATACACTGGGGGCATAGAACATGACTTGTGCAATGTTCTCACAATTGGACCACCACCACGATTGCCAGCAAAGCACCTCACTGCTGCCAATGCTGGGCACAAGGCACCAACACTCTCCCAATCCAGCACCACTGGAGGCTGAGAGTAGACTGTCTGCGGTCCAGTCTGTGGCCCTCTGGCCCCAGGTCGGCCCTGGCCTGGATCTGAGGGCCAGGGCCAAGGGCCAGAGAAGGCCAGGGCCAAGGGTTGGTTGGCTCTCAGACCTCAGGTCGAACCGGGGCTGACCCGGTTTGGCCCCATTGCGGAAGGCCGCATCATCACTCCAACTCCCACCTCCAACGTCTCCCTTCCACCTCCAATCTTCCATCTTCTACATCATCAACCTCCTGTCGTCTCACACTGTTTGCCTTTGCCTTGCTGCTCGCACCATTGCCATTGCCCCTGCCCTCCCTCACCCTTCATCTCGCACCGTTGCCATCACCTTGCACCGTTGCCATTGCTTGCTGTTGTCTCGCCCCGTCCATCACCTTGCCCTCATCCTCACTCACATCATTGCCATTGCCTTGCTGCTTGCCACCCTCATTCACCCTCACTCGCCCTCATCTCACCTCCGCCATCGCCTCCCCCTCACCTTGCTGGCATTGCCATCCCCTCGCCTTTGCCTCACTGCTCGCACCATCACCATCACCATTACTGTCACCCCTGCCCTCACCCTCACTTGCTGTAGCTCACCCTCGCCCCCACCCTCACTCACCCTTGTTTTGCCCTCGCCTTGCACTCTCACACCATCATCCTCGTTTCACACTGCCCTCGTTTTGCACCCACCCTCGCCTTGCCCCTCACCTTGCCCCTCATCTCGCACCATTGCCAGCCTCACTCGCCGTTGCCCTCATTTTGCACCCACCCTCGCCTCAGAATGTCGCCCTTGTCTCACACCATTGCCAGCCTCACTCGCCGTGGCTCACCCTCGTGTCACCATTGCCTCGCTGCTAGCACCCGCCCTTGTCTCGCTGTCGCCTTGTCACCGCCATTGCCCTCGTCTCACCCCACCCTCGTCTCGCTGTCACCTCATAGAATACCTTCTGTATAGTATGTATAAAATAAATATTCTTATTTAATTGCAAAAACAAATTAAAAAATAAGTGCTTTTTGAGGGCCAGCCTGGGGTCAGCCCTGGCCTGACCCTTTTATGGCCTGGCCCTTTTAGGAGGGCCAGGGCCAGAGAAAGTTGGCCCCAGCCCCAAGAGCCAGGGTCATGGCCAGCAAAATAGGTGAGGGCCAGCCCTGACCCAGACCTTAGACAGTCTAGCTAAGAGTGAAGATGCACTAACTAGAACTTTGCCCCAATCAAAATGAATCATCAAATGGGGTCAAATCACCAGCCTGCTGAAGAAGGGACCTATCCCACCCCCTCCATCCCTTGCAAACCCATTCCTGCTAAATGAAAAGCCAACTGCCAAGTCTAAGGACTCTACTCAGCCCCCTGCTTCTCTACTGGTTGTGGAACAAACTGCACATCTGGAATCATTGCTAGACTCTGTTCTGGCAACTTTGGTCATAATCCAGGCTGCTGTGACAATGCCTATTGCTCTCAGCAACCACACCTGTGAATCACTGTCAGTACTTGACAAGATTGCACACACTAGTGCCAGCAATCATGCCCTACCCACCAGCCCACCAGTCCAGGAAGACAACCAAAGAAGTCATATGTAAATGCAGCCACACCTTGCCCTACCACAAAAAAGGTAGTATCTACTGCAAGATCATCACCAGCAGGCCAATCAACACAACAAAGGACTCATGCCAATCACAGCTCTCCATCTTGTCACCTCTACTCTCCTGTGACATCTGTGACTGTGGTGGCTGGTTGGCGACAGCAGGGGAGAGACGGCACACGGAGGAACTCAAAAGACGGGGGTAAACCAATATGAATTCACTAAGGGGCCTAGCTACGCAGGACAGCCTTATATACCAGTACATAGATAAGTGAAGCAAATAAGAGCCAAATAGACAAAAGGAGTGAAAGGGCCAAAGGCCAGTAGCGACGAAGGAAAGGATCGTGTGGGGAGTTGGACCGTAGATAAGGTAAGTGATAAGATGATGAAAAGAAAGGATACCGAACCATTACACCCGTCCTCCAGGCATTGCAGCATAATGTCTTCAGACGGTGGATGTGAAGTCGACGGCGGTTCTGGCAGTGATTGCTTGGCCATCCATCAGATCGTCAACAGCGAAGGCAGGATCGGCGAGGTCATGACTAGCAGGGATTGTAGACGTCGGGGTCAAGGGACATGGTGATTCTGGGAACTGCGTATTGTCTGCAATACTTTTATTGGGGTCCCATGTCACTGAATGCTTTGGGATGCGACCCAAGGTGCTGAGAGGTACACACTCCCTCGGTGCTGCAGTGGCACCAGTGTTGATGGCAGACATGGAGAAAGTACAGGCAGTTTCAATGGCGGGTGTGGCAGCAGCCCCGGGGGTCTCAGGTGCCAGCTCAGGGATAGGTGCAGGTTCAGGAGTGGGCGCCTTGTCCAGAGTGCGGTGGGCATTGTCGGTGGGGGCATTGGCCTCTTGCATGTTGACATCCTCATCCCTAACTTCGTTGTCTACCTCGTGGGGTGTGTCTTCCTCAACCAACTCCTCCTCAACAGTCTCCTCGGTGGTGGTGGTGGTCGCGCTTGATTCTGCGAGAAGTGCTGCATGCTCCTTGCGCCCAGCCTTGCTGCGACGACGGTGGCGGGATCCAGTGGACTCCTTGTCCGAGGAAGTTCTGGTGCGGCGATCCGAGTCACGGTGAGCCTTGGTGTGAGTGTTTAGCTGAAGAGCAGCACAACGTTTGCGGGCGTCAGCATGCTGCTTGAGCCGCTCCTTCAACTGGACAGCACGCACACCTTCCTGAAAGATGAGTGCCCGGGCCACATTGACTAAGTCTTGAGGTCCAGAAAGCGCGACTTCACTGCCAGTGGTTATACCACAGTCGGTTGGTGTGAGATGGAAGATGTCAGCCCGCATGGCAGAGCCTTTGTGTTCGACCCTGTTGTCCATCGTTATGATGGCGAATCACTGCTTCCCTTTGGCCAGTGCATTGAAGGCACGAGAGACGAGGGCATAGGAGGACAGAGACGGGCACTTAAGCGCCTGTGCAGGCTTGGCACAGAGGTCGGCGTTGAAATCCAGGCAGGCGACGAGGTCGGCGGTGGACACGGTGTGCTGCTTGGGGGGAGTCGAGGTGCTGTCGATGACAAGGAAGTGGTCTGAGGTGAGGCATCGGAAGTTGGCGTGGTCGATGGGGGGAAACAACAACTTTGGAGTTGAGGTGGATTGGGCAAAGGGTCCAGGTGTGTGTTGACATTTGTGTTGGCCCATAACAGGCAATAGTAATTGAAGTAAATGAAGGCAGTGAACGGCGAAAACTACAGCGGAAAGAAGAACATGAAAGTGGGCAAGAATCGAAAGCAAAAAGTCAAAGAAGCTTTTAAGGTATGAGATCTCGGCCTCAGTATGCTGAAACAGCAACTCGCCAATGAAAATTTGAGGATCCTCATGGGGTGGTTTTCCCTTCCCTTTGGGCAAATTGGAGATATCCTCAATGCCCAGCAGCTCAAGATAAGCCTTTAACGCATGGAGGTTTGATATTTTATCATATGGCAGCCAAGTAATATCCCCGGCTGACCACAGAATCTCGAATATCACCTCTTCTCGGGATCCAAAATGCGACAATATTTTGTCAACCGCCCATTCACCTGACGAGTCTTTGCCAATGCCAAGCTGCGACTCAAGACAACCAGGAAACAGTCTATTGTCATTCGGGTGATGGATTCACAACAGGGACACATGGAACACGTCGTGAACACCACGTTGCTTCAAATTTGCTGGTAAATCCAACTTGAATGAGGAATTTCTGAAGTCTTGGAGAATTCTATATGGTCCAATGTACTTAGGGATTAATTTCCTTGCAAGTCCCTTTGGAAACGAGATGTTCTTTGTGGAAAGGTACACTAGGTCCCATTCCTTGAAGGGTGCGGTCTGGCGCTTGCGATTCACATCATGAGTCTGTTTGACATGGGCCGCCAGAATACTATCATGTGCAGCCATTAATGCAAGCTTCTTCTGCAGTGCAAAGTTCCGCACAGCAGGGAACTCTGTTTTCAGAGCAGAATTCCAGATCATTGGCCTTGGCATTCGTCCTGAGTTCAGGAAGAATGGGGCAAAACCAGTGCTTTCCGAGCATGCTGAGTTAATGGCAAATTCAATTGCAGGAAGCTTTGCAACCCAATCAGACTGCTTCTCGTTAATACACTGTCGAAGCATTTGAGTCACAGTTCAATTAGCTTGTTCCGTAGACCCATCTGTCTGCGGGTGGTATGCGCTTGACATTTTAAGGTTCATCCCAACGAGTTTATGGAGATGTCCCCACAGTGTACTTGTGAATAGCACATCACGATCGCTAATAATATTCTTGGGCAAGCCGTGGTGCTTGTAAACTTCCTTGAACATAAGCTCAGCAAGTTGACGAGCATTATAGTTCGTTCTGCTCAGAACTAAATGCACCATGCCTGTCAGGAGGCAAATTACAACTGTGATCAAGTCAAACGAGCCGTTCCGATTCTTAGACTCAGGCAGGGGCCCAACGAAGTCCATCCCTATGGATTCCCAAGGGTTTCCGGGTATGGGAAGAGGATTCAACAGCCCATATGGTTTTTGATTACTGGGCTTGCTTTGTTTGCAGGTCTGACAGGTTTCGCAGTAGGCCTGCGTATCTGAAACCATATCTTTCCACCAGAGGTGATCACGCAAATAATCCAGTGTTTTCGCGGCACCGAGATGTGCTAACAGGGAGTGTGCCTCTGAGATAACAATCTCCTGGGCACTTCTTCCTTTAATCAAGAGCTTGGGGATGCATAAGAGCTTCCGCTCATGCTCCTTGAGGTACACGATCCCATTCTCGACCTCAAAATTATGAAACTCCTTAGGTTTCTCAAGGATCTTGGTGAAGAATGGGTCATTCGCATAGTTATTGCGAAGTTCCTCGATTAGATCAATGCCCTCGGAGCCCGAGTTAAGCAGTGACATGAAGGATGGCAGCTCGACATGCTCTTCTGCAGTGTCTGGATTGCCTAGATCTTCAAGATCTGGCATTTCTTCGTTGTCTGAGTCTGTGTTTTCAGCAATAAGTGGCTGTTGCTTGCGACTCCTGCCCTCCTTTTGTTCTCGTGGGCCATGGAGGACGAAATGATCGCGCACTTGTCTGGCAAACTCAGCAGAGGTCTCAGGGCAAGGATTAAGTGCTTCCTCGTGTCTGCGTGCTGCACCCCGAGTTTCGACGCCTGCGACAAGTGGAGAAGAGGACCTTTCCACATCCAAATCATCATCTACCATGTCGTGGTAGGTATACTCACTCCACGAGCGAACAACATTACCTGAGTCGTCCAAATACATGCAGGACAAGGCATCTGCAAGGATATTTTCACTCCCAGCAATGTAGATGACCTCGAAGTCAAAAGACGAGATCTTCTCGAGCCATCGAGCTTGTCGACCCGAGAGATTCTTCTGATTTAAGAGGTGAATAAGTCCTTTATGGTCTGTCAACCATTTAAACTTAGTTCCTTGCAGAATATCTCGATGGCAGAGCATCGTCTCGATCCCCGCAAGCATCTCAATCTCGTGCACAGCATAGTTCTGCTGTGCCAAGTTCAATTTAGCAGAGTAAAAGGCTGCAACCTTGGCAGTCTTCCAGTCAGCTCCCTGGCTCACAATGCCAGAAATACCAGTCGCACTGCCATCAGTTACCATCCTGATAGGCTGTGCATCAGGCGCATAGGTTAATGGGACATGAGAATGGCCACGTGCACCATGAACGAGTTGTTTTACATCCTCGAATGCCTGCTGCTCTGTGAAAGTCCAACAAAACGGAACAGTGTCACCCGTAAGGGCGCTTAACACCCCCATGGGGATACGGACACTAGGGACATCATCTGCGAGGTACCCCACAGACCTAAGAAAGCCTCTAAGCAAGTCCCGGTTTGTTGGAACCTTCCAGTTCAGCACCGAGTCGACCTTGTCAGTGTCCATGCGAATGCCCTTGTCATCAATAACACGCCCAAGCAATTTTAACTCCAGTGCAATGAAGCGAAGCTTGTCCTTGCTAAGGTAAAGCTTCTCTTCCACCAGGATGTCCAGGACTAATTTGACATGCTCAGCATGTTCATCAAGATCATCATCATAAATAACGATATCATCCAGATAAACGTCCATGAACCGACCAATATATGGTGAGAACAGGTGGTTCATTAAAGCCTGGTACGTCACGGGTGCATTGCAGTCCCCGATTTGGATAACATGGCTCACCATGTTCCCATCCGGAGTGGTCATCGACGTCCGCTCGACATGCTCGGGAATAATCTGAATTTGCTTGTATGCACTCTTTAGGTCCAGAGTGGTGCGAAAGAGCTTACTCGCCATTCTCCGGAGCATTCCCTCCATATCAGTGAGAGGTGAGGTGAGCTTATATGTATTTTTGTTGCATTCTCGCAAGTCGAGCAAAGTTCGAACATCAGGGAGGCCACTGTCCTTTGAAGGCTTAGGTATCAGCATCATCAGTATGGTATTTCCTGCCGAAGTTATTTCCCATTGACCTGAGCAGAGATAAGCATGTCGCTTCTTCGCCCATTGAGCACGAAAGGCCTCCAGGCATCGTGAGGGACACCATGGATACTTTCGATTCGGGTCAATGAGGGGAATTGTGTGGTTGATAGCACAAAGTGGTGGCAGTTCTGTGTCCTCCACACCTCGACAGAGAGGCTCAGCTCGAGCCCGTAGCTCTTCACAAACCTTTTCGACTACATCGTCCACTGGCTGTAATGTCCTGACGAGTGGCTTGTCCTCAGGACCAGCCCGAATGGGCATAGGCTCTGAGCTACCAATACTGCAATGTCCTGGGTTAAACCCAATACTGACTCGGTGTTGGTATAGCCAGGGTGTCCCAAGTATCATATCGTAATTATTCAGATTAATCACATCGAACGTATGAGACGTATCAATGCTTTCATACTGAAAACGGGCGCTAACTCGGTATTTGATAACCGAGCGCGATCCTTGAACAGCAAGCTGGAGCTTCAGCGGATCAGGCAATTCCTCCTTTCGGAGCTGCAGTTGGTCCACCAGAGTTGTGGAGATGAAATCTCCCTGCGACCCAGAATCCACAAGTGCTCGTACCTGATGGCCCCCAAGGAGACACTTCAGGACGAGCGGTTTTGGAAGGACACGGCCTTTTTCTTTCACGGAAGACACATTCCTCTGCACAGCAGGGAATTTTCCACGATCAACTTGAACAGCATTGACATTCAACGAGTTGAAGTCATCCGCCATGCGACGAATAAGTTCGTCGATGTACTCTAGTACATCTGGCCAGCACTCCTCATTGGCTGCAGTTTCTGCAAGTGCCTCCTTGAATTGCTCTACCCGTTTCCGGGGAGGTTTTGCAGGTAGAAAATCAAAGCCATCAAGCTCAAACTGAGCTATTCTAAACTCGTACCAGTGGAGTAGGTTAAACTCCGGATCGTCGAGCAGGTCTCGAGGCAAATATGAAGTTGCTTGGTGATAATGATCATGGATCTTGAAATGACTCGCATCACGGATCGTCCATTCCACGGTGAATTGTTTCCCAAGTCGCTCTATGCTATCAAGTTTGTGGTCATAAAGGGATCCGAGCTCGAGAAGCTCAGAGATTCGCTGTAAGAACACAGCACCCATAATGGTCTCATGAAGAGGCCTGTTGGCCATCCAATCCATCGCCACCTGAGCAGGGCTTGAGTACCCTGTTGTACGAGTTGTCTGCTCAGCATACCATCTCCCTATGGAGAAGGTTTCGTGCTTCAATTGTGCAGAGTGAATCCAGGACTCGAACCCGAGTGCTTCATCATAGATCTCGTAGAAATCGAAGTCCACTCGCTTGATGTGGAACCTGGAACACGTAGGTGTCGTTTCTAGTGTTTCGTCACCAGGAAATGGCTGGCAATTCAACAGAACTTGCTTCATTCAAAAGGCGAGTACATCACCCACTCTTCCAAGCTGATACCCGCTCAGATCGTCTAAAGACTCGATGTGCTCAATGTCAATTGACATAGGAACCATAGAGCGAACTGGAGGTTTATTCTTGGGCTCTTGCTCGAGTTGTTGACCTGGAAACTCGTTTGTAGGTGAGTTTTCTCGATCCTCCTCGATATCCGAGACCCAGAAGTCCTTGGAAAGAGTATCAAAGGTACTACCAGACCCAGACATCCCAGAGATGGTTTGAAGACCTGGTATGGACCCAGAGTCATCCGAAGCATTCGAGTATTCAGTCTCGGAACCACCTGGTGGTTGGACCAAAGAGAACTGAGATAGGGATGTACTAGTCGAGCTGGATGTTGTTTCAGTACCAAAAATCATGCAGCTGAGCTCTATCTTGGGGCCTGAGGTCTCATCCTCTTCAGGAATCGGTTCAGCAGCCCTTTGGAGCTCGTTGATTTGGTCCTGAAGCCACAGAGTGTGTTTGGTCTGAACATGGACATAAAGGCCTGTCCAGTCGAGATGGTCCCGATACCAGCCCACCAAATCAAATGTTGGATCTTTGAGCATAGCCCTATGCACCGTTGTAACGGCCTGAAGGTCAAAGTCCCAGATTGCATAGTAATCGGCAGAGGAACCTGCCAGAGGTAAAACCTCAAACCGAGTGTAGTAGTCCAGAGCGTGCACACTCGGAAATGATGTGTTTGCACCATCTTCCAATAGGTGTAAAGTCACCAAAGCAGTAGCATCACCCATACGAAAATCCACTGGGGAATGTACCCACTCGAGACACTGGTTGTGGTGCCTAGCGTGCCTTTTCGCATACCAGCATGGCAAATCAAATCACAGGCGCTTAAGTAACTCCTTCAAGATCTTTACATCGAACTGGGTTAGATGGTCCACAATTTGGTATTCTCCGCAACCAGGATGTCCCACCCGAGCCACAGAAAACCACTGTGCCAAATCCATCTGCAGCGCAACGAACCAGAATCGGTCGTCCTCGGGGTAGGGTTGCATTTGTCCGAGCACATATTCAGCCACCATGGCATAAACATCTCTGATCTGTGATCGTGGAGCAGACAGTGCTCCATTTATCCAGTCTGGCTCTGGCACCTCCCAGATCTCCCATGGTTCTGCAGACGGTCGGGCAGGTTCAAAGTCAAAGTACCCGAGAGGCATGCTCTCTAGTACTTCGACAGGTTGTTCCGAGTCATTCCCGGTGTCCTGAACATTTATGTTGTAGTTCGGAACACCCGGCGGGCGATTACTACCCGACTGAACTGTTTTGCCCTGAGGGCAATTCCGTTCCCAATGGCCAACCTCGTTGCACTGGAAACACCAGTTTCCCGCCCTCCGTTCAGCCACCCCCCGTTCAGAGAGCTGGTTCGTAGCCTTGCCATCTTGGTGGCGGTCTCGAGGGCAGTCTCGAGGACGATCACGGCGAGAGCCCGACTGAGCTCCTGGGTATATGGCCCTGTTGTTCATCAGTGCAATCTGTGAGGACCTGTAATCCTGATTGTTGCCAGGATTGGCTGGCTGAGGTGCTCGATGCCTTGGAAAGCGGTCTGTTCGACCGTGATCACAACAAGAGTGGTGTGGTCTCCTCGATGAGTGCGATGAGTTTGGAGTAAAGGTAACTCGGCTTGAATTACGGTTTTCGTGCTGCCTGCTGGTTGGCATGGACTGGCCTCGATTGCGAGTAGTTGAGGACACATTCATGGCAATCTCGACAACCTCAGCACGGGCACGAACCTCATCCCATGAAGATGTGTCAGGATGTAAGCCGGACATCCAGAGTTCAGATTGGATATCTTTCCGAAGTCCAAACCAGAGCTTCAAGACTTGCTCACGCTCGCCGACTTCTCCAATTGTGTTGAAGAGTTCCTCGAGATCATGAGTGAACTCCACAACAGATTTCCCATACTGCTTCGTCTGATCAAGCTTTTTACGCATCTCCAGACGGTAGTTTATTGGAAAGCAAAAGTTGAAGAGTTCGACATAGAAGTCCTTGAGTTTCCACTCCTCTTCATTCATTGAAACTTTCTGTGTATAGAAATCGTAGGCCCTGTCCTTCATATAACAGGATAGTGTGAAAGCATAACGCTCAGGCTCGATGCCTGCATCCTCAAGATAAGCTGAGCTTTCCTGAACAAAGTGTTGGTAAGCATTGTTATCTGGAGTACCATCATACATTTGGGGCTTAAATGCCTTGGCTGTGCCTCGAGATGAGCGCGACCTTTTCTGGCAAGATTGATGAGATCGACGAGAGTGTTGATGTCCACGCTGACGGTGAGCAGAACGATGCTTATGTCGTCCACGATGTTTGCGATGTTGTCGACGGTTCGAGTTGGAACTCGACAAAGATCCACTTTCAGACGATGAGCTTGGATCCTCCGATGGTGATGACGAGGAAGAACCTCCAGAAGGGGAGTCTGTATCTGACCCACTCGACGTCTCCAACAACGAACCTGAGTTGGTGCTCGAATCGCTGGACGGACTGCTTGATGGTGGACTGCATCTATGTTTCTGTTTACAAGCGTCCATTTTCTCGACTCGACTGAGAGTGACTCCCAGGTAGCTGCGAGCTGGAATTTGAGCAGCGGGGCAAGCTTCTGCTGGAAGCTGACCCTTCCCAAGCCCACCAGACTTCTTGGTATGGTTTCGCCAAGCCCATGGCGCACGTTGCTTGCTCATCTTGGCTGATTGGTGAGCACTAGCCGACTGGGTGTTTGAGGCAGTTGGCTGTGGTACAATCACCACAGATCGCCCACGAGGGGTGCGCATGGAGTCAAGTAGTGCACGCTGGAGGGCTGGATCCCTTTCTGTGGAGTCCATCCGCAATCCTCCCCATTCTCGGGGGTCTACAGCCTTACCCTTGCTGTGCAAAGGTCCTTCTCCCCACGACGACTCAGAGGACGAGGAGGTGGAACGATATCGACCTGCTGGCAGGTCCTGCCAGATATTCTTGTATCGGTGGTTGAGGTGCTCGTGCTGTTCTCAGGTGAGATTGGCCGAGGCTTGGTCAACTGCGGTATCACGTGGAACATCTTGTGTTCGAGAACCACGTGAGTGCTTCCTATGTGCGGACTTTTTGCTCTTCCGCTTCTTCCTCTTCCCAGAAACTTCAATCCACAGGTTCGGGTTCTCATCATCGCTCGACTCAGACTCTGAGGAACGTTCATGGTTGGTAGGATCAACAGTGGTATTCGGATCAACTACATTTTCTCCCACCTCTGGACCACCAGTCAACGGTGGCGCAGACAGCAAGGGGGTCTCCTCTACTCTACCAGAGTGGATAGGTGAGGGAGGACGAGAAGTGACCACATCACTATACGAGCGACGTGCTCCAGCCTCGGAATTGGAGCGTGAGGCTCTTGCTTCCACGTCCGTGGCATAACCCAGAGGAGTGCCCTCGAGATGAGGGGGAACATCATGGGTTGCCCTCGCGGGAATGGGCGCAGCTGCCGCAGCGGGTGCCGCCCCATGTCCGCGGCGAGTATGAAGTGCATACGGAGCTCTAGTAGACATAATCAGTAACAAGAGGCTAAAGAAAAAGACTTATCGATGAAATGTTTTTGGGTTTATTGGTTTTGAGGAAACAGGTATGTGCTGCCAGGTGCTGGGTGTCTCAGATGATCAGTCCGAGGGGTGTCCAAAGCGTCGAGGCAGTGAGGAGAGAGAAAAAGCTAGAGGTTGTTGTTGTTGTAGGTGTTGTAGGCTTGTTACGTCAAAAAGATGTGATGTCTGTGACTGTGGTGGCTGGTTGGCGACAGCAGGGGAGAGACGGCACACAGAGGAACTCAAAAGACGGGGGTAAACTGATATGAATTCACTAAGGGGCCTAGCTACACAGGACAGCCTTATATACCAGTACATAGATAAGTGAAGCAAATAAGAGCCAAATAGACAAAAGGAGTGAAAGGGCCAAAGGCCAGTAGTGACGAAGGAAAGGATCGTGTGGGGAGTTGGACCGTAGATAAGGTAAGTGATAAGATGATGAAAAGAAAGGATACCGAACCGTTACATCTCCCAACTGACTCATTGTAAGATGGGCCAGCCATCCAGTACCCCAGTCCTCTACATCTCTCTCCAACCTTGTCAAAAATCTCAACAACAAACTCATTGGGGTGTGTTGATTCAACTAAAAGTGACATGTCAAAGCAGTCAACATGACAAAATCAGGAAACCTTGTTATCTACACAACAACACCTGCTGTAGCTGCCAATTTGAAAGCAAAGCCCAACATGGTTCAGCAATGCATCAGGATCAGAATCCTAGATTTCAGCCTACCCAACATTCTACCTGAGCTTGACTTGGACATACCATGCATCAGCAAAACCTGATTTTTCTGTGGGTGCTACATGGTGCTACACAGTGCTCCATAGGTTGATGTAATTGACCACCGTTGCTATGCAGAAGAGAACCCTTACTATGGCTCTATGGAGTGCTGTGTAGCATTGTGCAGCTCTGCATAGATGCCCAATTTCGATGTTTTTGGCCTCAAAAAATCAGGGTTTGCTGATGTGGCATGGAGTCATAATTCATGACATCTATGCAGCAGCAGTTAGGGATGCCTTCAACAGCACAGAGGAGAAGTCAGACATCTGGAATACACTGGAGGAGGGTGGTGTGGTGACCAAGGACATCTGAGGTAATCTCACAACAGAGAAGAGTTTGAGAAGGAGCATCTGTCCATGCTGGTCAGATTCAAAGACCCACACACATATGCATCCACCTCCAGCAGGATGGCATTTTCTTGCTGGGTTCATGGTGCCACATCTCATGGTACTGTGGACCCAAGAACAGGAGGACATCTCTTGCCTCTCCACAGCCCATATACCAGGTATTGTAACATAATACTCATACCACTCTCACCTGCCTAGAACACTGTCAATTTTTACTCATCTCTTCATCTCTCCTGTCACAGCACTCTGTGGCTGGGTGTGCAAGTAGAAACCAAAACCTCAGCAGTAAATCTTAGTAGATGAACATTCCCATAGTTACAGAAATGTAGTACAAGGTCAAGGTGAGGGTCCACCCTACAGAGACAATAAAATGACTCAAAAAAAAAAAAAAAAAGGACATGACCTTGCACTCCAGTGTCCAGTGCAGCAGGATGGAGTTGTTGTTGGGGTTGAAGAGTTTGGAGGATGTGCCTTATTCCTGAGAAGCCTCAGAGAGCTGACAAGTGGAAGAGTCCCAAATTCTTAGCCTACAGGATATGGTTGGCTTTCCATGTCAGTCAAGAGACTGTGATATGAGGCAATGCATCATGCAGCGATCAGGGAGGTTTCTCTCATTGCTGATGATGACTGATGATGAGCCTTGGGAAACATTCTGAATCAATAAGAAATGAAGACAGGTAAGGGAGCATAGGTAGCATTCCAACTGAGGACCTTCATACCCTTGGATGCTAGGCCATCATCATCCATTGGTTGAGCTTACTGCAGGACTTGGTCAATGGAAATTGCACAAGTGTTCCACTGGCATTTGCTATTTCAGATTAGATAACTTGCAGATGGGTACCATAACAGGAATTTGTATCTCACACATGGCAAATTGAATTAGCCTGACCTCAAGGCAAACTGCACTCTCCCACCCACCTTCTCCCAGCTGGACCACATCAAATGGTTCAGGATTAGAAAGCTACTCAATGCAAGTGCTCTAAGCAGATTTTTTAAGCCCAGATTGCTCAAATATTTGATGAAATATGCTGTCATAGATGCAACATGTTGTGGAAGAAATGTGTGGTTCCACCTGCATAGACATAAACCATGGCTAAAGCAGGTCTCTTGCCAGGATAGTCTGAACTAGTTCACTCACTGTTATCCAAAGGTGGTAAATGTTACAAGTACTTGCTGCCATAGCAAAATGTACATGCTGTTGCCTGCCAAGCTCCATATAGTAAGCAATGAGCTGCCACACTTTCCCTGGGGACCAGTCACTTTCCACAACTAGTCTTCAACAATGAAATGAGACCAGTCACTTCCTGTGACCAGTCTCCAACAATGAAATGCAACCAGTCACTAGATGTGACCAGTCTCTGGAGTCCTCTTGGCCCTGCTAACAATACCCAAAGGCCTTGGGGGCTAGCCCACCTGAATTCTGAGACTGGGATGTTGAGCCTGCCCTTCAGATAGAGGGCCCTCATCTTTATTATTAGGTGATTGCTTACATGGTAGAGGTTCCACCATACTGCTGCCAACTAACAGAAGAAGGTGGTGTGCTTTGCCTTTAATCCAGCCCACTAAAAGGATGGGATGGGTGGCTTCTCTGATGGCAGCACATTGGCAAGCACTTCTGAGTGTCATGGCTTCCTATCATGCTACCCCTCCTGCATCTTGTCAGTGTACTAGTGTGATGCACTTATCCCATCTTGAGTTTATGTAGAAATGGCCACGTGTTCTCTTGGATAGCTAGCAATTGGCCTTTTTTGAAAGGTATAGTGTGCAATCTCAAACCCAGAGGCAGGTGATGGAGGCCCTAGGCTGGGCAGCTTGGCCTGGAATGGGAGATATGGAGTCTGTCACATTGTGTGATAGAGAGTGGACAGTGGAGGGAAACAAGTTTGTAGGTAGCCTAGACCTCTACCACTGAGGTATTATCTCATGATAGTAAGGTCCAAGTAATAAGCCTGTAATAACTGTGCTGGAAGGGATGGGGACTTGGCTTCAGCTTGACAGGAAGGGCAGCTGTGCCATCATGCAACATCTGGGTGTCCTCTATTTCAGATGAACAAGGGAGATTCAACTTGGGATGGAACCCGGAAGTCAACTGGCTAACTGGGACAGAGGCCAGCTAGCGGATGGGAGGGTTTCCAGCAGTGAACACAATAAGAGGGATATGTTGAGTTCAATATTCTGACTGAGGGATCTACTACCGTACATGGGTATTTATGCTATCTAAAATATTAAGAGACAAGGCAGCTTAGATAATAATATTACATAATCCAACCAATAATGATGAGAACACGATGCGAGTGATGGGCAAGCACGGCAAACGCTGTCTTCAATACCGTGTTTGGCCCAGTAACGGACCAACAATGGTAGTGGTCCAAAGCAATTTTCTCGCCGACTTTGAGACTGTTTGACTTCATTCTTTTTGGCGCATGTAGGTTAGATCAATTTATATTGTATTTTTGTCTTGCCAGGTGACTTCCCTTTCCCCTCAATGCCCTTGCTGCCAAGGGGGAAATGGTCCAAAATGGTCCAAAACTCGACTTGCCGACTTGGTGGGATTTTCATTCCCTCAAGAGTTGCTGTAGATGCAAAGAAGCACTGTAAAACAATGTAAAATAGGCTATAGTTTGCATTAAAATTTCTCCCATAGAAGGTGGCCTCCCCTCCGCCCCAAGACATGTCTTTGGACCACTTCCTGGTATTTTGATCAAAATGTGATGTTATTAGTTGAAATATTTTTGTAGCCACATAAAAACAATCGGTCTGTATAAAACTCACAAGACCCATAGTATACAAATGAGAGACTGTATATTCCAAATTTCAAGACAAACAACTGGCATTTGTGAGCTGGAGGGCAAAAGAAATGATTCACTGGACTGTTACTGGACTAGACATGGTACTCCTGAGATGAGACGTGACAGTGTTAACCCTCCCGTGGCATAGCCACAGGCAAGCAAAGCTTGTGTAGAATAATGCACTATGATTATGTAATGGACAACTCAGCTGAGACAATGAGGACAATAGAGGATAATGAGGGACAATAGAAACAATGGCTAGAAGGCATAATGGAGTGAGCCAGAAACAGCTCATCTCAGAAGCATCCCAGAAGCAAACAGCTAATCCTTGGCTGTCTTTGGAAGCATCCTGGAAGAGCATGGCTCATTCCTGGATGTCTTAAGAGCTGGATAATCAGGCTGGGAGCCAGGTACAGCTTGTGACAAAGCCTCAGCATATTGCTAAGCCTAGGATCTAACTGGCTTAGATATAAGGGTATTATTTTATGCTAAAGTACCTGTATAACTAATAAAATATTATTACTAATCCTAAGCTTAACCTTTCTTAGGCATAACCACCTGTGATCTGACTGCCCTAGGCTCTCATGTAGTAGATGCCAAGTCTCCTCCTGCAGCTTAGTATCTGCTCTCTTCTTTGTCTTTAGCTTATTTTACTCCTCTTTGTACCTGTGCTCCTATTCCTTATACAGTTATCTTATTTAACATGGCAACAGAGCAGGTATATAGTGGTGCCAGTGTATATCATGTAGGATCCCTAGATTCTGTTAACACATGTGTATCTAACATAAAGACAGAATATCCCCATCATCACCACTGCTAGTAGGAAGGTTCAGGGTATACAGATTTGAGTTGAAGAGCTTGCATAAGTCAAACTAAGCCCCATGATGGTAACTTTTGTTATTAATGTCATAGCCACTAAGGTCAATGCCTATAGTAATAAGAGCATTGCTCTTGGCTATCTAGTTACTTGAGGCCATATGGGTCATATGCATCTGAATTGAAGGCATTGGACTAGCTACTATCATAGGAGGTACTATGCTCATTGACTTCATAGCAAGAGCTTATAGTCAATTTCTTTTGCCTGCACCTTAGGTAGAGGTTTGGAATAGTTGAGGAATAATGAGCTACTGGGGAACCTACTAGGAAGGAGAATATAGTAAGTGTAAGTGGGAAGAAGCCTACATGGACAAAGGTTAGGTGTAAGAAGGGAGTGTAGGGTATGTGAAGACTGGTTTGACTGCTTTCTGAGCCCTTCAGTGTCATGGGAATCCATGTTGTGATATAGGCAGTAGTGAGGAGGCTACCTGGTAAGGCCAGGTGTGATGTAACCTCCCAGTCTACCATACCCTTTATACCCTACCCCCCTTTATCTGCAAGGAACTACAGCTTAAGTCAAGCCCCTGCCATTGTGCCTGCTATTTTTGGCCAGCATGTGCCATCAAGCCCAGCAGCCCCAGCAGCATGGCACAGGCCTGCCTGTAGTTGCACAAACCCAGTTGTGCAGCTTTGAGATATCAGGGTTCAGGGATTGGGGAACTGCCATCATGGAGGCAGCCCCTCCTCCAGACATAGACTTGCATAGCCCCACAGGTGCAGCCTCATCATATAGGCCACATTATGGCCATAATTCCATAAAATATGTTCAGTTGAGTGGGCAAACCTTGGCTTCTACACAGCACTGGTGGTCACAGGAGGATCACCTGGACTTGTGATCTGACTGCCGAGATCCATCCACCTACCACTGCAGGAGCATCTTGAATGATAAAATCAAATTAAGCTATTAGGATATTAAGCTATTAAGCATATATACTATAGAGAATAAAAGATCAATAAATAACTGATCCCATGATTGCTGTTCTATAAGTAAGCAGCAACAAGTCTTCTGCATACTCTGGAGGAGGTGTCCAAACTGTTGGAGCACTCGACAGGCATGTCTGCTAAGCATTAAGTTAGAGCAGTACAGATTTGTGGGCAAGAGGGATGTACGCATTGCTCACTGTATCAAGCATAGACCTAGAAAGCACCTTTGTTGCTCGCTTCCTCCAACCACTGCTAAGTCCTGTTGATAGACTGTCTATAGTCCAGTCTGTGGCCCTCTGGCCCTGGGTCAGTCCTGGCCTGGACCTGAGGGCCAGGGTCAAGGGCCAGCAGCCTGGCAGACTGGCCCCTTTAGAGAGGGCCAGGGCCAAGGGTTGGTTGATCCTCAGATCTCAGGTCAAACCCAGGCCAACCTGGTTCAGCCCCATTTCAGAAGGCCATGTCATCACTGGGGTTGTCCCTGACTCCCACCTCCACTGTTGTCTCTCCCACATCGTTGATCTGCCATTGTCTTGCACTGTTACCATTCTCTGCTTGCACTGTTGCCCTCCTCTCACCCCTGCCATTGTGTCACTGTCACCTCACTGCTTGCACCATTGCCATTGCCATTGCCTCAGCTCTGTTATCATGTTGCCTCTGCCATTGTGTTGCCATCGCCTCACTGCTCGCACCCCTGCCCTTGTCTTGCTGTTGCCTCACCCTGTCATCATCTTGCTGTCACTTTGCCTGGCTGTCATCTGACCCTTGCCTTGCTGCTCACACCCCTGCTTTTGTCTCACCATTGCCTCACCCCCATTATTGCCTTGCCATCACCTCACCTCTGCTCTTGCCTCACTGCTCAAACCCCCACCATCACCTTGCATCACTGCTGCCTCTGCCATTGCTGCCCCACCCTTGTCTCACTGCTGCCTTGCAACCTCATCTCACCATTGCCTCACCCCCATCATTGTCTTGTTGTTGCTTCACCCTGCCATCATCTCATCCTCACCTTGCTGCTTGCACCTGCCCTTGTCTCGCTGTCACCTTGTAGAATACCCTCTGTATAGTATGCATAAAATAAATATTTTTAGTTAATTGCAAAAACAAATTAAAAAATAGGTGTTTTTTTAGGGCCAGCCTGGGGTCTGCCCTGCCCTGACCCAGACCTTAGACAGTCTACCTGTTCAGCTCTCAGCATCAGCAATTCCTGATTGCATTATGAGTGCTATATGAGGGTATGTAGGACTCCGTAATTGGGGGGCTATCTCAATGGATAAGAAGATGCATTACAGTGCTATGTCATGTTACATAGTGCTATGTAACGTGCCATAACATGCTGTAATGCCAAAATTGAGGCTATTTTTGCCCTCAAAATCAGGATTTGCTGATGAGATTAGCACATGCATGACCGGTCAGAGACTTACTGAGTCAAAAGGTAACAAGGGTGGAGATTTGAAGACAAGCAATAAGTAGTCCAACTCAGACTGCTCCAGGTGAGCTTCCCACAATCACCCAATCATCAGCAAATCCTGATTTTGAGGGCAAAAATGGCCTCAATTTTGGCATTACAGTGTGTTGTGGTGTGTTATGTAGCGCTATGTAACATGACATAGCACTGTAATGCATCTTCTTATTCATTGAGATAGCCCCCCAATTACAGAGTCCTACATACCCTCGTATAGCACTCATAATGCAATCAGGAATTGCTGATGATCGCCTAATGACAAAGACAAGGGTATCAGGAGGATCTATTGATACATCCGAGTCACCAAGGGTCTCCATCCATCTACTATGTACATCTGCGACTGAGAATGGTGCTGTGGTTGAGGCTGAATGTAGTGGTATGGGGGAGGGGAAGGGGGGCTGGGGCTCAAATTGGGAGAAAGGTTGGTGCTGTAAAATCTGCACCTGAGTTGGTTGGCCCAAAGGCAACAGAATACGTGAAAGTCATTCATACGCGGTCAGATTTTCTTGTTCTTTGTCATTAAGAGAGTCACTGACCACGACCCCAACAGGGAGGCGTATAAGAGAGGTCTCGAAAAGGGTGGCAAATACGCGTATGCATGAGTCCGAGACAATTTCTGAGTGAGGCCAATTTCTGAGTGAGGCCATAAATATGTGTCATGAATTATGCACATGGATATAGATACATGAGAGGAGCACACAGGTTATTAACCGGCCTGTAATGAAGTTGCTACATTGTTATGCAAAGGAATGTGAGTACTAAAGCGTGGTGTAAGGTAGGGGCGTCACGAAAAGGACTGTGGCTACAAAGAAAGACGAATAGAGGGTAGGAATACTAAGTTAGTTTTGGCTCTATTAATGATGAAAGGCATCTAATCTAAAGGACGCGTTCCATGATATGCTGCGATGATGAGAAGGGGGAACGTGGAATGACAAGCACGACAACGAACAGAGGCAAGAAACGACTAAGGCTACAGTGGACGAGAGGTCAAGCAATAGAGAAATAGAATGAACGAATACAATATGATGATGACGAACCGGGATCCAAGGATGGGTTTGGGATCCAAAGGCGATTAATGGCGGTCTGCGTCGGCGCGGCGCCTAATGACTCCACCCGCCTGTGCCTTCTTCTCCCAAACCGCAGGCGACTCGCCGTCGGCCCACGTCTGAGTGCGAGGATCGTGCTCGAAGTCGCCATCCTTGTAGCTATATCGCTCCTGGAGGAGCTTCAACAGGGGGTTCCTGAGCGCGGGGTCCATGCGCACAGTCTCGCCTGGGAGGTAACTGCCGACGCCATGCCGCGACAGGCTCTCCTCGAACAGCGCCTCGTCGTAGGTGCACCCGCAGTTGAGGTACCCGGGAGGTGCATTCCGTGGGGGATACGCCCGGCGCTCGCGTCGCGAGTCATGCCACGCACACAGCGCGTTACCCGCACGGTTGAGTGAGCAGAAGATGCGCTTGCGGGACTCGGTGCGAGTGCGCCAGCCTGACTGAAACGCAGCCGAGTGAGGCGGTGTTGGGAGACCGCCGGCTGGTTGTGTCATGCGCATTGACTCGAGAGCTGATCGTGTGCGTGAGCACTCAAGCTCGAGCTCTTGTACGCGACGGCGAAGGCGGCGAACCTCGTCCTCAGGCGACCCTGTCGACGACCCCGGGTACATCTGCTGGTGGCTGGAGAAGCCCATGGTGGCGCTGGTGGTTTGTGGCATACCACGACCCTGAGCGGGGTACGCGGCCTCGGAGAATTGTGGATAGTGCTGAGGAGAATGGGGAGATAACGATTCTGGTGAGGCGTTACGTGTCGTCGTCGTGTTGAAGTCATTCAGCGAAGGGAGGTCGGACATGCCAGTGAAGAGTCCTCCATGGCCTGCCACACCGGGGTAGGCAGAGGTGTTCATCGCGATCGTCATGTTCGTGTGCATGGGGGTGGTGTTCCATGTAAGGTCATGGTTTTGGGGATTTTGTACGTTGCCGGTGTAGAGGTGCCCGCTATGAGACGATGCGGGCGACCGAGAGAGCCGAGTGTGCATGCTCGCCTCCCCCATGGCACCAGTCAAGCTTGAGCTAGATGAGATCGATCGAAGGTCTGAGCCACCCTCGATGTTGCTCAAGTACGGCTCCTACATGCAATGGGTAAGAGGCATTGGCAACGACGACGAAACTATACTTACGTTGATGAACTGGTGAGAGAGGGTGTATGTTGACTGGTCCTCGCCATCGGATGATCTCCGTTCGGGAGGGGGATGTGATCGACCGTGGCCATTTCTGGTCGCGGATCCACTCCAGGAGTTTCCGTAGGCGATGTTGGACATGGTACCAAGCTCGTCTTTGCGTGAGGTACTGTCGCGGTTGACTAGAGGGTAGGGTCTCGGACGCTTGGAGCCAGCCAGGGAAGATGAGGAACCTCTCCGACGCGAGGTCGAGGGCAAACACGGCAACGTGGGTGGGGAGGGGGTAATTGGGGGGGATAATAATGAGAAGGATAGACCTGGAGACTCCTCTTTAATATCCATCGGCTTGCCTTGGGGAATGATATACTGGAGAAGGTCGTCGAACTGGTCCATCGTAAAAGCGGGCAGTGCAGGAAAGCAACGACCAGTTTTTGCCACGGCTTTTGACCACTGGCAAGATGGGCATCACAGGTCGCGTGGGTCGCGATGGAAATCCACAAACACGACGACTGGCGGAAAGATCTTCGGAGGTGAGGCTGTGAGCGAGACGACATTGGGTTCCGCAAGTAAGGCCATCAGATGGAGGTTCAGTTACGATTCTGAATTGCTAAAACATTTGATGTCAACAATCCTATCCAACCACCGGATCAAAAAGCGATCGAGATTTGCCTCCCTAATTATCTACGTGGTGCCGAGAGTCTTCGGGATCTTGTTGATGATGTTGAAGGCCGACTGGGACGCACAGTGCTTCAAGGAATCGGAGAAACTACCGGCGTGTGTGCCGAAGTCGTTGTATCTCACGAGAAAAGTGTACACAAATTCGAAAGATGGGAATTGAAAATATGTTCAAAAGTCATGACTGCCATAAACGTTCGGCGGATATTTTTGAACCAGACAGCGAGACGAATTGTTCCAGCAGTTCTAATCAGACAGAGCTGTTTGCGAGTCTTCCTAATCGCGGCCAACTTTGGCCATGAATGACGATTGTACGCTGGGGGATTTGGTGTATTGACATGCGGGAAAAACTGATAGAAGAATTTCAGGAACAAAGAGTGAGATACGAGTTGAGGAAAGGGTGAATATACACCGTTCATAGCTCAGGCATTTCGCGTTTGGTCATCAAATTTCACGGTCACGGTCAGTACCTCTCGATTTTTGGTGTCGCGGCAAAGCGAGTCACCAGCGGGAAAGAAAGCATTCAGGCTCATTCTAGAGCTTTCGATCTTCATATTTCCTCTCACTTACACTGCCATTCATGACAATGAGCACTCCTCAACTTCTAGATGAAAATTCAATCTCAAGGCCCATGAAATTTCAGTCGGCATTTAGATGTACTGACGATCTCGTAAATTTCTGTTACCGCACTGCATGAGCGAGCTTTTGGGAGACAGCGGCTATGCAAACTCCGATCCAACCCTCTTCTCCTAAATCACTCCGGCATAGGGGCTTGGTCGTACCGGACGACCTCCCTCCACGGGTGAGCCTGCAGCGAGTCGACACTACAGTGCATTCAGAAACGCGTACGAAGGGCATCTAACGGCACCAACCTGAGATCCTTGGGGATTTCCACCTCGCCGTTCTTCACGTTGATATGAACAAGTTTCGTAATCTCAACGGCAGGCTTTCCAGGACAGCTAATCGGGCTTTCAGATAGAGTGTGCAAACATGATTGATGCGCATATACTCACAGCTTCAACAACCGAGGGATAGGAAAGCAATGCAGCGTGCGTTGCCCAAGCCGATTTATCCGCAGCTCGCACGTATGCTGCACAATCTCCGCAATGCGACATTCGTCTTTGGTCCTGGGAGGATCCGAGGCGCTTGTCATTGCCCCAGGATCTCTAATGAAGACGCCCGTTGCTCTGCACAGCAAATACTGAACAGCAACGTGATGGTTAAAAGGCAAGATCAAGATCATGATCGAGGATTTGCTTCCATGATGAAGTGATGGTCATTTATGTAAGCAAAGAATCTGCGGCCCGGTTGTCCCCGGCAATGGCTGCAGTGCTCCTCCGTGATTGAAGTGTCTCGATTTAATATCGATTTATCAAGATCAGTACATAGCTTAAGAACCACTGTGAGAGGCTTGCCGCCAGTACAGGTCCAGCGTAGGATTTCGAAACACGATCCGAGATACAGCCATCCAAAGAAACCCCAATAAACCCCACCAACCTGCGCTCGTCAAGTAACTGAGATTAGAGCATCCGGTAGGAGTTTAACGGTATACATGAAGGCGGGATTTGCACATGGCACACGAAGGTGACACCGCTGCATTCAAAGCCATTGTGCAACGTGCCTTACTGGCGATCTCTCCACGTTGTGTCCCTGTCGACTTTACGAGCATGATTTTTGGGCGGAGGTTGAGTGGAGTCTCAGTCGAGGTACAATAGAGAGAGGATGAATGAAAAGGTACCGATAATGTGCCTTGGGCCCTCTCCCGACCGCAAATCAAACATCAGAAAGACTGGGGTAGTAATTCAAATACCAGGATTTCTTTGTTTTCTTGGAAATGTACCATATGGTAGCGTTGGAGAATAATAAGACTTTTCGGCTGTAGCGATGAGAAATCAACTCGTTGTCCAGCGTCGACTGGGATAAGGCCAGTGTTTTGATAGAGGAACGAACCTACCGAAGCAAAAGACTACATTAACGAGCGGCTATGAGAAAATTTACCCGGAAAGTACGCTATATGGAAAGACTACGAGATGATAAGCCACCAGTGTGCACGCGAAAGGGCCCCAGTGCGTGATGAATTCGGGGATTTAACTAAGACCCAACCTCTCGAGAGTTTAAGCCGGGCAAGTGTGGACCTGACTCTGGGTAATAAAGGGGATGAGGATCATTTTCTTCTCAGTTTTGGGGCTGGTATCAGCAACGGTTCATGTCAAGCGCCTAGTTAGACAAGCGCCGAGGAAGCATCTCGAACGGAATACCGGTCCGGGGAGCCATCTTAGCTTGGTCTTATTTCTTTTCGACGCCAATGGGCTGTGACACACTTGTCAACAGTCTACTCGAACACCAAATCCTCCACAAAGTCCCAAGGGCATCTATTATGGCTGCGTACGTGGCCCCATCTCGCCTGGCCGCCCTCACGAAACTGCGGTGTTCCATTTTTCAAACGTCCTACAACCCCAAGAGCCTACGAACAGGCGCGAAGTACCTCCGAGCTCGTCTACGCGGCCCCTCGATGGTGGCCTACTATCCAGACGAGTTCAACATCCCACAAATCATCAGAAGATATCCAGAGTTGGAAATGGTTGATGAAGATGAGCAAGAACGGCTGCAGGATGTGCGTGAGAGGAAGCAAAGAGGAAAGGGTGCTCCAAAGAAGGCCAAGACGAAAGGTATATCCTTCTTTCGTTCCATGTATGGATAGTCATCTAATAATGCTCAAAACAGAGGACAGCAGGAGGACACACAAGAAGCGGTGATGGCAACCTCTGTCTTTCAAAACTTGTTACACACGGTGCCAACTGTCGAAGAACTCTTCTGCTATATAATTGGAATAGGGCTCCAAGTATTCCTCCTTGCCATCTGTTTAGAAACGCATCATTAATCAGACATGGTCTACGCTGGCCGAACGACGTATGAATGCGCAACTTCTAGTGCCGCTCTGCTTCAGGACTTTGATTCGCATCAGTTGTGCATCATTCTTTGAAGAACACGCTGGAATGCGTATGTTGTTCATCTTACACCGTATCAACCCTCACAAGTCTGCCTGAAGCCCCAAGCCAATATATTTAAATCTTCAGGAACTGCTGCTCACCGTTCAACCCGAACTTTATCAACATGGACATAACCTCCGTCCTATGCCCATGGTTCCTGAATCTATGTAACGATCTAGGCAGAATGTTCTCAAGGTATCCTCCACATTGCTATCCCGCTTCGTTCAGAATCTAATTCTTTCTTTGCCTCTTTGCTCGCCTTCTTACAGCACCAGCAACCAGCAACGTTACGGCGTCCTTCAAGGCGCCTTTCTTTCTCGTCTGATTCTCGAGGCCACCAGATTGTTCCGCTTGAGGGCCTTCTCCCGCTTCTCCACCTATTACAACCGTCACCCTCTCCTAATCCACGCACAAGTCCAGATATTCGAACAGAACATTGATGATGCCTTCGAATCTCCCACTTGCGCTCTTCCCACCTCTAGTCTCTGGTAGCTCGACTTCCCAAAGCTGCTCAAGTGTCAAACCGTCCCAGGTTACCAGTGGTGCGCCAACCTTGACTGGAACGACGATACTCGGGCACCCATTGAGCAAGATATAATTGATGACGCTCTCGCCAGGCCTGGCACTCGAAGTCCAGATCTTCCTATGCGGCTTCAGTCCAACAAGTAGGATGACCATGCGCCGCGGCACTGGCGGCGGTGGGAGCGTCGTCAATGCCGGCTCCGGGGACGGTGTACGCGACTTCGAGAACTTGTTCGCCGGTGCCGGAATAGACAACTCCGAAACTGGAAACATGCGGTGATGGGAGTGGTCCTCTCCCACTATTGGAGCAGCAGCGCCTGCGTTGCTCTCGGACCCTGTGGATGACACTTGACGCAGGCACGGGTGCGTCACACAGTGCTATGACAGATGCTGATTCCCCGAGCAGTGTCTCTCCTACCCTATAGTCGCCTTTTGGGGTGACGAGATGGGGTTATTTTTTTATCGGACCGAATGAAACGCAGAGTATTTTTCAAAAGCGTACGCATTGGATAAGTCAGCAAGCCGAAATAGCGAGTTAGGATGATGGCTTTGGCGTTCACTAACCTGATAGGAAAGGACCATGGCAGAAGATAATATCTGGTTTCATATTCCTCGGGATGATTGGGCGACGGGCACTGGCGAAGAGATACGGTGAAAACCAGCCTTTCTCCACCGCCAGATAATCTTTGACCGCAGCAAAGAGGGACGCGTCTCTGGCATACCAAAGCAGAAGCACCTAATCAGAGCCGTTTCCCGTAGACCGAGCGCCGCCACTTACGAATGCACGGAGCTTCGATAGAACCCAAGCGCAGCATCATCGTCGACTTGTACTTCAGCGTTATCAGAATAACCTTCATCCCCGTCGTCTCGAGACGCTTCAAATGGATAGGAACGAGCTTGTTGATGGGCTTGTCGAAGACCAAGTCATTTGCGAGCTTGGTCGACAAATCGAATCCGACATGCAAGCCAAGCTCGACAAGGATAGTGTCTCCAAACGATGCAACAGCTGCATCTGCTACTGGGCCCATACTCCAAAATGGGATATTATTAGACCCGGGAAGGAGAAAATATAACCGCATGGAATAACTTCAACTTACACAGGTGCTGCCACTGCTGCCACCCCTCCCTAAAGGAAGCAGGTTAGCACCCAACGTTCGACCAGCCTCCACCGGCATCGAACCGGCGAAGACATGGTGGATGGACGGATACTTACAGTTGCAGCTATCACCGTGTGCACCGCAAGGTCTCGAAACCGGATACAGGGCAAAAACAACGGCGACGAGTCTCCCCACTAGGCAAGCCCGAGTTTTCTTCGTCAGCTTAGAACGGAAAATATTTTTTTCGGATGATGAACCATCCGGACGCCGCCCAACCTTGGTCAACTGCTGCACACACTTAACGTTATGGGGGTCACAAAAAAATGAATCATAGGGCCTAGGCACGCAGAAATGTACCATGAAACAGCTCTCTCCGGCCTTCGTCGAAAGTAGAAAAGCAGCACTCACAGGTGAAAGGCAGACTACGGTTGTCCCGGCGGCCCTTAGCGTTTCGTAAGAGGACATCACGATCCTTCCAGTCATGGACTATTGAAAGAGAAGATAAAATGATAATCAGTGGTAGCACGATTTTTTTGTCCACAACAAGTAGAGCATCAGGAACAATTGGCTGATGACCGAAAGTAAGAAAGTCACCGATCCAGCCACCCAGGGACGAATTCTAACTCCGGTGTTACAAACTATTTTTTGAGAAGAGAGCTTGACTTGCAAGAAACCTGGATGTAGAAAATATGTTCCCCTGTAGCATCAAGAAGCCGCCCGGCCAGCTCCTCTTGCATTGCGTCGCTGACTTCTTGATCCGAAAGCAAGGGTGCCGGCCGCGGCTGTGGCCATTCATAAGCAATCTTTAACAGCGGGCGCTAAGCGCCCAAGGCGTGCAGGGTCTGATGCCAGCCGAAGAGCCCACAATCCGCCTCCTGGCCAACCAGAACGATCTAGCGCACGCTATACCACCAGCAACTGTCTTATTCTGGTAGATGCTGCCTAGATATCCACTGTCGATGATCATTTCACCGCCATAAGCTAAGGATCCCCCAACAGTGCAACGATCCATAGTTCGGACGTCGACAATCAAAGAACTCGAAACGGCCGATAGATGAAAGGGAAATTTAGGACTACAGTGACTCACTCCGACGAGTTTCCTGACGATCCATGGTGCGGCTTTCTCTTCTTCAGTACTTGGGGCGGATATTGAGGCCGGGTCGACAGGCCCTATGGGCGAAATTGATGAATCTGAGGCGTTCTTTAACATTATTCTACGACGTAGGAGGGACACAGTATGTCGATGTGAATAGAATTGAAACAGCCCCTAGATTCGAAGAGACTCACAGAGTTCGTTTAGAACGACCTTTGTCGACTCCGTACTGCGGGCGCCGGGAAGCTTTGGCGCTCGAAATCGGCCAAGACAAAACCAAGCAGTTGTCAGAACCTATAGAAAAGAAGAAAAGAGGATTTGACGGAAACATAAGAACATATCAAAACACTGATGATCGATCAACCCCACATTGGTGGGCGCTATTATTGGGGATTCCCGAGTGGACGGAAATTATCGGCATCGTTCATCGTTGAAGGACAATCAGATAATCTCAGGCAATCCGTGCTGGGAAATTGACCATCACACAAAAATTGTTCAAGAATTGAATATTTATCATCAAGAACAACGGACAACTCCATGGGCGTTGAGGCCCTCATCATCCTACATACTCTACATCAACACCCACTGCATAGCCACCCAGCAAGATCGAACACTTGTGGGACAACGTCCGCGACCTCCTCCAGCTACATGAGCTGATCAAAACGTATCCCTGCCTGCCTGCTGCTCCGTTAAAGGCGCACTTAAATAGTTGAACGAATCCACCGGAACATCCAGTCAAGTGTGTAGGACGTTGAAGATCCCATTCTCCCGTCTATTGGGCGAGGGCTCGTTGAGGCCGTCGATCGACTACGGGTTTACCGCATGACAATTAGTAGCGGTAGTGGGACTAGCGAGAATGCATCAGGACAAGATGATCAACGAGGCTGTGAAAAAAACACTGACAGGCTTGTAAGGGCCCTGGGCGGGGATGTCCAAGTACTTGGACTGGGTCTCGCTGAGAACGGTCAGTTTGACGTTCAGCTGAGCAAGGTGGGCTCGGGCGACCTCCTCGTCGAGCTCCTTGGGGAGCATGTGGACGCCGAGGGGGAACTTTTCAGGGGTGGTCCAGAGGGCGATCTGGGCAAGGACCTGGTTGGCGAATGAGCAAGACATGACGAACGAAGGATGGCCGGTAGCACAGCTACGAACGATATAATCAATCGACCAGCCACAACAATAAATGATAACTCGTACCCCAAGTTGACGAGACGGCCCTCAGCGAGGAGGATAATGTGACGTGCATTGGGCATGGTGTACCGATCGACCTGGGGCTTAACGTTGGTGACGGAGGCGGCGTTAGCCTTGAGCCATGCAACATCGATTTCGACATCGAAGTGGCCGATGCTAACATCGTGGGGATGAGCACACAAAAGTGAAGAATGACAAGAAGGAGCGCACTTAGAAACGATGGCATCTTCAGGCATGACTGCGAAATGGGCTCCAGTGATGATATCCCTGTTGCCGGTGGTGGTCACGAAGACATTGCCACGGGGAGCAGCTTCCTCCATGGTGGTGACCTCATAACCGGCCATGGCGGCTTGGAGGGCGTTGATAGGGTCGATCTCGGTGATGATAACGCGAGCGCCGTAGGACTTAAGAGATTCCGCGCACTATAGAGAGCCCGCCATTAGTCGAACATCGAGCAATAACAAAGAAGAAAAACGCACTCCTTTGCCAACATCACCGTACCCAGCGACGACAGCGACCTTCCCAGCAAGCATAACATCGGTGGCACGCTTGATACCATCGACGAGGGACTCGCGGCATCCGTAGTAGTTGTCGAACTTGGACTTGGTGACAGAGTCGTTAACATTGATGGCAGGGACCTTGAGCTTGCCGTCACGGAAGGCCTTGTAGAGATGGTGGACACCGGTAGTCGTTTCCTCCGAGACACCACGAACGTCTGTGCAAATGATAAAATCAAAACACGATGGTTGACCCGGCAGGGATAGTTCGCTTACCAGCAAGGTACTGCGGGTACTTCTCATGAACGAGGTTGGTGAGATCACCTCCATCATCGAGGATCATGTTGAGAGATTTTCCGCCATTGAATCCGGCAAGGGTCTGCTCAATGCACCACAAGTACTCCTCCTCAGTTTCACCCTTCCAGGCAAAGACAGGAACCCCGGTTGCGGCGATACTGATCGACGACGTCAAATGCGGATCTTATCTCGTGTCAAAAAAGCACTTACGCTGCGGCAGCGTGGTCTTGGGTTGAGAATATGTTCTACACGGCAGGGTAAGCGGTACGCGCATCTGTCAGAGATGTGGGACATACGCAGGACGACCAGGTAACCTCAGCTCCGAGGGCGGTGAGGGTCTCGATAAGAACAGCGGTTTGGATGGTCCTAGGAACGATAGAACAACGCGTCAGAAGGGCTTAAAAACGTAAATATCTGCCGAAACGCACATGTGGAGGCATCCTGCGATGCGAGCACCCTTCAAGGGTTGCGAAGGTCCGTACTGTTATCAGACACGAGGATCAGGAAATCGATCTCTATGGATTGAACAGCATCATTCCTCACCTTCTTCCTCAAGTACATGAGACCGGGCATCTCATTCTACGACCATGGAAATCATCAGTTGAGCGATAACAGTTGGTTGGGATGACGAATTGAGCTACCTCTGCAATTTCGATCTCCTTGCGGCCAAAGGCAGCGAGAGACACGTCTGGAACAGCCGGTAAATCATTCCAAGTAATAGTGTAGAAGAATGGGTCATACCTGCAACTTTGAAGACCATTTTGAGCTTTTGAAAAAAGAGAGGATGGGTGATGGAAAGGAAAAGGAGGATGGCTCGAAAGATTTTCCTGTCGAACGTTTTTGTTTTTCGAGGGCACGTGACTTGAGGGATCTAATCTGATGAATTCTCGGCCCGCTACTTATTTCACATCCAGGTACTTCCAGGGTACTTCCACCCCAAGGTACAGTGGAAAGCCAAGGAATAAAGAGGGGGGAAATATCTCTAGACAACTTCGCAATGATTTATGCAAGCGCTACAATTTTTTTCGGTGTCAGAATTGGGCCTATACAGAAGAGCGACGAAAGGATTTTGTCGCAATTTATCAGCAGATGTTGAGAACATCCAAGCGTCGTCTTGCAGGGGGTTTTCAATGAAGTACCGGAGCACCTGGGGAGAAACACGCTGCTGGAATCGAGGCAGACGTCCAGGGACAATCGTTCTTGAAGCGTAGACGACTCTGTGCTTTCGTCTCCATCCGCAGATCAAGGGCAGCTCTTCATTCCAACAGACTTCAAGTTTTCACGAACGCTTCTCTCTGTGTGTACATATGGAGTTGGAGCGCGAAGTTTTCGAGCCAGGGGGGTAATGAACGCGGCAGTCGCAAGCTGGCCTGTGAACAGCAGGGACACAAATATCCTATATAGCATCTCCACCGAGTTGAGCGACATAATTGAGGTACATGAGTCAAGATCCCTCTTTCTATTCTGCATTAAGAGTCCGGGTATTTCTTGATGCATTCCAGCGCTTCTTTTGAAGTGCAGTTTTGCCTATAATTAGCTGATCCGGGCTAAGAAGTAAATGGGTGAGAGAGAGGAAAAATAGGCCGCTAATTCGTAGACGAAACGAGGAAAGAGACAAGAAAAAATTCAAACACCTATCCGCTCGAGGAAAGCCTCTGTTGTCTTCCACAGCTGCTCTCCAAGCTCCTCGTTCAACGCTACCGGGTTGGGGGCAGCAACCCGTCCAGTAGGTTGGCTTTCAAGGTACACACCCCGATATGTCTTCTTGTCGTCAGCGATCCGCTTGCCCGCAGCCGCGAACGCTGAATTGTACGCGCCGACATCAGGCTGGGCGATGGCCAGTCCGATGAGGAACTTGAACAAGCGTGCAAAAGGGAGCTTGTGCGAAAAGCTGTCGACGCCGCCTGGATGGACTGACGTAACGGTTATTGGCGCGGACGCGTCAGCGTTCAGCCGTCGTTGGAGGGTTTTAGTCCAGACGATGATCATTAGCTTGCTGTGACCTGAAGAAGGTGAGAAAGAGCCTTGAGTAGGACAACTGAGGCTCATACCGTAGCGAATCATGCTCGGATATATTGTCCGGCTAAACGTGGTGTTGAAATCTTCAACGTCGTCAAATTTGACCGAAGACGGGACGAATTTATGGGCGATAGAAGTAAGCTATGAGGCACTTTTAGACTTTGTGTGACGCAGGTATAGCGAGAAAGTTACATACATTTACTATTCGGACATCCGAGTTCGGCTCTTTGGCCGTCTGTTGAAGGAGAGGCAGCGAGGTGCGCGTAAAGACGTAGGGGCTGATATAACTGTGCATTGCCTCAGATACAGCTACACCCATTGTACATTGAAGGCTTACTTCACAGTAGAGAGACTAGTAACACCGTCTGGCCCAACTGTGTAAGGCTCCTGGAGCCTTACAGATAAACGTGAGCCTCAAAAGCTTCCACAGCAGACGGAGACACAAGCCAGCATTGTTGACTGCAACATCGAGTCCTTGTCAGTAACCGTTTCCATAGGTCGAAAGATGAACGTACCGAGAATATCCAGCCTGTTCTCCCTCTTCAAAAACTCCTCCGCAGACTTCTTCGCGTCTCTGGGATCACTCAGGTCCAGCTTCAACCAAACCACTCGACCCTCTTCTACGCCCTCATGTTCCAACTGCGCAATGGCTCCGGTTGCCCGAGATTCATTTCTCGCTGCCAGATAGACTTTCGCTCCAGCGCGCGCAAGATGTCTGACAGTCGCTAGCCCAATCCCTGTACTAGTTCTGGGCGTCAGAGCGAGATTATAGGAGGATAATGTTCACGTACTTTCCGCCAGTGACAATTGCGACTTTTCCTTTCAAGTCAAGGAGATCCGTGGATGGGTCGAAGCTTCGAGAGGCTAGGTTGCCCATGGCGAGCTGCTAAAGTGAGAACGAGAGAGAAATGGGCCTGATAACCGATGCATGGAGTATGAATTCAACCTGGGCTGTTGTGGGAAGGAATGAGAAACAAGGAGCACATGACCGTCTCTCCAGTGTTGGGCGGTTATTAACCAAAGTCACTGGTTATGGTCATAGTTATATGGTCATACTGTACGTAACCGGTTACTCGGTCACACCAGCTACTCGGTCATTGCCTTTGTAGATGGCACAGTTGCTCGTTTCACTCCATTCTTTTTGTGCACTCATGTATAATAGTATCAGAGCAATGTAACTGCATTTTTTGGCGGACAGAGCACCATTCCTCGCGGAGAAATGAGCCTCCCTTTGTGTCTGGTGACGTGTGACGCCCAATTTCCTTATTTGATACCGTGTTTCTGGTGGTCCCGGAGGGCTTTTCTCGATGACATGACACACTGCCAGGAAGATACTTCGGACTTAAGAATTTCATAGTGACTACTGTATAATTAAACAAGTTTCTCTTATGTTGAAGGATTGCTGCACTTCCGACCTTGAAAATTGGAGAGTGTGTCATTTTGGAGGTGGATTGGACTGTTCCTGCTGATTTCTCTTAGTATAAAGCATCCATTGTGTAAACAAAGAGGTGAAATGAATTTTGAGGCGAATATGTGTGCATGAAAGAAGACCCCTTAATTTTTACAATTTTCTTCCGAACATAAGACACCAAGCAATTGAAAATTCTTGTTTTGAGTGATGAGAAATGTCAAATTAAATAACTGAAAGGAAAACATCAGAAATCACAAAATAAGAAGACCAGAATATGATAGAGGTGTCTAACTTTAACTGGAAGCATTTTTTCATTAAGGTCAGACCAACTTTGAAGAGTAATTCAAGGTGGCCGAGTACTGTCCTCGTATTGTGAGGTTATCTTATCATCAGCTTACTAAGCATAACTGACCCTGGTTACAACCGGTGTACGGGACCAATACAAATCGGTCTAGTCTCGGGGCCTGGCCGACTTCCTGGTTTTGACCGATTTTGACCTATCGAAATAAAATATTTGTGGAGGTCTCAAACCCTCCCTTAAATTTCTGATAATTGGTACACAGGTACTTCAGATGCTTGCCTATTGAGTAGTACTGTTAGTTTTTTTGACACCCCCAAACCAAGCACGCAAATTTTAGGAGACTGTAGAGTGACCGAGATGCCGGTCATCTACAGTAGTTATGATAACTGTTAATAACTGTTGCTAACTGTCACCCATCAGCTAACTATCCCATGCTAGTTATTCAGGGATATCACGTCCTACTCGGGGTTATCTCCGAATTCGGACGTCGGCAGTGGGGCTCGATATTAGATTAGATAGCTACTTTTTCCCTACATGCAGCGCTGTACCACGCAAAATCATTGGGGACTTGTGTCTTGTTGTGGGCTGCAAAATATTCCTTGACACAAAGTACGAGCAAAAAGAAATGCGCTCTTGAATCAATCTCTTCTAGTAAACACCTTGCCTGTGTAATAGTGTCGCAGCGGGCAGCTAGGACTAATGGTTCCCAATATCATGGAGAAATGGAAGTTAAGACTGGCATGAAGGAAGCATTTGATTTCGATCTGAATGTCGCAAACAAAGAGAAAGCACTCGAACTCTTCGGTACATCACTGAGTACTGATGACTGATTGCGAGGAGCAAGGGGGATTGAAGAGCCATCAGAATCGCCTTGTTTCCCAGAATGACGAATTGACCCAAATCATCTAATTTGTTCGGCCTAACAAAGCGCCCCCTTTCCCCCGTGCGAGTCGCAGCCGCGCAGACGCAAAGCGAGCGGCCTTGGGCAAGCTCGAGTGCTAGTGGACTCATTCCAGCTCTAGCTTGTATTTTCTTCCTTGTACTGCCCATAGCCCGGTAAAGCGATGGCGCGCAACAAAGTAGGTCTAGGAAAGTGTATCCGCACAACTTACAGTCACCGTGCTTGTTTTTCCTATATGCCGATTTCTCAGAGTCGTCGTTGAAATTTGACGCTGAGGGCCCGAGCTGTACGAGCCTGAAGGGCTTGATGCCAACGGTAAATTTAATCCTGAGCTACACGGCGTTGCTGGGACATTCAAATAATATCGGACAATCATTAAATTCTTGTAGTTCTACTGGTTAAGCACAAAATTTGCAAGACTCTCTGGGAGCGTCAGTCCAGACACTAGCGTCGGCGGCACCAACCATTGATCAGTACCTTATTAGGCCTAGTCGGTCATGGTCATGATCAATCCGTAACTGTTAACAACCGAGTCATAACTGTTATGAACCGCGATAACAGTTAGTTAACCGGCACAACACTGCGTCTCTCGACTTCGACTTCAATGATGACCTCCATTCGCGTACCCGCTCATCCACTTATGTTAGATAGATGCTTGAACCATGAAGGTCGACGGCTCAGGAGAAAATATGACGCATCTCAATCCAAGTTCCTGTCAACGCGCTGGCGGAAGACATCCCAGGACAAACCATAAGTCGAACCTTTCAAGTTTCCGGGCTCAGGATACGTGTCTGAGGAGCCACCGAATGTTAACATACAAGCCCTATGGTAAGTCGCCCACCCAGATGTGGTCTTTCCACGAAGTTTACAATTAATGCAGCGTTCACATGGCCCTTCAGATGAAATGTAATAGAACAACCCTCATAATACAGAGGACGACCTTTGAAAGCCAACAGAAAGGACATATGACAACGTATATGCACCATCTTCGTTACCGAAACCCTCTAGCGAGTATGAAGCCCTTGTTTCTTCCTTGCGGTAGACAACTAACGAGTAATTCTCAGTTTCTCCAACTACACTGCCTCACCAAAAAGATTGTCCACCCATGTTCGGGCCATAGTCTGAGAACGGCTTGGGATGGGCCTTTGGAAAAATGTGGATCAAATATGAGACACATAAAGTATCTGGATGATCCCCAAGCACGTAAAAATAGAAGCAATCCTGATAGGTAGCATCGAGGGACAAAAAATGCTGTTTTTCCAGTTCTTCAGGCCAACAAGCTTTCTTGCTCATAAAAAAGTATATTGTAGTACAGGATAGTTAAAGTCAATGCAAACTTCATCTACAAAATTTTACTCAACGGTTTGAAAGTTGTAAGCCAATTAAAGTGGCCGTTTTGAGCCAAAAAAGGAAATAAAACCCTAAAAGAGGCCAAAATGAGGCCTTTGTAGCACACATAACTTTGGAACCACTTGATATAAAGTTGTAAATCAAGTTGGGATTAGCTTTGGATATCCCATACTTCATAATGTATTTTTTACAGCAAGAAAGCTTATTGGCTTGAAAAAGTGGAAAAACAGCATTTTTTGTCCCTCGACGCTACCTATCAGGATTGCTTCTATTTTTACGTGCTTGGGGATCATCCAGATACTTTATGTGTCTAATATTTAATCCACATTTTTCCAAAGGCCCATCCCAAGCCGTTCTCAGACTATGGCCCGAACATGGGTGGACAATCTTTTTCTTGAGGCAGTGTATGTATGCATGCAACACGGCACTCTTCAGTCCACTTCACAGGCATAATGCTCAGTGGGCCATCGCCTTGAATTGGCCACCCCTGACGGGGTCTCTAACCAAATAGCCAATCAACCAGCCCTTCTCAAAAGCAAGCCATGGACCTGACGTCGCTTCCCCCCATTTCCCCCCTCGAGGTTCGACAATTCGTATGTCTGCGATCTTAAGAGCTCCTACCTGTCCCCAACCACCCACAGATCGTATTTCCTTCTTCACTCACATGAAAGACGAAAGTAAAAGTTACGGAAATCCAAAGACCTGGTTGCTCAGCGGTCTTCTGGACAAAGTCCAAGCGGTGCGTCGCCCACGCAGCGTCACGAAAGGGTCAGGGTTCATTCCACTCTCTCGGACGTATCCAACTTCCCTTCATCGTGTAGCCCTTCAGCCTCCTCTATCCCTTCCTCCCTGTTGAATGCACTGCCTCCTCATCCTGTCCATCCTATGGACGGTTTCCAGCCAGACCCTAGGAGGAAGCAAGTTCGAGAGCATGGGGCCATGACCTTGGATATCACTGGTTCAGTCGCAGGCGTGGTTCTGGTGGTCGGACCGCCGGCAAAAGTTGTGATTGGGGACCTGCTTGGGATCTTGAAGTACGACAAGAATCTCACTGGACCTCTTACTCATAAGCTACCGTCAGCATCACTCCCTCCGTATAGTGTGTAGGTACCAACTACCCACCACCCTTGCCTGGATTGACGAGAATGCGATGCGAACCGGTCCGTGGTCCTTCCAAGGGAGGTGTCAGCTCCGCTAAATAGAAGCTGCCAGCACCTGCTGTTCAGAAACCATATCCTTCGTAGCTCAGGTGATTGTATTCTGACTAGAATCGATGATCGTCGAAGCTCGCCATTTCTCTTGTGGCAAACACCATCGCGTCTGTACGCAGTCTGACTCAGCCTCCCGTCCTTCCCGTCGCACGGCTTGCATATCTAACAATCTTAGTCTATGCACAGTTGGAACGACTATCTTCCTGCACGTGCACACCTTCCATGAACGCAATCCTACACCATCCTGACTTCTTCTTGCTAATCGTCTTCTCCTTCTTTCCTATATCTATGCCCTAAAATATCGACTGTGAGTCCGCATCTCCGTAATGGCCGCTGCTCTCGTTGATCGCGTCACCGATTTGTTCAAGACCAACCTTGACATCAACGCCTCCAAGTTGGACGCGAAGGCTGAGAAGCCTGTCCGACCTGAAGTCGCAGAGGTGATCGTCGATAAACCCCAACAACCTGATATCCAATACCAACCTGATGAAGCCAAATGGAGAGCGAGGACAGCGCGTCGTCTCGCTGAAGACCCAGCCCTCCCCAAAACCCCGCTTCCAGACGGCTTTCCGAAGAGGCTGGAGTCCCCACTGGTATGGGAAGGAAAGGATTGGACGAATCCGTCGCAGTGGGAGTACAAGCTATCCGCGGAGCAGCTCCTGGAGATTGACGATGCCGTCAAGCACTTCAAAGGTGCGTCACTCATTTCTTTAGTCCATTTCCCCTGAACTAATACTTTCGAAGGCCTCAACAAACCTCTAGGGTATCTCTCACCGGAGACCTTCCCTCTTCCGACCCTCGGCCCCATCCTGAAGGACCTCTCTAACGAGCTGCACAACGGCCGTGGCTTTTTCGTTCTCAAGGCTATCCCCATCGATTCGTATTCGCGTGAGGAGAACGTAATCATCTACTCCGGCATCTCCTCGTACGTAGGCCGCCTTCGCGGGATTCAAGACAAGGGCGTCTCCGTCATCGGGCACATCAAGGACCTTACCGAGACCCACCCACTCAAGACCATCGGTTCGCCTGCCTATACGACGGACAAGCAAGTCTTCCACACCGATGCTGGCGATATCATCTCGCTGTATGTGCTTGAGACCGCGGCAGAGGGCGGCCTGTCGCGCATTAGCAGCAGCTGGAGAGTGTATAACGAACTCGCGGAGACGCGGCCCGACCTGATCAAGACCCTCTCAGAACCGTGGCCCTTCGACGGGTAAGTCGTCATTCTGCGTATGCGCGGTGTATGTCCTCATACAAAATCCCTAGATTCGGCGGCACCCCAGCGTACAGCCTCCGCCCTCTTCTCTTCTACCTCAACAACAGGATCGTCATTCAATACGCTAGACGGCGCTTCACCGGCTTCGCGGGTCTCCCGCGCTCGGCGGAAATTCCACCCATCAGCGAGGCGCAGGCCGAAGCCCTCGACACAATCCACTTCCTCGCCGAGAAACATGCTGTGGGGCTCAGCTTTGAAAAGGGCGACATCCAGTACATCAACAACCTGAGCATCTTCCATGCGCGCGATGCCTTCACGGATACGCCTGAGAAAACGTATGCCTTCCCTCTTTATAAAATTCGATGATTCCTTATGTTGATGGTGCCTTCAAATTTCACCAGACGCCATCTCCTCCGCCTTTGGCTGCGAAACGAAGAATTTGCTTGGAAACTGCCGTCCGAGCTCAATCAGCTCTGGCAAGCGATCTACTACGCATCGACACCAGAGACAGAGCACTTCCAGATAGAACCTCAAATTCGCAATACCTGGGCAATTAACACTGCAACGACCAAGAACTAATGTTGGCATTGCGATTGCCAAGCAACCTTTCGTGTAGAACTATTCGCAGCCACACTATTCGCAGCCACACGCATACTCAGGCATTTTTTCCAATGATATTTTTCTGTCTCGCGGAGCTAGCGTTCTCGATGTTTGACGATCAATTGATCAACCATTTTTCCAGCTATGTATACAGCTGAGCTTGCGTTTTGGAGAAAGTTGTCGCATATGCATCCTGAACGTGTCGATTAGCCTAAAGGATGGGAGCACGTGGATTAAGAGTTTGGTGGTACGCTGAGGTAGGGTAGGGTAGGCTGTGGTCTTTAGTGGGCGAGTCAAGAATTCTCACGTCTGCTGTTTGACGCCACACAAGCTATTTATAGAAGTGATCAAATGGCCTTACAAGGACAGAACGCGAGTACTACATCGCTCGGTTGCTTATCGCCAGACTAATTTTAGTTCAATTCTAATTTCTTGGTATAATACCTCCATGCATCCACACAAGATAACTACTCTAGAAGAAGCCCGAACATTAGAGTATTAGTACCCTCGAATTCTGATCAGGGGAGCTGTCTTAATGTATGCTGAGACGCCTGAATAGAGCATCTCGCTTCCACGGTTAAGTATCGAGGTGTAGACCCTCAAAAAGATCTCGTCAGGTACATTCCAAGCTCTGTCGTCGCGGAATCGCTGAAGGGCTTGCAAGACCCATGCAGTACAGTCCCACCCGGCTTCAGGACCGAACCCTCCTAGGAAGCGCCAGCCACGGTCTTCAGCTCCAATTGAAACGAGACGGTCTGAAATTTGGTTGAAAGTGGAGTAGGCTGTGGTGGTGAAGAGATCGACGATGCCTGTGAATGCACCTGATCCGTCGAGTTGTTCAAACGTAAAGGATTGAACGAATCTTCCGCTCATGCCGCGTTTGATTTCGTAGACCATCACAGGCTGAATGTTCCAGGATGATGCGGTCGTGGCGACGATGGCCCAGTGGAAATATCCTGGTAAGTTGTTCTTCGGGGGAAAAAAATAGAGCGCAACGCCGATTTTGATGGCCATTTCTTCTTGTTCGAGGAAGGGAGTAAGTGAACCTGTTATAAGGATAAAATATGATCAGTAGTGTGAACATGTCAGAGTATACCCGGATTTGACGCACTCTGCGGATTACGTATGCGAGGTGAACTATGGGGAAATTTTGCTCGAAAGGCAAGAGGCTGGGGACTTCGAAGCAGTCTGCAAGAGGGGACGAGCTTTTAAGCTGCAGAGAGCCTCGGAAGTGTTGGGCCACAGTTAGTCTCGCTTAATCAAGAAAAGCCAGACACACGCCTGTCCGATTACACGTACGCGGGTGGCAATCATTTAGATGGTGTGTGGTCGGATTTTCCTGAACAAGTGCGATTCCGTCCAAGGAGGAAATTCGTGGGCTATCCCCCCCTTGGCCACCGATGAATGTTGGAAAGGGTAATTGTACGGCTTTCGTAGCAACGAGATATTAAATCTTTGGCAGAATTCGCGCTCGCGTCCTCTCGACGCTTTCAAAATATTCTGGGGAAGTTGCCTGAAGCCGATAGAAGTTTGGGAAAGACATGATGCATGTACAAGGTACATTGAATGTTGTCGCCTCCCACTAAAATGTGGCTTTCCGGAAGAAGAGAAGAAGAACATGAACAAAGAGATTGGCCGAAGTTGCAGGCCACTCGTTCTCGAATTCCACTGCGATCGACTGCTCAAACGTTTGAACAGAGGCCTTTGCCATGATCAGCGTGGCCAAGTTTGCCGGCCCGGTGGCCAGGGTCTAACTCAAATTTACATAACTATCACTCCGTCTTATCACTCTTTCAACGTTGCCACTCTGCGCGATCCAAAGTGACTTTCGCCGCACAAGTTCAGACATGGTCCCTCACGGGCCGAAAACACAATGGTTCATATGGACTATCGTCGCACCGTTGTGGAGAGGTGCGCTCCCTTTCATCAACTTCGTCAAGAGTTGTTCACCATTTACTGATTTATCCACGTTTAAAGTGACCCTCGGACGGTTTATTTTCGTCAAGTACTCGCCACATGCCGAAACTGAAGCTGCCACCATGCGTTTCGTTCGCGATCGGACGACAATTCCAGTCCCAAGGGTCTGGGGTGTCCTGACTTTCCAAGGACTTCCATACCTTTTCATGTCTCGCCTTCCGGGGCGTGATCTACGATTTCCTGAAGCTTTGGGCTCTCTCTCAGATGCTGGGAAGGATCGCGTGCTCGACCAGCTCAAGGGCTTTGTAGAACAACTACGTGCGCTAGAACCTCCTACAAAGCCGCCTTTCATCTGCAGCGTCCTCGGTGGCCCCGTTCTCGATCACAGGCTCTCAACAACAGGTCCCTATGGGCCGTACCGAGACGAAGCACAATTCAACTCGCAGCGCCGCCAAGGTCTCACCGTTGAACAATATGCCGTCTACTCCAAATTCTCTCCCGAAGTCCTTGACGCCGTCCGTCGTGCGCATGCCATCCGGCACCCGATCGTCTTCACACACAATGACTTACACCGTGGAAATATCCTCATCGAAGGCGACCGCGTGACAGGCATCGTCGATTGGGAGTGCGCAGGGTGGTTTCCGGCGCATTGGGAGTACGTCAAAGCCCTGTTCTTGATTTACGATCCCAAAGATCCTTGGCTCAAGGACGTACCGACGTTCATACCGGCATTCGAGTTCGAAGCCAATGTGGATATGAACCACGTTGGTTGGACGCGCGATTGGATTGGAGTCGTATTGGAACCTGGCTTCGATGAAAATATCGGGTTTCCAGTAGCGGAATCCTTGATATAGGTTAGCCTCGCGCTCAAGGACATCATTTCTACATATTTTCTACAATGTCTTCGGTATACCCTATAGAATATGTAATGCCCAGCTTCTCTTGCATAACATTGCCCAAGTCCGATTGCCATATCCTTTCGTGAATGCTAAGGCAAAGTAGCAACGGCTCTGCAGGTGATCAATCGATCACCTTCCATTATTACCTTCAATGACGAGCGTCGATGGCCTGGTGCATGAGCTATCAGCGCTCATGCCCGATTTCGGAGGGAATCAGAGGGTGCCCTGGTAGGTGTACCTATCATTCTATGGCACTGTAGAGTACGATTGTGGGGGCCTCGCATAATCGAGCGGTATAAAGTCACCACCGTCCCAGTGTTAGAGGCCGAAACATAGAAAGATAATTAGAACAACTTATATTGTAAGTAGATGGTCCGCACAAACGGCAATTTACAGGGAGAGCCTTCCGCATTCAACATGTGTTCTTCTCGCTAGCGAAGCAGCTGATGCGGTTTCCTTCCTTGTGGAGAAGTATGCTGTCGAGTTCAACGTCGAGGAAGTTGACATTGGGTACGTCAAAAGCTTTGGCTTCCTCAATGAATACGCTGTCTTAATTAAACTGCGATTCCTCAAGAATGAACGCACGTGGACCAAAGGACCCGGTTGGTGGTTATTAGCTATGTTGATGAACACTGAATGGCGAATAATGTCTGCGCCACATAAGCCATTTAAGGAAGTGATCGAACGCGTTCATACACGTTGAAGGGACAAAACATGAATATTACATCGCATGGTTACTTATTGCGAGATGACAAAGAATGTGTCGACTACTGAGGTTACGAATACTATGTCTATTTCTTGAGGGAGCCCAAATTTCAATATCCGTATCCTCGAGGAGCTCTGATTAGCGGAATTGATCTGATCGCAGCGGATCGAGGTGTTGCGCCCATCTCACTTCCGCGGTTCAGAATGGTGGTGTATGCCTTCAAGAAGATCTCTTCAGGCACGTTCCATGCTCCGTCATTATAGAACCGCTGAAGGGCTTGCAGAACCCAAGTCGAGCAGTCCCACCCAGCTGGAGGACCAAACCTTCCGGGGAACCGCCATCCACGGTCCTCAGGTCCGATGTTGCTCACGCGCATCAGGATTTGATCGAATGAAGAATACACATCGGTGGTGAAGAGGTCAACGATGCCTGTGAGGGCGTTCGATTTGTCGAGCCGTTCAGAGGTGAAGGACTGAATGAATCTCCCGCCAGAGCCGCGTTTGATTTCGTAGACCCTTACTGGCTGACTTTGCCAGCTCTCCTCTTTAGTGGCGACGATGGCCCAGTGGTAGTAGCCTTGTTGTTCATATGAAGTCCGAACGAGGTAGAGCGCGACGCCGACTTTGATGCGCATTTCGATTTCTGGGGGCTCAAGCAGGGGTTACTTGGAGTCTGTTGAAAAGGAGAAGGAACGTCAGTGGGGTTGGAGCATTAGGTCGTCGAGCTGGATTTGGACGCACTGTGTAGATCGACTGCTAATAACCGTCTAACAGAAGGAAAGAAACGAGCCGGGGGCTCTGATGAAGCATCCCAGCTCCGAGAGCAGCAACCTTTTTAAACTCTTCGTAGAAGCGTTGAGCCACAAATACCCTATCTTGAATAGGAAAATAGGCTATCCACAGCTCGGTAAAGTTCGATTGCTTCGCTTATGTGTGGCCTTTGTCTCTCTTCTAAGAAGGCAGCGATTTCTTCCAAGGAAAGCGCGCATCGTGGCCCATTCTCCTAGTCCTGCGAATTAATGCACAAAGCCTCGCGGTAATCACAATTCTGCTGTGGCCACCGCTTCTGGACCGAATACATAGAACTGTGTATATCAACACATTGTTCTTGAGGTGTCGGTGGCCTTTTCAAAGTCTGAGGATGTTATTAAGTTGGCGCGTAGCTCGTGGTGTTGATGGCATCCGGTCCGGTGGCCGCTGGTGATCATCAGTCCCTTTAAAGTTGTGGCTTGACCTAGCTTCGACTCCCATCACCAATCCGTTCCCCCTTCAACCGCGCCACTCGTCACACAGTTCTTGTGTAGAAACATAACAATGGTCGAGGGCGACAAAACTCGATGGATTATCTGGAAAATCGTCGTCCCACTATGGAAAGGTGAGCAGACCGTGATTTGTGTCGAGTTCTCGTTCTCATAAACGGATTGCATGGACATGTCTAGCTACTCTCGGACGATTCATCTTCGTCAAATACTCGCCTCACGGGGAAGTCGAAGCGGCCACCATGAGGTTCATTCGCGAGCGGACGACAATCCCTGTTCCGAGGGTCTGGGGTGTCCTAACTTTCCAAGGACTCCCGTATATTTTCATGTCTCGCCTTCCAGGGCGTGATCTATGGGAATCCGATCTCTGGGAGTCTCTTTCTGAGTCCGTGAAGGAGCGAATCGTCTCGCAGCTTCGGGGCTACGTGGCTCAGCTACGCGCGCTCGAACCTCCTACAAAGCCGCCTTTCATCTGCAGCGTCCTCGGTGGCCCCGTTCTCGACCACCGGCTCTCTACAACAGGTCCATATGGGCCATACAGAGATGAAGCACAGTTCAACTCTCAGCGCCGCCGAGGCCTCACCGTGGAACAATACGCCGCCAACTACAAGTCCCCTTCCGAAATCCTCGACGCCGTTCGACGCGCGCACGCCATCCGTCATTCGATTGTCTTCACCCATAATGACCTGCACCCAGGAAATATCCTCGTAGAAGATGGTCGTGTAACGGGCATCGTCGATTGGGAGTGCGCAGGATGGTTCCCTGCGCATTGGGAGTACATCAAAGCTCTGTTCCTGATTCACGATCCCAAAGATCCTTGGCTCAAGGACGTACCGAAATTCATACCTGCGTTCGAATTCGAAGCTGATGTGGATATAAACTATATTGGCTGGTCGCGCGACTGGATGGGGGTGGTATTGGAACCCGACTTCGATGAAAATGTCGGATTCCCAGTGGCAGATTCCTTGATATAGCTGAACCACCGCGCTTATAGACACGGACTTCTTTGTATTTCTTACGATTTAGTTTTACATGTATCTTGCAGAATGTATGAATGAATGTCGGCTTTCTCCAGCTTTCTCTTCTTGCCGGTGCCACTGCCAGACCGTAACTTGAATGGCTCGGGCAACGGTGTCCATATACCATGTATTTCAAATAGGACCAGCTTGCACACAATTTCGACTTGATTGGGGTGTCTGAATAAATTCTGCAGTAGATTTGCACAAGAATATTTGAGTTATAGGTCGATTGGTAAAACTCAGATCCAGATCTGAGATGATCGTTGCCTTATTCAGCGTCCGGCTCGCCACAGACTCACCAGACCGACGAGTGAACATAGGGAGACCCAGGTCACCTCTGCCTCTGTAAATATAGCTATTTCATCACGGCTACCGCCTTTTGAACTACTAATTGTAAGCCTGTATTAGTATCTTATCTAATCTTAAAACTTTACCTGGCAACTCTGCGATTTGTCTGCGATGCAGAGTTTTGCCGGAATGCCATAAATCTGTGTCGTTATACCTTCAAAGACATGGCCCCGCTGGTGAACTGGTGACAACATGGTCCTACTGAGGGCCAGACTGTAGGTGTAGACTTTGATTAGACGTAGATTAGATTATCGCTACTCGAGAATTCAGAATGTATCTGTTATGTTTCTCCTGCTGCTCTAGAGTATTATCATCCGAAAACACGAGTCTGTTCAACATCGTGGAGCAAAGCCTGCAAATACCGACGATGATCTCTTGACTCTGGCACAAACGAGGCTCGATGGCAGCTTACCACCTCATATAAAGCTTTTCAGGTTCTTGAAGAATGTCAGATGCAACTCTCCCAGACCACCATCTTGAAAGAAACATCCGAGCGTCCATAGAAACCTACTCATCGATATATTGAACTGTTATACTTAAGTACATTTATGTAAATAGAAAATGCGAAATGGAACCTGGCTACATCGCAAAAGAGAGGGAGGAGCGAGCCTGTCACCCTCACGAAATTCTGTGAACTGCACCGATGTCATCCGTGTGCCATATTTACTCGGGTCTCCGAGACGAGGTCTCGGACGACCGTGGCCTTCGTGATTGCTGAAGTCGAGGCACCGACGTCCTCGCCGAGCTTCGCCCATCTCTCCAACATCCTCCATTCACCTTAGTGCTAGAACCGAGGGGTTGTAGCACAACAGCAGTGGGCAACGTCCATCGCAATGGCCACGAGAGGTCAGCACGGTCGTCTTTGATGACTCGAGGAGTGCACGAGAGCCTTACCGTGTGCACCGATGCCCCACTGTATGTCGTCTCCTGGGGCAACAACGGCTGCGAGAACGAGGATCTCCCCTAGACGCCGCCAACACGATTGCGAGCGTGGAGGCGACAGCACGAACACGGGCAGGTGCTGGTCTTGGTCGTCCTGGATCAGTTTACGGTCGGGCTCCGTGGCAAGGAGAGAGACAACACGTACCGCCCTTGTTCATGTTCGCCTTCTAGGTGAAGAGACGGAAGGATTTGGGTAAGTATATGGGTTCATATATATAGCATTCGAAAGTGAATGCTTACCGCGTCTCCAGATGCTATGGCGTCTGCGTCTTGTGATTGCGACTGACGGCGCCACGATATCAGGGATGGAGCACGAACACGGATAGGACATCCTGCGTTTCCCCCTGGAGCTCGGCGAGGGCATCGCGGTCTCCAAGGACCTCCGTTTGTGCAAATTCAGTCGTGTCGTGGCCCTCAGTGTGCCGAGAGACACAGGAGGACCAGTACACTTCATCCACACCCTTGTAGATGGGAGCAGTGCTAAACATTGTTCTTGTGAACGGCTAAACCGTGTCGAGGATTGGAGCTTGGAGCTGAGAGGGTCGCGCTGTATGCCACGGAGTCTGAGAGGGTCAGATTCGGTCCGGGGAGTCCATAGGCTGTAAACACGCTAGAAGATGCTAGCAGCTGGGGCAGCTGGCTTGAATGTAAGGATGGTTATGGCGACAGATTTCCGACTGCAGAGGTCCCTCAGCGAGTCTCTGGAGTCGGTAAGTGTAGCCTCGACATTGTGAGGAGACGACAACTTACATGTAGTTGGCCCAGCTGAAGCTACGCCCACATACGCCTACATCACTGCTAGCTTGTATGGCACACCGCCTACGAGGGCATTCATGAGGTGGTTATATCAGTCGCGTACAAGAACAATAGAGCGCCAGCTATCCGCTCAGCTGAACGCGTAGCTCGGCGAAAGGTAGGCATCCTGTAGTGCACTGGTGCTTGTACACGAACACGACATGTTGAGTTACGCGTCAAGAGCAGGAGTGGCTTGGGTCCTGGGTGTGAGAATGTGCGCGGAATCAGCCGTGATCTCAGATCCCGAATCTGAGTTTTACCAATCGACGCATCACTGGAATATTTCAAGGAGATGGCGTGAGGAGCACTGAAAGGCCGCCTCGACGCGTTGCAAAATCGTCATCACATGACCGCGACGCGACGCGATTCGGATTAGCCGAGTGCCACTCTAAGCGGCTCAGCGGCTTGGTTCTAAACCACCAACATCGAGGAAAGGGCTGTACTGTTGGAACGCCGCTATATCATCCATAATGTACAAGTAAGTTCTCATATTCAACCTGGGTGTAGCTACTGACTCCGTAAAGCTCTATCTCAGTTATGGACTTGCCACCTCACAATGGTCCTCGTAAAACCTTGGCCGACTTCCCAAAACCACCCTTGTACACCCCGAAAGACCATTTGGGACGAAAAATCGAACTTGTAATGTTCGGCTTCCCCATCAACCAGGAATACCTCCTCGACTTCGTGAATCGATACAATCTCTTCCCGGACGCCAACGAGATGGATCGCACTTCCAATGGTCTCATTCACCTTGCGGCTGTCGCTGGGATACAGTTGAACACATGTTTCATTGCTCTAAAAGATGATGGAAAGCACAACAGCAAATCCCTCGATTTTGCTGTTGTCATTGCGTCCAACCGAACTCGGGCCCATCTTAATCGAATGAACACCTACCCTCACTTCGAGCGCCTGGCACGATTTCTTGGTCTCCCACCCGACGCCGCCACTTGGGTTTTCCCGGAAGAAAGTGAGTATCATCCCTATTTTAGCTGCACCTGAAGCTAACATTAACTACTTCAGGATCATCACGGGCAGCACGAGCACTGAAGGAGGAAAGGAACAAAATCATTTGAGCATTTCTCCATAAACTCTAATCGGGGTGCGTTCCGTCTCCTTCCAAATATATCCGTTGCACCTGCCGGTACATTATCATTTAAGTGCCACCACCGTTCAGTAAACGAAATCCGAATCCTCGAACATTGTGCCTATGGGCACTACTCAGTGTCTGCACGTCTCATGAATGTATTGAATTTTGTTCGCAAAATAAATGATTGGTTGCTTCCTCTTCTTGTGTCATTGTTCGCAGCCTAATCACACAAATTCTTTGTCTTGAATATTCAGATACGTCGCAATCTCCATGTTCACTGGAGATGGTCGCCTTGGATAGCTATCTTCCAAGATGGCCGAGACGATATCTCCGTGTACCACCTGCCATTGATTGTTAATTGTTCAGAATGACCATACCAGAGAGAATTCGGACCGCACACCTGTTGACATTAGGTCTGGACGTCATGAGGTCTGTCCCAGCTATTCCCACGAGTCGCCCATAAGGGAGGTGGTAAAGATCCGCAAGAGTGAGCTCCTACCCGACGTATTCAGATCCAACTTGATAATAGAAAATAAATATAGCTCACATCGCCGGCGACGTACTTCTGCTTCGCTAGGACTCTCTCATAAACGTCCAACTTGAGGCCCAACTGGGCAACATTCTTTTCAAAAACGGCTTGATCGCATTCGAGGCCATTGTATACCCTGCCCAAGCATCACGTCAGATCATTGGCAACGAAAGAGATAATTGGGCACCTACGGGTTGTATAACTTCTCCATCGCGGCTGCAAGGGCGGGCCCATTGAAACGGGACACTTCGACTGACGCGGCTTGGTGGAAGAGAGCTTGCGCTTTGATGTCAGAGGGGATCAAAGGTGTCCCTTGGTCAACGTATTTCGTGGCGATGTAGATCGCGATTGCGCGGCTTTCGTATAGAATGAAGCCCTCGTCGTCCTATCCAAGGCTATGAGCGACCTGCGTCTAGATACGCCCACGAAAGTGGCGAGTGCTACTCACAATGTACGGTGTCTGGCCGAACGGTTGCTTCTCCAAGAACTCTGGGGACTTCTGCTCGCCATTGAAAATGTCAACGAAGATATAGTCGTAAGGGACTTTTTTCTCTTCCAAGACACAAATGACGAGCTGCGTCCACGCAGTGGGGGCACCGTAAACCTTGATGACCATGACTATAGTAACTCGATGAGGGAATGTGGCTGGGACTCTGAGTAAAAAGGTGTTGACTCTGCCCTCCGTGGAGTAGCCGCAGAGCGGCTTTATATTCACGAAACAGCCCTCGTACGATGACGAATAAGCATCCCTTGTTATTAAGACCGCTTGGTAAGGAGGTGCTAAGTGCGAATTGGGTAGAGGTTCCATGTGTCATCTCGGTGATCTCGCGGTTTCATCGTGGAAAATAAGGATCAGAAGGCGCCTATTCTGACCGGAGCAAATCGAAAGAGAGAGATATATCCCCTCTAAGGCTTAATTATGCGTAGCGTATACTCGAGAGCTAGAGAAGAGAGCGTGCAAGGGCCCCGATCGTGTTGCCAGATATCAGAAAGTAGCTGAAGAATCGAGAAAATAGTTTAACGGATCTCGTTCGTATATATACTTATAGTTCGAAGAATGCTCATCGACGTACCCTTGAGTAATTAAAGCTTTTCAATGGCGGTTTTCTGATGATGGCAATATCAAAGCTGAGAAGAATCGGATGGGTCTTTTTCGGGAACCAGGTCCGAAGAACGGCGGCGGCGGCGGCGGCGAAGAGATCGAGAAGCCATCACTGTGAGTAGGAGGTAGAACTCAAGGGATGAGGAAGGGCCTCGGGAGGTAGGAGTTCAATCGAAATTTCAGAGGATTGGAGGGTACGTTGACAATTTCTACTGTAGTCACCGTGGTCAAATAAGATGTGCAAGTGACAAGGCAGGTGAACAATTGAGCCCACAAAAGCAAATATGTATACACAAATACGGTCATCGACTGTCACGACGATCCGGGGCAAAAAGTACTGTAAAACTACTATGCACTATGTAAATACGCAGATAACTAAACTAAATAGTACGCTATGGGTAGTAGTAGCAATGTCTGTAAGTCTGTAAGTCTGCAACTTTTATAAAGTTCTGCGATAGCAAGAGAATTAGCCATTATAGTCACACTGCTCCTTATTGTAATGCCTAAAGTTCGACTTTTCGGCGCCCTCTTCCTGCGAGAAATAGCCCTGTCTGCGCTTGCGGTCCGACTCCCACTTGACTTGCACGATGGAGAGCTGGCGTTGGCGGATGGGACTGGCGATGTGGTCCTCTGGGACGACGGGATCCTGGAAGCGGATCTGAGCGGCCTGCGCCTGCTCTTCGTACTGCGACGAAGGCCCGGGAGACGAAGCGGCTATTGCATCATATTTACAATAGTCAGATTGACAATAAAAGACGACGGAGGGAATATACGTACCCGCGGGTTGAGCAGCCATCGTAGTAAAGGTGTTAGGTGGGATGGTAGGTGTATTAGTATGGGAATTACGGCTTTGGCGGGTTAAGGTAGTTCTGGAAGTCTGCGGATAGCTTTCGACCTCGCGATGAGGCGGTGGCGGGGCCGGTGGGCCAGGTGATGGCGGTAATTGCTCGGGTCTGATATTAGAGTAAGTTGAATATGGTGATCGTATCATATGGTGAGGATTAAAGGATGGATGCGGGCCTTGGGTGAAACTCTGCTCGGCGACGGAACTTGTAGATAAAGTTTGAGACAAGGCCGTCGAGGAGCTAGACGCGTTGGCATGTCGCATCCCTGCGGAATTATTAGACGAACAAAGAGAGAAAAAAAGATGAACAAAAAGGCCACGTACTAGGCTGGCTGGAAGGATCGAGATACTGCGGAAATCGCTCTAAAGCAGAGCTCTCGTACGGATCCAGGTGGTGCTGGACGTTAATAGCTAGAGGGAAAGAAAAAAAGAATAAACCAAGGCTCGCATGACTGTGAGGGAGCTTCTCACAGGGCGGGATCGTCGCGTGGTACGAGGTAAATGGGGATTTCGGGACCGATGTGTGGCGAGCCATGATGTCAGAGAGCGCACCATGTTCGGGCTGATCCAATCCCGAGAGGATCGGCGCTGGCTTCGCTCGCTCTAAATTTTTGTTGTCAGGAGTCTGGACGGGTGCGCTGATCGCAGGAAAGGAAGTGCTTGAGAAACGCACCCGAGAGGTCGTACGGCTTGGGGTGCTTCGCGCGCTTTGAACGACCTGGTGTTCCATGCATGAGTGGAACAAGAATAGGAAGGGTAGAGGGTTTGCGCAATGACCTGCACGACCCGAACGTTTTTCGCGCGCAGCTGGCGGTGCTGGACCACGCGATTGCTCTTTAATTTTAGAGGGGCGCAGATCAGATGCAGGAAGACTGGAAGGTCAACGGGCCCTTACCCTGCGCTGCTGGTCGTACGGAAACAGGATGCAGAGGCGGCGCAAAGGGAGATGATTCATGGAGCCCTACAACTCCGGGTCCTGATATTTCGTTAGTCACTGCCTTCAACGACAAATGAACGGGCACGACATACCGGTTAATCGATGTGCGACTGGCCCACTCGACGTTCCTTCACCCTTGTCGACATTGACATGCACACCCCACGATCCTGCCCGTTCGTCGCGCACCACAACGCCACCACCTATGCGAGTTCAAATAAGAGGTCAAGGCGCGAGAAACCTCCCGAACTCACGGTCATGGGCAGAAGCAACAGGCACACTGGTTGCAGCCGTGGCGCTCGGGGCATACATCACAGGCACGTGGCCCGGATTCGGTGGTGGCGGTGGAGGAACCGCAGCGACAGCACGCGTCGCCAGCCATGGCGGAGGCAGAACAATCCGACCATCCTCTCGACGAGGAAATAAAGTAGATGGCGGAAGCAGGCTGCCGCTGCAGGACACACACTGGCATCCAGGCGGATGTGGCAGGTTTGTTGGCAGGGGCGGGTGCTCGCTGGGGCTCTGGCGAGGTGTCGACGCGTTGGCGGTAGGCCCAGGGTGCCTCTGAGGATGCTGGGGGACGCCGACGCGTGCAGACGGGGTCGAACTCGCGCGCGAGGGTTGAGAGGGCGGGACGCGTTGGGCAGCATGTGAGTGCGTGGCATGCGGGTGTGTGTTCATTAGACGCGGTGCGCCGCCCGCCCGTCGCTGGAGTCTCTAGAGGGATGGCCAGTGCCAGCAGTGGCGGCGCAGCGGGACGGTGGTCGTCTGTGGAAAGAATGGTACAGGGGCACGGAAACAAAAGATGATCCCAAAAGGATGCTAGAGCGCTTAGCGTCCAGTTAAAAACTCAGCGCCGTTCAGGTTCGATTTCTCACCTCCCCCGAGATTGACAAATGGGTCATTCCCAAATGCGCTAATGAATAGGCACTCCAAGGGGGTCCGTCGGCCGTCCCACCATGTTTTTCTGTGCTGGCTGACGAGGTGTCTTCCCTGTTTTTGGGCGACTGAGTCAAGGTGCTCGAGAATCGAGGCTCCAAGAGTTCTACAAACGAGCCTCGAGGTTCGTTTATACGGAGCGGTGGGTGGCAAAGCAGCTCTTCCAAAAACTTCGCCGAAGCGACTCCATGCCAAATATTATTTCCGTCAGCATGGTAACAATATATGTGGGACCTGACGCGGAGATCACCTCGCCCCCTTCTCAGAGTCGGCATTCCCGAAATTGTCAAATGCGGGACCTGTACCCGGCTACACAAGCGCACGCGACGCGTCGATGCCTATCGCTCGGAACGTGGCGGGAAGCGGGCGGCACAACATGAAAGCCAGAGAAAAAAACATCATGTCGACGGGCGCGATGACCAAATCGGTCCACGATAGCCTCGTGCCGACGCCGCACAGGAACGCTAGATTTTTGATGCTCCCTGCCAAACTGCTCAAATTCCACGATCTGCCGCACCCAACAAGGGAAGGCCCATCTAACCGATGTCATAGGATTTATTAAACATTCCATCCAAGGCGGGCAGGCTTGCAGGGCCAGGCTCAGAACAGCCTAGCCCGACCTTGGCTCGACGTGGGCAAGTGGAGAAGTTGGACAAAAAAAGGAAACATTCCGTAAATCAGCAGGAAGCAGGAGGCGCAGATGGCGCTTGAAACATACGCGACCATCTGGAGAGGCGCGAGGCTATACAATTCAAAAGAAATTTTAGTAACGCTCCGTTCGATAAATAAAGAAATTCGATTGGATACGCGTTAGGTGGAGTGCTAGACTCCTAAGACTACATAGTAGGTAATAAGCGCCGAACGGCGCCCTGAGTTGGGGATGATGATGACGAAGACAGAGATGCAAATACGATGTTACGGTATGCTAAATTTGATTCAGGTAAAACAAAGAGGGCACAGTACAAGGACGAAAAAAGAGAATGGAAAACAGGAGAGTGAGGGAGTGTTGCGAGCGCGGTGTCATACATGACACGTTGCCGTTGGATGTGTTGATGAACCGAGGAAGGAGGGAAGGGAAGACAGTGGTAGTCCGCGAT